TCAGATGCGGACAGCAGCTGGTGGCTCGACTGGGGTGTAATGCCGAAACGAGGTGTCGCGGCTGGGAGCGAGCTTATCGGCGGAGATCACGTCACGGTTAAAAGGTATGATTCCTGTCTTCGAGAACGCCTTCTTGATTAACTCCGGTTGTAGTATCGCAAGATGGGTGTCACCATAAACCTTCAGGAAGTTCTCTTTTGAGATCTCCTGGCCCGTCTCTCGAAAGAGTTTGTCACGGTTCTCACCGAACCTTTGCTTCATCGGGCTGAATATCACAACATCCAGACCTTGGTAAATGTGAGTTGTATGGGCAGGATAGCACAAGACATGGATCTTATGCGCCTTGCAGAACATCAAGAACCCGCGAGTGACATGTGAACCATGTCCGTCGACGTAGAGGACTCGCCACCTGCCACCCGCCTTCTCACGAGTCATTCGCTCAAAGTGCTTTGCGTACTCGATGCCGATCTCGTTATCCGTCCAGCCCTTCTTCGAGTATCCCAGCCTTGTCGCAGTAAGTACATGATATGATCCAAAAGGTTATCATTACTCACATTGCTTCTGCAGGGTTATCTTGCTTCCACCGAACCGCAAAGCCCTTTCCAGAAAACAAAACGGCTGGAGGTATGGCAGTCCCATCCAAGCAGATATTGACAATGACAGTCGTTGTCTCCCTCGTTCCAGCTTGCTGCTGGTACTGGACGTTCTTGCCCGCTCCGCCAATCACCCGCTCTTCTCCCTCATCACCGTTAGCCTGAAAACCTGCCTCATCCAGCGCGTACGTGTTCTCAGGTGCAATTGCGTTGCCCTCATCTCCATGCAGCTGGACGTTCTCAACGAGATCACACCAGGCCTTATGGTTTTCTGGGTTCGCAGCTTTCCCTCGGACATCATGGAGTGGCCGAGTCCGGTATATGTGAAGGTGTTTGTGATGCCGCTCAACAAAGCGGTGGGACCAGTGCTTCCCAAGACCAGGAAAGGAGGTGCCATAATGCGCTCGGCAGAGCTCTATGACGTGCTCCTTCAAACGACGATGTGACAGCCTGAAGCCCTGAGCTGCCGTCTCGATGAGGTAATTGACAACCTCTTCTTCTTCGACAGCGCTCAAATGAGATGAATCCCATTTAGTCTCCTCCCGAGGACGTGTTTTGCCAGTTGCGTGATTATGGACAGTGTTGTGATTCAGCTTCAGCCAGTGGCCTGTCTTGGCATGCCATCGCTTGCGTGCCTCCTCAGCCACCTCCCGGTAAGACAGGCGCTCGTCTTTTGGCTTCTGTTGCTCATCCAGCCAAATTGCGTGAGCAATCCGGTAAGCTCTTGCCTTTTCCTCTTCTTCTTGGCGTTTTTTTAGCGTGTCGGAGGCTGCATGCTTTGCCATGGGGGTGTATTAAGGTAGTTTAGTGTTGACCGTAATAAAGCGTGTTGAGGAGCTTGCAGAAAAAGCAGTTATGTGTTCGAAATTGAGGAAAACGGGGGATCAAGGTGCAGCGTGACGGGTGTGTCACACTTATGATGCGGTGTGACATTCCCCATCACCGATGACCAATTTCCCCCCTCCAGATGATCTTAAGGCCCTGGAGCTCTCTTGGTGATAGCCCAACCCAAAATTTGCATTTCAGTCAGTCAGAACATGATATTCAGACATCTTTTACTCTCAAAGTTGGTCTCTAGTGTCATGGAAGAGTCACGAAGGATGGTCGATTTTTTTGCCCAATTTCCGCTTTTGGAATGTTTTCCCATCCCTGTCAGCGGAAGCAGTGCCGCCTCTCCCACAAAGGTTGCAAATGGTGATCCAACCATATATTCACCCACAGGATTCAAGAAACATACCCGATCATAGTCCTATCACTCAAAAAGTCACTGTGTACAACTGGGCGGGGGTGTACAAGAAGCCAGTGAATTACTGTATCATCAAGTGGTGAAGGAAAATGATCAGATTGCGAGTATTTGGCATGTAATTTTACTCTAGATCGGGTAGGATTGAAGCCAAAATGTATGGGTTTTTCCTCCAAAGGGGTATGGGTTACAGGTTATTGCGGACCTATGGGTTATGGGTTGCAAATCCCCGCCCACCGAGTTGGTGGATTGAAAATCCTACGGGATAAGAGGGGTTATGGGTTATCAGAAGTATGGGTTAGGAGGGTGCCGACTGTATCGGCATCAGATCCTAGGATGTGATTGTCGAAGCAAGCGATCAGCGCGAAGCCTGTTTCGAATGCACTCGACTTGCGGGCGGCCGGGAAATTTTTTGAAGCATACCCCCTATTTTGGCCGATTTTTGGGAGAACCTGTCTGGACAAAACCTCAAAAATTTGACGAGGAACTCTTGGTGTTTTTGTCCGGACAGCTTCGCCAAAATTCTAAAAATTTGGGATCAACCCTCTGGGGGTAATAATAATAATATACACTACCAGGACCTACTCAGGATCTACGGGACAACAGAGGCGGGGAGCTATTTAAGTATCAAATGGTACACAGAAGCTAGCCGGACGATTGATGGAAGACACAAAAATGTCCGCGACTATTGAGCAATCGGAGGAGGCAGTGGTCAAAAGCGAGTGGTACACATTACCAAGTGCGAATGTAGGCTTGAGGGAGGCGTCGGAGAAATGTCTCAGAATGTGCGCATGGACCAGTAAGCGACGGTCAGGCGCAGAGAGAATTTGGGCACACAGAGAGTCGATGAATCAACTTAATAATGGCGCAAGTACCGAATTGCGAAGTACGGGCAGCAGAGATGGCTATAGGTAGCTGCCACGAGCATGCTGAGGAAGTTGATGGTGGTGGTTCGAGTCGATGCACTTGACGCGTTTTGTCGAGTCATGTAGAATCTCCCCCGGGCCCCTGTAGTGACTCGCTTTCTCCTCCTCCTCTACGCTTCCACCACGCCTCAATTCTCCTCCACTCCGTCGCCCAGCCGCCGCCTCCTCATGACCAGGCCAATCCAACCAACACCAGGCGGCATGATTGTTGTACACCATCCTTAAACACCTCAAAGCGCTCCTGCCCGCCGACAAGTCCCTGCGCCTGCTAGACAACCACCTCCTGATTGATCCCGCGGTCGCGCTCTACCCCGACCGAGGCGACGACCACCACGAGTTGCGGCACGCGATCCGGGAGGTGTTCTTCCCGTACATCAGCAGGCTCGCGCAGGAGGGCCACGTCGTCCTTATGACGGCGTGCTTGGCCGCCGACAACGCCAGGGATGCCGCCTTCTTCCAGGAGCACCTCGGCCTGGTGCGCGGGACCAGCGTGCCCCTCTACTGGATCAATGCGCATTGCGACCAGGCGTGCCTGATGGAGCGTGCCCAGAGCTCTGAGCGTATCCTCTCGAGCAAGACGAAGCTGACAGAAGCGTCGATCCTGCGCGAGCTGGTGAACGCGCACCGCCTGATTGAGCCGGAAGAGTCAGGCGACGCATCGACGAAGCTGGTCATCCGTTCTTTGGATATGAACGGGGAGATCGACGAGTCCGTTCATCGTCTGATAGTTGGTCTGCCGCAGGGTGTCGAGGTGGGGTGACTTGTTGCGTGCAGCACAAGATAGTACTAAGTGACTCAAGAGGAGGACCCAAGGAAGGAAAAGTTTACATAAGCATCTGCTGATAGGATTGCTCAAGGGCGTCGCCATGTCGTTCAGGTAAGTGTTGTACAATCTTTCTCGAACTTCTGTTCCAAACTACCACCAGGTCCTTGACCTGTCCGTTGCTTCTACCATTTCTAGCGGGACGAGACCGTACGCCGACTCTGACTTGTGCTTGTGATGTTCTCCAGCCGCAACCGTGCCCCGCGCGCACGGCGCTCGCCCACGCCGTCAGGGGGACAACGCAAGGACTCCTCAGCGGGGCCGCCCTCGCGCCCAGCGTCGCCCGGAAGCCCAGGGGCGAAGCCGCTGTACCTCTGCAGCCCCTTCGCCGACGCTGCTCTGGTCAAGGGCAACTTCAAGACGATTGTCATGTTGCCCAAGTACGCGGACATCATGGAGTGGGTTGCTGTGAACAGTGCGTGGGCCGTTCGTTCGTTATCACAAGACGGGGTGTTATGACAGTTTCGTTGTGCAGTATTCGACTTCTACACGAACCTCAACGAGTTCTACGGTGTGATCGCGGAGGTGTGCACGCAACATACGTGCCCATCGATGTCTGCCGGTCCGGCGTACGTCTTCTACCTCCTCGCAGATCGCATATATAATTTAATCGGCTCGACCCTAGGCTGAACTACGTCTGGACGCACCAGGGGGGCAAGCAGGCGAATCTGCCTGCGCCGACGTACATCGACTATGTGATGACCTCCATACAGAATCTGATTGACGACGAGAACGTCTTCCCTACCAAGTCCAGTGCGTAACCCTCTTCCCACTATCGCTCCTATCTCTTGATTGGCATCCCTACGTTTCCCTTTTCTTGCAGACCAGGGCTTCCACCAATCCTTCCCCGCCACCATCCGTACCGTCTACCGCCAGCTCCTACGCGTCTTCGCACACGTCTACCACGCGCACTATCCCCAGATCCTCCACCTCCGCTCCGAGCCGCACTTCAACTCCCTCTTTGCGCACTTTTTAGCGTTTGGACGCGAGTATGAGCTCTTGGAGGTGAAAGACATCAAGGGAGAGCCGAATGCCCCGGTTGGGGTAGGGTTACTTTGGGAGAGGTGGAAGGAGAAGGGTATCTTGGAGGGATAGAGAGGGCGAGGAAAGGAGAGAAGGGGATCTTGGGGTGGTGCTTATCTACTGTCTGCTGGCTTCGGTTTTTCGTTACGTCTTTGTTCTCTCTTTCTGTTATGTCTCGACTGCACGCAATCTGGAATGGAATTCACGATCTCGCTTTCGTTGCCACTGTTATCTCAACATCGAGACCCATCTTGCATTATTCTCGGCGACATTTGAGCGCTGCTGCGATCTGGAACTCGACCGTCATGCATGGATCACTCGGATTGTGATAGTGATCGATTGTTTGCTTGGGGAAAGGGAGGGTACGGTAAAAAATAAAAAGGCGGCACCGAAAGGCCAACCCACTAAGCCAAAAAGATGTTCGTCGAGGTGTTCTCGTAGCGTAAGGTAAGTAATGTGCCAAAGTGTCCAAAATCCAAAGCACCAAATGAACGACGTCCTTCGAAGAAAGAGCAGTGCACTCTGCTGCCAGCTAGGAAGCTAGCCTAGCTTAGCCCAAAATCAAATCCAAGCCGCGACGCGTTGCGATCGAGCGAGGTCAATCGGGGGATCATAGTGAGAAGCCAGCGACAAGGGCAATACCCACAAGCATGGTAGTGAGCTTGTGTGCTGAGAGGGAGAGAGCGCCAGAGTCGGTCGTGGCGGGGTCAGCGGCGCCGCCATCCGTGCCGGTGGTGGTCGTGTTGGTACCAGTGGTGGTAGTGCCGGTGTTGCCTGCAGCGCCGCCAGTAGCGGTTGCTTGGAAGGCTTGGAATGTGCGTTCGGCGGTGGGGTTGATGGCGAACACCATTCCAGCCGCTGTGCAGTGACTGTAGGGAGCACAAAAGATGAGATTTGTCAAGAAAAGATGGGTGGTAAAAGGAGAGCGACGTACGGAGCACGGGCACAGAAGAACCACAGGGGCGCGGAGGCTAGGCAAATAGTAATTTTAGCGAAATTGATATGATAAGAGAAGCAAAGCCAAGGACGGAGACGAACCGTTCTCAATCTGAATCGTCCATTCAGGGAACGAAGTAGCTGCGGCGTCGACAGGGAAGAAGCCAGAGTCCACACCACCGGCTCTGTACGAAGAAAGCAAATGCGAGTCAGTTTATCTATCTATCACATTGGCGCCACAGATGGTCCAGGAGGGATGGATGGATGGATACGAACCTAGCAACACAAGGTTGATCGAAGGTGGATTGCGTTACGCTCTGTATTGTTGCGGGCATAATCAGATTAGTTGAATGATGATTGTTGGAGGGCGAAGCTGCGTACGTGGCTCTTGGAGACGCTGGAAGAGGGGAATGAGTTAGGAATGAGGATGGGTAGGAGAAAATAAAATAGACGCACAATCGGAAGGAGATAACATCACCAGCTACGACTCCAGTAATTCTAAGCGGGTGTGGCGCAGATCAGCGTTTGGAGAACTAGTAAAAACAGGATGTGGAGCTCACGAGGAGGGGTCGTATGTGTTGGTGTTGTTGGGACCAACAGTAACATTGTACTGCACAGCAGAGGCTGCAGAAAAGAGGGAGGCAGCGACGGCGGCAAGAGTGGCGAAACGCATTGTCGATAGAATGAAAGGGTGACTTCGAAGAACGAAAAGTACGGTGCTGGGACGACCTGGACGACGAGAACAAGCTCAAGGCTAAGAGAGGCGAAGAGAAGAGAGAGAGGAGGTGTAGAGCCTGTGGAAGTCACAAAGGTCAGCATGGACGATAGGGAGCTTTTATAACAGCGAAAACGACGCACACTGCTCTCGAAGGTGAGGGGAAGAAACAAAGGATGAGAGGTGATTTTGCGCGGCAGGGTGTATAAGTAAGCCCAATACAAATCGCTGCCCTTGACGACGCGTGGTTCGATGCAGGCAGTCTTGGCACACGACATGGGCTTGGCAGGAAAACTGGCGGGTCGATCCATCCGGATTGCGCCAAGCCCGGCAAGTCTCTTGTTCGCAGACTATACTTCTTCGTCATGCCCTTCGTCGCGGAAGCAGAGCGCAGGCCAGGACACACGCATGTCCTCCTCATCACCTCGGGCAGCGTCGCGTCCATCAAGGCCCCGCTGATAGTCAAGGAACTCCTGAGTGTGAGTGAGGTTATTTTGCTTGGGTGACGCGCGGCTTCTAGCCTGAGCTTCCTCCGAGCCAGTATGGCGACGTGCGTGTCCAAGTTGCCGCTACCAAGACCTCGTTGGCATTCTACAAGAAAGAAGAGGTCGAGGACGTGGGATCAAAAGTTTGGACGGATGAGGATGAGTGGACGGTACGTTTTCCAGGACCAAAGCTTCCATATTACTTACCAAACGCTTACCAAACTATGAAGGCCACGTATAAGATCGGTGACCCTATCCTCCACATCGAGCTCCGGAGGTGGGCAGACGTCGTTCTCGTAGCCCCCTGCTCCGCAAACACGCTGTCCAAGATCGCCCATGGCTCATGCGATAATCTCGTGGTATGTCCTCCTCCCTCAAGGCTATGTTTTATATTTCGTCTTTGTAATTCAAAGTGCCCAGACGTCCCTCATGCGTGCTCTATCGCCGACGACGCCGACCTATATCTTCCCCGCCATGAATACCCTCATGTATGAGCACCCGCTTACGGCAGAACACCTCCGTATCGTCAAGGAGCTCGTCCGATATAATGTTGTGGGGCCTATAGGCAAAACTCTTGCTTGCGGAGATGTCGGTGAGTCTTTTTTCCTGCATATATGCGCATTTTTTCTCATGACTTTTGGTCCTAGGCGTGGGGGCAATGACCGAGTGGAAGGACATTGTACAAATTGTCGTTGACCTCTTTCACCTGTCCCCGATCGAGAAGCCAGCAAATGCAATCAACTCATGATTCGTATTAACGCAACCAACCCCACCCGGGTTGATTGTTTCCCGGACTTTGACGCCATCGCTCTACGTTGAGGAAGGCCTGAGGCCCCGTGTCTGTTAAAGTTAACTGCCAGCATCAAGTCATAATCAGCCACTGCCAGCCGAGTTCAATCTAAACGCGGATGCCCTTTTCCTTTATCTCCCGTCTATCTGCGCGAGTCTTTACATGGCTACATATCTCTGATCACCCAGCAAAAGATTATCTAATTTCTAGTCTCAAACAGAGGAACAGTACTTGATGGACATGATCATCATGGCGAAGTGCGCCGCCACACCCGGAACGCCCACGGTTCAACACCTTGTAAAAGAAAGAACTCTTCTCAAGGCCTTCCGGACTGTACGAGTGGGTATAAGGTCTCTGGCATTCGGGAAGGGGCGGATGAAAAGCTTCCTTGGGTGAAGATATCTCATCCTGATCAGTTGAATGATGCGTATGTATTGTTTCTCCGATTGCTGTCCTAGTCCAAATTCAGGGTCGCCGAGCGCCCTGCTCCTGTGCTTTACTTATTAAACGTCAAGTGCACGGAGAAATGCGCCTCGCTCTCCCTCGTCTCCCTTCTCACCACCACCACCTCCCCAGACCTCATTCCTTCATTTTACGACAATTTCGGTGATTTAGTCCCTCTCTGCCACGATGTCGTCGCCATTTCGAGAGCTCGCGATGGCCATCTACATCGGGGTGGCTTCTTCGTCCGTCAGTCATCTTCTCAAGTGGGCTCACATTGACAGATTGTGTACTGACGAGCAGCACCTACAGATCATGATTTGGGACATTTGCGAGACCGTTAGGTCTGACTATACGCTCATTTCAAAGGATCCATGGAACGCGCCTGCTATTTCTTATCTTACCGCCAAGTACATTGCTTGCTATGTCTTCTATATGGTCTCCTTGACTGACGCCGTGTACCAGATACTCCACTCTTTGCTTTACAGTCTTGTGCACATATGTTATCAGTACGTCTAACCCCAGCTCAGCTCAACCGAACCCAATCCTAACAATTGACGCACACGTAGCCACCAACAGCCTCATCACCAACCCCGCCGGTTGCGACCCCTACCCAGTCGTGATGATTGCGATGTATACCATCGCCGCCGCCTCGACCTCTCTCCTCTTCTTCTTCCGCGTCTCAGCGGTCTACCACCCAAACAACAAAGCCATCATGGCCTTCTTCGGGCTCTCGTGGGTCGTCGTGCCCCTCGGCTCGCTCCTCCTCCTCAAGGCCAGAACGGAGTACAAGAACACAGGATCGCTCCAGACGACGTGCAGTTTACCGTTGGTGGGCAAGTATATTTTCGCTGCGTTGGCGCCTAGGATGATCAATGATACGCTGGTGTTTTGTGCGATTACATGGCGGTTCTTGAGGGGTGCAGGGGCACGGCCGGTTGAGCTGGACTTTAGTGGGGTGAAGAGGAGGATGGCGATCAGGGAGCGGCTGAGATCTTTCACTTTGCCCCGAGCGAGTGCTCTCCCGGCGTTCTCGAGGGCGATGCTGCAAGATAGCCAGGTGTTCTATTTGTGCGTTTCATCTCTCGTCCTTTTCATCTAACGTAGAATTGACCCTGAGTGTGCGTGCATATACTTAGGGTTGCGGTTACGAGCCATATCGTTACCTGGGTCGTTCTCACCACAGGCTCGCGTGGCGAGGCCTCACCTCGCGCCATGTTCATCATCCCCTCGCTCGTGGTGATCAACATCATGGCGTGCCGCGTCTTTCGGAACACGAAACTGCACCACCATCAGTCCTCCAGATCGATACACGGCACGGGCGGGCAGCCGCTCGATGTCCTGCGTATCACGAAGGACACTATGGGGTTGAGTATGAGCCTGCCCTCACACCATCGACCCGGAGCAAGAGGCGATGCTGGAGGCCCACCTCTCTCCCCAGATGAGATGGAGCTCAGCGAAGTCCAGACGATGAATGATGCTTCGGACACTAAGTCGTTGGAATCGAAGGCATTTTCTCGTGCACTTCAGCGAACCCCGTCCGTCGGCTCGGCTGAACATAATGCGAACAACGTCCTTCGGATTCAGGTGATGCAGACGGTGGAAGTGTCGCGGTGATCAGATTTCGGATTAACAATTCTCGCTTGGAATCAGGACTGTTGCTGCTATTTAAAAAAAGCTGAGGCATGGTGCTTTAACACGGCTGTATTTCTACGACAGGATCTCGGTTTTTCTGTATTCTGTACTATGTATGATAAAATAAATCCGAGCGACGGGTGCAAGAGCTGTCCTGTAGTGCATAGGAAACTACATAGTATATATTAGAGTGGATGATCCAGCTTCCACCGTTCTAGACTGAGCACCCACCATGCGCATTGCGAGGTGTCGAATCTATCAGAGCTGTCAGAAGTCGCACAACCGAGTGGCATGGAAGACTCGGAATCGCAGCACTTCACAGCCTTGCCTAACAAGCACAAATGCCGTTAGTGTCCACGTACACTCCGTTCAACTCCCCAGACGGGTTAATGAGGAAGACAGGAGACAGTCACCAGCATATGGGATTTCAATCCATCAAGATTAGTCCAACCCCTGAATCGGCGCTAATCAGGGAATTTTGCATTTTCAATTAATTCCCATGCGCCACACATTGATTACGAAGCTCGCTAGCAATCCTGACTCCGTACGCGTCCTGTTGGATAGGCTTAATTAGCAGCTGAAATGGCCGAGCGAAATTCTTCGCGGTACTTCGAGGGTATGATGGCAATTATAGTTCTGCTGGAAGAGGAATGGATCGGCTAGCTGCGCTTTGCCCGAGCCTGCCGTCGATCTTCGATTCGGTTCTGATTATGGAGAGTATGTGCGTCCATGAGTTTCTCCATCCCAGGATCCTGGCATACCGTGCGTGTGTTGTGGCTAAGTTTCGTGTTTCTGAAAACTCTACACGCCATAATGTCGAGATGGGATAACGAACACTGCACGGGGTGACACCTCAATGGTGTACCTACTGTTGTAAAAATTCAACCTCGCGGCGGTGCGCTCTGTAGCGAGTGACGGAACGGAGTGATTGTAGTCGCCATAATACCTATGAACGCTCAAGCATGGAACGGTCACAAATTGATGGTGATACATGAGAAAGCCAGAACATGCAGATTGAATAACGCGATTATCATTGGAGAGTGCTGAATTTATACCACGCATTTAGCTGTCGTTAGCCTTCCTGAAGTAACCCTGTATCCTTCACTTTTCTATTCTTTGCAGGCTTAGCGTCATATTTAATTCAAAGAGTGAGTTGGCACAAAGCTCTATTTGCTACTCGTAGAAAAGGCACAGGAGGCGTCTCACTGGCAACTCGATGGCCTTGTCAGTACTGTCACCTCCAGAGAAACATATGAGACCTTTACAGTGCTAGGTTGCTAACTCGCTCTAACTCGCTTAGAATTGCCACTTCGGATCAGTGGCACTGCGCTAAGCTGATCATCGAAGTTATTCTATTGGAGCTGAGATGGATCAAGTGTTTTGATTGAGAGTTTGGTCAAGAATATTGCTTACTGGGCTCGTTAGTCGTGGTTGTTATTCCAGCTTGTCTAAGTAAATGAAGTTCAAATAGGGAAATACCTGAGCGGATTTTTCTCACGCGCCACATCAACCTGAGTTCCATACAAGACGTACGTTGACCTACATTGCATTGTAGCCTACAACGAAAAGTCAAGACGGTCATGCAGGATAAATTCTCAAATCAGATATCCATCATGAAAATGACCGACACACAAGTGAAGCAGGCCCTCAGGCTATAGTTTGCTGTGGGCACTGTTGAGAATCACGAAGTTTTTTGGGCAAAATGTATCTATAGAGACGGTTACGGTGCGTGTAAATTGCGCCCCTGTCTGCAGATCTGCATCGACACCATCTAGGCTGCATCATGCAGTACCCTGCAGTCTGGACAGCATTGAGAAAAACTTTCGAGAACAAGCAGTGATCATTTACGTTGCCTTGATCTTCTTATCGTCGCTTTTGTTCCACTTGTGTTGGTTTTAATCGTGATTTGAGCAATCACGGAGAAGGTGAAATCGGGTATGGGCGGTCATTCGTTAATTATTCCTTTTATTCTCTGAGGATATCCCAGCTCAGGACAATCAAGTCTTCTACTTTTCAGTAAATGTTCTTAATAGTTCTCTGGAACAATGGTTTAAGAGATCATTTTAAAATAACAGGTTGGCACTCACAACATGTATCACGATCTGGATAACTTGGGCTCACCTCGAACAATGGCGGCGCTCCCATCCCATCGCCCCCATCGACTTCAACAAAACATTCCCCCTTTCACCATCATCACTGCAAGATACTACAAGTACATCTGCAGGAGGACAAGATAGAAGAACCACCCCACCTTTCCTATTGTATTCGTCACTTCAAACAGGGTGAACTATGGATCCGGAATCGATACCATCCCCCCTGGTGGATAACCGGTTCAAGGCCCTTCAAAGTCCAGGGGCAGTGATTTATATCGCGGTGGTCTGTACATCGGTAAGAAGTTACATTTTTCCTTCACAAGCCAGAATGTCTTTTTCATATCTGCATAGATCGTGATATGGGAAATCTTGAATAGTTTGAGAAGTGACTGGGAACTGCTTTCCAAGAACCCGTGGAACGTTCCAACTATGGTATTCCTCTTATCCAAGTGGGATTTTTACGTTCATCACGAAGGTTTCCAGTCAACTGACATTTGGTCGAAGAATATCGACTCTTTGTTTCTCTATTCTCTTCACGTTTCTTGTCAGTGCGTAAAAAGACTAGACCTGCTTTCTTCAAAAAGCATGCTTACTAGTTCGATATCAGCTTCTATGAACATCTTGTTCAGCTCCTCTTGTGCCCCATATCCAGCGCTTCTGGTGGTGTTTTATAGCATATCGGCCGTGTCAAGCTCCCTCCTGTTCTGCTTCCGTGGGTGTGGAGTGTATGAACACAGTAAAGGCGTGGTGATTTTCTTCGGCTTCTCTTGGTTGTTGGTCCCTTTGGGCAGCTTGCTCCTTCTCAAGGGTACTGTAGATGACCGGCATCTCGGTCACTCTACAGTCACCTAAAAATTGCTCGCTGGGTTTGGGGGTTTCGAATAAAATAGCGGTACTACTCAATAGGCAAGCATCTGAAGCACCTGTGCACCAGTTATCAGAAATTTACGGGAAGGTTTGAGGCCTCCATGAATATTTTATTCTGATAGGTCAAAATCGTCAAAACCAGGAAGTCGGCCAGGCCCCGAGACTAGACTGATTTGTATTGGTCCCGTACACCGGCTGTAACCAGGGTCAACTGTGCTTAGTAAGCTGATGATAAGATACTGTCGGAATACGAGGACAGTACTCGGCCACCTTGAATTGTTCTTCAAAGTTGGTCTGACCTACGGGAAAAAAAGCTTCCAATAAAAGTCAAACACCTCTATCATTATCTGGTCCCCTTATTTCATGATACCTTGCAACTTCCCTTGAAGTATTTGATTTGACATTTCTTATCACTCAAAACGAGGTTTTCTCTTTACTTTGTGTCTCATGCTTGAAAGAAATTTGCAAAAATTAAAGAGACTTCTTTCCTAAGCACGTATCTGAGGCACTATTTTTTTGATGCCTCAATTCATCCCCTAGAGGCTTCGTCACAATATAAATCACCCGGAACAGTCCAACCCACCTCTAAAATGATCTTCCTTCTAATTTTCAATATTGAAAGTGCAGGAATCCATCCACACGAAATAAAATAACTTGATTATACATTAATTATGATCTACTCCTTAGTTCCAAAGTATTTTTCCAGCAGCCAGTCATGTCGTTGAGAAAAGCCCTCCGGAACCACCAGAAACAGGTTTTCAAATAAGGAAATTGGGTGTCACGCATCACAACAGCCAAAGAGAGACTCATTTCTCCACGAGGAAAGATTATCTATTCATGAAAAAATGGAATTCCGTTGCTCTTGTACAATTGTACCTGATTATGCAAAAAGAATTGAGTGAAACGAGCAACTGTGCTGTCCACAAAGGCGATGACCGAGTTGTTGGTGTGACCGAGTAACCGGTTACGTACAGTATAGAGGATGTGGATCTTGGGTTATGTGGGGTTCCGATGGTCGGAAAATTCGTGGTCGCGGCGATTGCGCCGAGAGTGTTGAACGAAACACTTGTGTTTGCGGCCATTAGTTACAAGTACGTACAGAGAGATGCGACAACAGGCATAGGGAGGACAACGATTACTCAGAAAATGAGATCGTGTATAGGGGGCCACTCCTTACCCACATTCTCCAAGGTTATCCTACAGGATAGCCAGATATTCTACTTGTGAGTCGTCACAGATGTGTGCACATTGATACTGAAATCTTTGGAACAGGTTGGCGGTTACCTCGCACATCACAGCGTGGATAGTACTCACGACGGGCATCCGATCCGTCCCATCGGGACGGACAGTCTCAATATTTCCGTCGCTCGTCCTCGTAAACATTATGGCCTGCCGGGTGTTTAAAAATACCAAGCTTCATCTTCAAAATCAATTTCGGCAACGGCTCCCCTTGCGCAATCATCATCGCAAGACGACACGGCCTAGTATGCTCACCGCCATTGGGTTCAGGAAGTCACAAGAGGCGTACAAACCATCTTCGGCCAGGACCCTTCCTCCGAAAGAAACAACCATCACTGCCACTAGTTCCGTCGAGGAAGAGTCGGCGATACGAGCTACAACACCGGAGTTCATCCAGATTCAGGTCTTGAAGACGGTAGAAGTCTCGAGATGATGGTTTGAACATGGACGTTGGGCGTGCAAAGACGAACGACAGTAGTTCGAAAGTTTGAAGCCGCTGCGCGAAGACGCTCAAGAGAGAATAATATATGTATTCAGTTCTACATGCAAAGCAGTGTCCAAGTGAATGAGGCCGGAGGATTTAGTTCTTCGCCTCAGCGACTGCCTTGGGGGCAACACCTTCCTGTGATGTGGAGCCCAAGGTCAGGATCAGGCAATGATTCAGAACCGAGTAACCACATACCTGAGCCGCCTGCCTAGCCTTCCCCTGGCTTATCGGACCTTCCTCTCCGTTTGCCTGGAAGGTACCAGACTTTTCACCACTAACACCTTCAGGCGACTTGGCCGTTGAGGACGCTTCGGTGGATTCGGGAGCAGTCTCCTGCAAAAAAATCAACCATGGGGCAACATCAGTTATAGGACATGCTACTCTTGGATTCTCCAGACGCTTGCCTTTTTAACTGGGGCGGCCTCCGCATCAGCGTCTTTCTTCAGTTTGGCAAGATCTGCGGGCTGGTTGGAATGAATATCAGGTTTTCGGAGAGTAACAAGAACGGCTAACCGCTTGAGTCTCCTTGGGCGCGTCAACGGCCTACGGAACAGAGTGAATTGGCCAACTTTGTAGAACAGCCTTCAATGGCATAGTGATTCAGTGAAACGCACCTCAGATAGCGCGATTGAAGCTCCAACTTGAGCCGGCGTGCCCTCATCATCCTTGATGACCACCTCCGAAGGGTTCACCTCCGCCTTTTCATTCTTGTCGTGGGCCAGAGAGTCGTGCTTGTCATTGTGGACATGGTGCGTGTCCTTCCTGGCAGACGGGGAGACGAGGTAAAGGAACTATGATGGCGACAATGAAATAGGCGATCCAGAAAGGGTCCAACGGAATCAATCGGGTCAGTGACGTAGCGAGTGAATCGAACAACGCAAAAGAGACTCACAGCAGGGCCAAAGACAAGCAGCGAGCCAATCTAATAGCATACGAGAAGAAATAGTGAGACCGGGCATATATTGGTCATGTAGGAGACGAGAAAGGAGCTCACAATCCAAGGTTTGTCGCTTCTGGTCACCGGCGCGTGTGACGAGGACATCACCCGCCTCGAGACGCGCGTTGTCGACGACATGGAGGTCTGTGCACCACGACGAGCAGCGGAGAGCGCGGTTCGTGTCAGACGGGCAGACATTTTGGTGGAAACCTACAAACGGCGAAGAGGAAGAGGGACAAGGGAGAGCTCAGAGCTGCACCTTGTCGTGGGTATTTTTACAACGGGTTATACCGGCAAGCCCGTCATATTTGCTTCAACAGTGCCGAAATGACGTTTGGACGCGATATGATTCTTATTTCTACGAAATTTACATCATTGGCCGCAGAGGAACCCAAGTTTCGAAAGCAATGAGAGTCCCATGGCCGCCTGGAAAGGGTTGAGATCTTCGTTGAGCAAACGGCTCAGCAGGTTGTCGCGCCATTCGTGAGCCATTAACGCCGTGTAAGATCCGTCGTCGGCCTTGAAATCTGCAAGAACATCCGTCAAATGCTTGAGAGGTGCTAAGTTCGGATTCAGGGCGTTATCTAGAGTATCTTGCGTCGTGTTGGAAGAGCTCGCGCTCATTGTCACACCACCGAAGCTTTGATGTCGCAAATCGATGACTTCTTGCTGAAACGTATGTTCGTAGCCCATGTAGACTTGATCCTCACATGGCTCCTTACACAGCTTGACGAATTGTTAGAGAAATATTTCCAGCGCTACGTCGGACTTACTTGATTCACGAAGCTCGTGTTTGCGTGCTGAGGGCCTGTATGATAATGCGAAGAGGAATGCAGCGTTGGTGCAGCGTATTGCTCCCAATCAGAAGCAGCCCCAAGATACTCAAAGGCTTGTGGTGCAACGTTCAATGATTGCGGAGGAGCTCCAGACATGCCGGGGGGGACAAAGGCAGTTCCAAAGTCGCCACGAGTCCCAGAAGCAGAGACATTGCGACCAGACGACCGAGGTGTGTATGCAGATGGGCCATGATTATTCCATCCGTTTCGAAATACAGGACCTTGCAGGTACGCCGCGTTTCGTTGAGACTTTGAACGCGAAAACGTTGGCTGGTAGTAGGAATTTTCCAGAGGAACACTGGTGTCTCCAGGCGGCACATACATCGTGTAATCTTGGGTCGTGACTTCAGAAAGACGACTTCGCGAGATAGCAGGCGTCTCGAAGATAGCTGTGGTCACAGGCGACCTTTTCGGCGGAGCAATGCTAGGCAAGAGATAGCTATGGGGCAAACCAGGAGGTGCGGACGTTGGAACAGGCGCCGCGGGGTCTGGGGTGTATCGCATATTAACAGGTGGCTCCTTTGCTTCAGTTTTGACTTTCGTGTTCCTTGTCTTCTGCGTCTTCGTGTTCTTGGGTGGAGCCCTCAGCTTCGCAGGCGCTTTCCCCTTCGCTTTGCCTCTATTACCTGTTGCTGAGCGACCGAACGAACTGTTGTCCAGAGCGACGGAGGAAGACGTAGAAATAGAATCGGCAGAGACACTAGCCTGGAAAGAAGAGTCCGGCGAGGACGAGTTTGGGAGCAGGGGAGAGCTGGCGTCGACCTGCTCCATCTTCACGTTCATGATCTCTTGGAGCGAGGGAGCAATATCTGAGCTAGGAGTGCCGCCATTCTTCGTCATTGCCTTGCGTTTTTTGAGTCGTTGCCGCCCAAACCACTGATGAATCCATTTTTCAGACCTACACGCCATTGGCAGGGTCACGGAGACAGGGGTAGACAGCGACAGCCCAAAAATCAGAGGATGGTATCGTTGATATCAAGTACGCCAGTTAGTTTACTAAAGGAGGGGTGTGGCGACATCAAGATGGCGCACTTACAATCCAGTTTCTTCGCTAAGAATTTTCAGCTGCTCTGGGGAAGCTGTCAGCGAGTGTGCATATGCCTTTTTCAATGCAGTTGTCTGTTCGGAAGTTGCGCGAGTTGCAGAAGCCTTTTTGCTGGGATTGCCTTCGACTGAAGCCTTCATAGTGAATAACCTAGCTCTAGCAGAGTTCGAGAATTTCGAGAATTTCGGGGACGACAATAGCAAGAACAGCGAGAGAAAGATACCACAGGATAAGTTGACTAGTTGTGTTTCGATAGACAAGATCCTGGTCAACGAAATTCGTGGACTTTAAAGTGTTCCTGTGACGGGCGTCACAAGGCCAAGATAAGATAAGATGGCCAACCATTCAACCAGATTTTACGGACGGGTCAATCATGCGAGTCATTTCTCTTTTCTAACCCCTTCACATCCCTCTCATCCTTTAGAGCATTAGCTATGACCACTGCTTCTACACAAGTAATCTTCTCGATTCAGGGAAGCGCACTAAGGCTTGACACACGTGCAGACATCCAACCGCTCTTGGACGCTGTCGATCCAGAAGTCATCGATGAGATTCATTTTGGTGGCAACACCATCGGTGTTGACGCGTCCCTAGCTCTTGCAGAATTTCTGGCGAGAACCAAGGTTCTTAAGGTGAGCACCCAATTAACTTCTATCGACCCACTGGCTGACTGTATACCAGGTCGCTGATTTTTCAGATATCTTCACCGGTCGTCTGATCTCCGAAATCCCTCAAGCCCTCTCCGCGATCTGCGACGCGCTCATAGACAAGACCTCCCTCGTAGAGATCAACCTCAGCGACAACGCCTTCGGCGGCCGATCTGTGAACCCAATGGTGCCGTTCCTCACGCACAACCGGAGCTTCCAAGTCCTCAAGCTGAACAACAACGGCCTCGGACCCGCTGGTGGCAAGGTGATCGCGGACGCCCTACGCGAATCGGCGAGGCTCAGCAAGTCAGAGGGCAAGAAATCAAACTTGCGAGTGGTTATCTGTGGTCGGAATCGCCTCGAGAACGGGTCGGCGCCTGCGTGGGCGGACGCTTTCGCTGAGCATGGAACGTTGCAGGAGGTTCGGATGGTGCAGAACGGCATCCGGATGGAGGGGATCACCGCTATTGCACGAGGATTGTCGAAGTGCCCCGATATCCAGCACATAGATCTCCAAGATAACACATTCACTGTCGACGGAGAGTTGACTGGGGTGGAGGCTTGGACAGAAGCGCTCACGTCCTGGCCTCTGTTGCACACCCTGAATCTCTCCGATTGCGTGCTCTCTGCCGAAGGCGAAGTCCCAACTCTCCTCCAAGCCCTTACGAAAGGATCAAATCCTAATTTGCATACCCTCCAGCTTCAGAACAACAATCTCGAGACAGCGACCTTCGCCCTCCTGGCAGGTGCCATTTCTCAGGGCCTTTCCAGCCTGATGTCGCTAGAGCTACAGTGGAACGACATCGAAGAAGACGACGAAAATCTGGAAACCCTAGCTCTGAGCCTCAAGCAGAGGGGAGGAAAGCTATTCGCATCAGACGAAGAGGAGGAGGAAGCGGCAGAAGAAGAGGCAGAGGCAGAAGCAGAGGAGGAAACGAAAGCAGAAGAGACGAAAGCAGAAGAAGCAACAGCCCCGAAGGTTGTAGACGCTGCAGACGAGCTGGCTGATCTACTCAGCAAAGTGGAGATCAGGGCCTCTTGAGTTGCACATTCCCCCTCTCGTTTAAACGACAGTTAATTTCTTACCACAATACCACACACATACACATTAGGTAGTACTTATACACTTCTCCAACTCTTCATACATTGATACTTAGATACCACGGGCCCTTCATCTAGCTTTGCAAACTATCCATCTGCCTTCTACACCGTCTTTTGGTCGCACATGTCCCATAGAGACCCTGCTTCCCATCCAATCGTCTATCCTGACGGAGCGGCGGTCATCTTGAATGGAGTCCAAACACAGGGAGCGAGGTAACCATGTCTTTGTGCTTTCGTAGTCGAACCAGAGTTCACGGTATGCGGACCGCAGGATCGTCCAAGATGTTTCAGCAGCCTTCTGTCGTAAGACGTCTGTGAAAAATAAGACGGCTTCTAGGCCGAGCTTATCGTCTGCTTTGTGCGCTCCTTCCATCTTGGTCTCGTGTAGTTCCAGAAAAGAGTCGATGAATTGTACGATGGTCCTTTTCTGAGCAAGGGCAGCAAACTTTGAGTAATTCCGCGTCCTCAGACTCTTTGTGAGCGATGAGAGCCACAGAAAGAGTTCGGACTTTCGAGAGAGGAGGCTTCTGGGAATAGAGTCGAGATGTTCGTGGTATCGGCTTTGCGACGGATATGATACCACTAGAAAGTGGAGAAGAGAGCAGAGGATGGTGTAGATGGCGGGTTTGGGTATTGGTGGGGGATCTGTGGCAAATAAATGCGGAATGATGGATGTAGTTTGCTTTGGCGATTCGAAGAGGATAGAGAGGTATAGTGACGTTTCGTATGCTGCCCATGGCATCAGCACCCATAACGGCTCGTAACGAGGGTCAACTGACCTTCCATTGCAAACGCGTCGTTTCGCGACGATGATGCGACCCCTTCCCTCAATCTGCCTACCAAAAACTATGAGTCAATTGTAAATTGTAAAGAATGCCGGTGATCCAAGACTCACGGAAGAGGATAAGCACGTTCTCCTGGGTATCCACCCTAAGTTTCTTTCCGCTCTCAGACTCTGAGTGTATACGGCATCGAGCCGACATAACTTCATCAAGCTAACCAGAAGAATTTTCATCAGCCAAGTACCTCCATGTTGCGAACAATGCAGGTACCTTCTCTTGGATGAACTTCCGATACTCTTCTTGGATTGCATGGTTCTTTAAACTGTGAAACTGACGTTCTATCATGAGCCATCCCAGGGCGAAATGAGAAGCGAACACTCACTCATCGCCGTCCTTCTCCAGCCCACTGCTCCTGCTTACCGATGCCATGAGATGCATGCGTCGACGCGCAGCTATGGGGTCGGATGGTATCGGCGCAGGTTGGGCTTGCGGTTGTTTCAGATTCGCCGTAGACGGTGCGGGTGAATTACCCCGCCCTCGACCACGAACTCGCCATGCGCCGCCACCGCGTTGTCCTCCCGTAGGACCTCGAGGCTTAGACATATTGAGAGCGAAGGTTAGCAACCTTCAGCGAAAGATGTGGGAGGATATGCAGGAGGCGTCGAAGCGTTTGAATGGAGATGGTGGTGGTAAGAAGCAAAATCGGTTATGGCGGCCACTTTATGCCTGGCTTGGCATCGAACATGTTTCCTCGAGGCCACCACACGTCCAGAGCTCTCGGTTGCCTTCATCGACGTGCTGGCGCCCCGTAGACGATCTTTCTTGTGTCACCATCGTGCTTCTTAAGCTTATCGAGGTTTGTTGGGTCGAACCAGTTTGGTACCATGTCGAAATGCATCTTTCAGCGACTCATCTGCGCAGAACTCCAGGCTCATTACTTACAACGGAGCGTTGCTTTACATCTTCATAGCTCTCAAAGGACAAGTTCCACGATGAACGGGAACGCTGAAGGCAAGCCTTTGAACGAAGAGACTGTCCCACTTCGCACCGGACCACCAACCCGCGAGGAGCTGCTTGTACATTATCCCCCAAAGTTCACTTGGAACCAACTAAAGACTTTTGTCAACTCGGGGTTGGTCACCCATCCTCCACTAGCCTCTTTTTAGTCTTACTCGGCCACTCTAGTGACCTTGGCCTCTTGAAGCGCGATAGAAAACTGCAGAAGAGATACGACGAATGGGTTATTGGTATCGTCGCTGAGTATGGCTCCGTGGGTGAGTAGAGCATGACCTCTATTGTTGACAAGGAACTGATATTCCTGCAGTGAAGTACCTCATGAACCATCGGCTCCGCTGGGGTCAACCAGATACCCTGTCCCTCCTCACCTCTGAGCTCCAAGATGATAGATTCGTTGAAGCTCCCAATTCTGATGGTACAAATAGGCCCACAGATGGAGAACCTCCCGCATATTTCTCATGGGAAACCCCGTCGAAGTATCTGAGCATTATCCAGAACGATTGGCCATACTCTGGTATGTCCCATTCAATAAGGTTGCCAAAATTGATGAATCTTACGCAACACTTGCGTCTTTTTGTAGTACCTTCCAACATTGAGCACACTTTAATCTGGACGAAGGTGCCCATCTACCACCCAGACCTAGCGGCGCCATCTATCAAAGCCCGTATCGACCAAGACGGTCTCTGGGGATTTACAGGCCTAGACTCTCCCCCTCCATCTCCATCTACCCTTCCGGCCTGTCTTCCTGCCCTCGCGGAGTGGGGAATCACCTTGGAGAAGATGGTCAAGTCAGAGACTCCGACACCCGAAAAGGCGGTGCTGATACGACGAGCAGGGAGCGAGGTTCATAGATTTGTGAAGAATAGATGGCTAGAGAGCGAATGGGAGACCGCGTGGTTTGTTAACCCTCCTGTGCGTCTCAATTACTTTTCTGTATGAACTGCTCTGACGTTCTGGTGCTCTATCCAGAGATTGCAGAGTGTGCCTGGTCTAGCCCACATCCACGTTTTCGCTCGCCACAAATGACCTTACGTTGGAATACATGATAGCCCTATAGCTATGCCTAGATACAACCTTATCTCGTGTTTTGTCATTAGAGTGTTAGAATTTCTTGGAGGGGTGGAAGTAGACAGCTCTTTGCGATATGGTAGTTTCTTTCTGCCAGTATTTGGTGTCTGATTTTTGTTAGGTACCGGGGCGACAAATAGCTCGTATACGCGCTAGTGATTCCAGAATGCCATCAAGTTGCCTCTTTCGGATAGCGCGACGCGCCACACACACTCCAGTAGATGGAACCTAAGATATAGGTCTTTCATGTCTACAGGTAATTCCATGAAATTGATCACTGCATTTGGATATATATTCCAGAAGTTCAGCAGTAATTTCTGAAACAAGCCTACGATAGACTCGATGGTTCTAATTCTGATAATCCCAATGGAACATGCTAGTAGCTTCCATCCTGTCAGTGCGACAGTTTCGCCACAACATATAAATGCTATCTAGTGGTCTTCGAGCTGAAATTGTCAAGGAGGGTGGCGCCTTTCTGACGTATTGCTGTCATCACTTTCCCTGGGCAATAGTACTCGCGGAAGATATACACCACATAGCGATCTGCTCCGGTGAATCGGCAGCCTTACCGTTAAATTTTCATCGCTTCGACTCGCCCATCGATTAGATTGTCGGGGAAAATTCCCGTCCTTGAGAGAGATAACCCCTTTTTAAATGCCGAGGACGATAATCCCGGTGGCAGAAAGAGCATTGACCTGGCTTCTTACGGGATTCAAAAGGGAGCTATTGAAAAGGACGTCGTTCTCGATAACTATAAAATAAGTGGGATGAGTGGCGTTCTATTCCACACACCCAGCACCAGTAGGCCGCTCGTCACCTCTTCACAATGGCTACATCCGATTATCCCAGACAAGAGCGGATAGCAAGGGAGATTAAAGCCGAGCTGAATGACCGGTAAGATGGAGTAACTTTTCGAAGCAGCGTTCATTCCACACAGAATTTCTAAATGACACCCACACCAATTTCTCCAGGTTAACCCCTAGAGCTGATTCTATCAAGAGAAACTGGAAAAAGTTGATCAAATCAGGGGAGACAATAACACTGAAAGGGATATCCGACCTGCAGGGCTATGCCATGGAGCAAACGATGATCCACATCCGAGAGGGCGTCAGTACGCACCGTTTAACCGATGGTGAACTGAAGGAGGTCATTTTGGATAAATTGTCGGATGTGATGGTGAGCTCTCGTTAACTTGGAAGGGAGATCGGAGAGCTGATGGTGGTCAGGACTTGCTTTTGATAAATCCAGATGCTACCCCAGGCGGTAGTCCTTAACAGCCGTTTGGGATTTTCCTTGGCGAATGAAAATAGACAGCTAGATAAGATTAGATTTTAAGCTCAGCCACGTGACAAAAGTCTAATTCCGATGACGCGCCTAGACTGCGACTCGCGAGTTTGAAGCCTCCAACGTCCCGTCATGTCCGACTCTACGAACACTGAGTCTCAGTTGCAAACAGCCAGTTTGCCTTCCAGACTTCCTCCTCCGACAGGTAATATCGTTCATGACTCCCTAGAGGTGGTATTCTTCCTCGTTTGTGTTGACCACAGCACTGACCAGTTTCGTGGTTGCAGAGCGCAAAGCACGTTTCTGATTTACCGTGTGCACGAAACGCACTACTAGCCGGGATCGCAAGTGGTGTGGGGATGGGAGCGATACGTGGGCTCTCCGCAGGTGCGTCCCATGTACCGTTGGTGCCAGTCTTCCCGAGACCACCTTCATTCTGCAGGACCTATGATGGCAGGACACTGGGCCATGGCGACATTCACTCTTGTTTCTTTGGGCTCCTGGTGTGTCGCTCGCCGCGTACATGCGTTGTCATTGGACTCATTTCTCACAACAAAGGCATGTTTGTCAAAAGCAGTTCGCGGATGAACGCAAAAAGCTGGCGCGGGTTATCGAAACCATGCCTAAACGGACTCTAAAAGAAAGCAGTGACTCTACATCACCGACTACACCCCCCTCATAGGCCATTGGCAACAAATTACAAACAATCTACGCTGTATACAATCTACGCACCCCGAAGATAAATTATTCAACTCCACTCAGAGGCCCACATATCCTTGTCCCAGTTCTCGACAAGTTGAGGATCGTCCTAGAAGCGGAGGTGAGCGTCGGACGCAACATGAGGGTTCCGCTCTGTGCACTACCTTGAACTTGACCTGGAATTGCGAGAACCCATCCCGTAATATGGCGACTTCATGATTAATGTCCTGCCCCTCGAGAATATTCTTTCGCGTCTCGGCGTAGGTCTGTTGGTATTTAAGCTGGCATTCTTCCACGAAACTTGGATGGCATACCCTTGCAGCTTTAGGCCCCCTGTTGGAATCCAAACCCAATGAGACGAGCCTCATTGTGACAGGGACGCAAGGGACGTACCGTACTTGGGATAATGCGCAGTGGAAGATAACCAGAGGGACATCCTTTGTCTGCTTCACCAACCCATCGACATTCATCAAGAACTCTGAGGACGGTTCGTTGATGGCGCCTTTAATGTTTCCTCCCGTGAAATCGTCGTCTCGAACATCCACGACGACAAAGTCCTTCCTAGCTTCCTTTCCACTCTTCATGATTTCTGCAAGTTCCTTCAGTTCACCGCACATTAGCGAATGGTTGGCAGAGGTAGCAGGGCCTCGTACATCTCCATTCATATAACGTATTGACGGGGCCATCCTAACCGCCCAAGAGGTACTGGATGTAGTCGTAAGTGAGTGTCGTTGGGTGAGCGCTGAGGTGATTGACAGTGATCGTGTCAAGAAAGGAAGCATTTGTGACTGCATCATCGTCGGAAGAGAGAGTTATCGGCCCGGTAAACCGGAGCCCCTGTTCTTTCAAATGTCGTCTGGCATTGGACTACTGCATTCACCCGGACGAGCAGGCCATAACTAGTATACATCCCGGCATGCAACAGCTTGAATATAGAGCAACGCAAATGAAACTCTCACGTGGATGCCATTGTTAAGTTGTGGGTGTCAACGTTTTATCTTATGTAGTAAATTCAAAGTCTTGTATTTTTGTCGCATGGTCGCACGGACGGCACATATGAACTCGTGCTTCGACCGTATACAGACCACATTCGCGCCATCAGTCGCGCTTTTCGCGAGGGGGAATTGCCTATGAGCCCAAACCCTTCAAGCACCTTTTGAGCAGTGCACCTAACACCAGAACGAACGTGACACGTACCGAGGGTAATCGAAATGGCGGCCCCTTTTAGACTCATCGGAACGCGGACAGAAACGATAGAGAGAATAGCAGGCGTGTTTGGTCTTTGTAATTGGCACTATTAGGGAGCACGTGACTTTGACGACAATCATGCAGACGTGCTCACCCCAAAAAGAACCCAGCAGCAGCAATCACGACCCAGTTCGCGGCACTCGTTTTAACCAACCAGAGGACTGTGATGGCTCCGCAGAGTAAAGCGAGCAATAATGCATTCCCAAACCTATCGCGGATGCGAATATACGGCAGAGAAAAGAACATTCGGCCAGCCGTCATGCCTATGTTCCAGCAAGTGAATCTGCAGTTGACATAAACCATATAGGGAGAAATTTTACCTGCCCAAAGCATGGATAGTTGGTAGCGCGAGATGTCTGGTCTAGTCCCCTTGACTTCAATAAGATAGGATGTCAACCACTGGGAGAAATGAGGTTAGGCGGAAGCTTGAGAGGAATGGAGCTCCCTACGTTACTGAGTGTAAGGGTGATTGCAAAGCCAAAGATAGTCAGAATGATACCGATCCTATTGGCAAATATCAAGAATACATAAATTATTGTGAGTGATACTGCAGAGGAGCATACTCACCAAGTGATCCTCATCCGTGCGAATTGGATAAACGTGGAGCGCAGTGTGCGGCCTTCCGGCTCTGTGTCCGATGGAACGACGTAGTTTTTGAAGAGGATCAAAAATCCAAAAATGATGATCATCCCGAAAGTAAATTGGATCCAGTAGTACAGCTGAAAGCAGATCGAGTTTAAGACCCGCAAATTTATAGCCAGCCTACATATTTCACTCACGTTCCAGGAAATGCTAGCGCTGGCGAATCCTCCGATGATGAATGGTGCAGATAGCTGCGGCTTTTAGAAAACGCAAGGGTGAAGAGCAAACACCAACAACACTTACTGCACCGACCTGAATGTCGGGACTCAGTAAATGTCGTATTCTGTCCACTCTCCTTACTTACCCCAAAGAAGGCATACAGGATATTCATGAAGCTACTGTTGTCGAACTATTAAAGGGATTAGAACGCTATGTTGCCCAACACCATCTTGTACTCACATGAGCAATGACACTTGTTAGGCAGGCCGCGTAGAATCCTCCACCGAAGCCCATGAGTGCGAGCCCGACCATCACAAGGGAGAAAGGAGGGGCAAAGGCGATCAGTAGAGATCCGCCGGCGTAGAGCACGCCGGCTGTCTGCAGTAGAGATTGTCAAGAAAGACCCTGCGCTTAGCTGATTGTATTTACCAAGAGCAACCAGCGCGTCCCAAGTGAATTTTGAAGCACAGGATTAAGAATAGATGAGACCAATTTGCCTCCAAATCCCGCGAGGAAGACGAGGGAAATTGTCTCATAGGACAGGTTGTAATGTTTTTGGATGGAAGGCAAGTTGGCGCCTGTCGCAGTATCATTGAGCCCGACCGTGAAAACCCCTATGCACGACTAGGATACCCAGATATGTTTAATTCCACTTGTCTAGATTAAAATGACGAAGAGGGACTTACCCCAAGAAGGTACAAGACCTTCTTGTCGATGAAGAAATTCCCGACGCGAAGGCCCGGACTTCGGACGAGAGGAAATCCTTCAGGAGGACGGGTATCCTCGAAATCGCCATTATTCGTGTTCTGCGATTCGGAGAGCATTTTGGATCCCGTCAGGACATCGGGCCCGTTTGATTGAATAGTTTTTATCTGATCGAGGGAGTGAATACGTTCCAAGGTGGTTGTGGGGAGCTCATCGAGCTCAATTTGGCAGGTAGGAGTAGTTTGGCTCATCAGAGATTCACGACTTGTCTTTCGAGGTGCGGTGATGCAGATGGGCTCAAGTTGAGTATCTCAAAATGACTCGAAGGTTGGAGCACTCAGAAAAGCTCTGGTTGGAAGATGGAAATGTCATCCTTCAAGCAGAAAGCACCCAGTTTCAAGGATATGTTTTCGCTACCGATACCCGAAGAACCCCAGGACCCTGTTGTCCATGCTGCGCTTGGGAAAGAAATACGATATTGCGTACTTGCAAGAGCAAGCATTGCGCCGACTGTGATTGTTTTTTCCTATTACTCTTGCTGCGTGGGACGATTCCTTCGCTATGGAAAACAACACCTCTTCTATTAAATTCGACTCTTCGCCTAGGGACAATGGAGACTGTCATATCCCTGGGTCTCGAACTCGGTGTGGTTTCCATCCTTCCTAGTGCGTTTCTGTTCTACGTCGCTCGGATGCCCCCGGTACGCGTCTACAATGTTTCTTTCGGTTTTGTCGTGTCTCATCTGATCGCAGGAAGGTATAGTGCCAGGCAACGATGAAGCACTCCCGCTAGGGACACGCATACAATGCATTCTCGGACGTGACCTCCTCATTCGCCGAATTCACTCCATCCTGCAACGTTGGGCCACTTCCCTCACCTTTACTAGGCCCATGCCAGGCTGCCAGAATGACTGTTCTTCGTCGAAGGTGATCGCTACTTTCGACAAGGCTTTGTGGTTATCCAATAACGGGACCACATGGGATTTATGCCCGACAATTCCGTATCCTGCCGCTTCTGCGATTAAAAGCCTTTGTAAAATTTGTGCGGCTCGTTTCAACAAGTGCTATGATGACGCACGTCAGGAGATCTGGAACGGATTGCCCATTTTTTTTCTCTTCCGGGATGGAATGAGCTAAAGGATTTCGATACCTAAGACTTGTTACCCCCTTCATCTGACCCGCGAGGGCCCATTTTCTACTTCATGCTCTGAACAAACCCGTCGAAAAGGCCGATCTGGATGAAGTACCCATTCAAACACGTTTCTTGTTTCCAATACCACGAATTTCTACGTTTCTTGCGCTTCAAAACGCCCTAGAGTCAATAATGCAAACAACGCAGAAGGTTCTGCGACCAGCGAACAAACCATCAAGCCCTCCCAGAAACTTCAGCTTGACGACGACGATATCATCGTTGAAGGCACGCAGTTTCGGGTCTCGAAATCGGCCCCAGCTAACCTTTATGCAGATATGTACACCAAAATGACGAACCCCTAGAACCATTAGATGTTTGCTTCGCTAGTAATTATGATGTATCTATACTAGGGAGGTATTGCTTATAACAAGGTGGATATAGGGATAACGCAAATGCAGGGGTTTGATCTTCGTTTAGAGAAGATATTTATAACTCCTCCCTGCCCGCTTCTTCTAGGAAAGGCTGATAGTATGCTTCGCGCAGATTGAGGACGAGACGGCAACCGAGGATACATGGTGCGAAAGAGAGAATCGTAAAGGCCATTTGTGGGATATAATACTAATGACTTCGTGAGCTCATCACCCACTGAGAAGAAGGGACGCAACACACTGCGGGCCTTATCCAAGTAACGAAGCTCGTTGTTGACACCATCAACCCTCTATGGAATGATGAGACGTATGCATCTTCCAAAGCACGAGAAGGTCGACCCACATGAATGGGAACGTTATGCTATCCCTGAATAGAATATACGGAAGAGAATTGCGAGACCTCGACAAGCGTATGCTCCGAGCGGGGTAGGTTGAGCAATAATATTTGATACCCATGTGTATCGAGAGCACTAGGATCAGGAGCTCGAAGAGCATCGGCGCCAGCCAGATCAGGAAGACCCATTGTGGCAGCACAAACGGGGGGCATATGCTTATGCCTGGTACCGGATCTGGCACGGCTGCATAAAATGGGACAGTTAGGCTCGGGTGAAGCGTCGACGATACGAAAGACGTACGCATAGTATGTCGCCCAGCTACGAATTGAAGCACAGTGACGGTGATGACCTCGACAGCGAAGGCGGAAATGAGGAGACAGATAATGCGGCGGTCATGATTGTACATGCTCGATACCCGATAAATCATGATGCCTGGACGAATTTCCTTCAGCGAATGACGAATAACTTGAATTTGCACTAACCTTGCATCGAACAGAATACAACCACAACGAGATACCCGATAGATGAAAAGTACCCTGAACCTATGTGCACTCAGATTGTTGATCACCCTTCATTAAAGCAAGGCCACATACATCTGCAAGAATCGGTACTGTTATTAAAAGACTTGTAACGATGACTTACCCCTAAAGTATCGGAATAAAGAAAGAGTCAATACCCTTGATGACCACTGTCAACAAGCAGGAATTCGTACCTGTGTTCTATCAGAGGCAATATGGCGAAGTAGTACTGGTTGAAACTATTAACCAATTTGCTGACCATCGAAGAAAGGACGACGCACCGATTGCAGAATATCTATCCGAACCATTCCATACGTCAGGCAATAGCGAATAACAAACATCAGGGCCTACAATTGAACCACGTCTCCCATGTAACGGTTCTGCTCGTCTTGGTCAAAGGGGGAAGGAGAATATAGATGACCGAGGACAGACCAGGATAAAGAGGATTTGAACGAGCGTCCATTTCTTCCGTTTCTAGATAGTCAAGCGATGAGATTGAGGGTCGACATCACGCTTGACGGTCTTGTGTCTCACCCATACGAGTTCGATCTACAAGATAGATGAAAGATCAGCAAGACGGCACGTTTAAAAGTGGGAAGAAATCCACCTCTTCATCAAGTGTCGTGACTAGAAATTTTTATAGAAGACTGAAGCAATCAAGTGCAGGAGACTTACGATGGTCGTAAATCACGCAAGTCGCGGTTGACACTGTAGGGAATCGATATTTCGACATTACATCATGAAGAAGAGTAGTAGGGCAGGCTTACGCGCTATCAAGGTCAAAGCACGCTCCAAGAGAACCACCTCTTCTAGGGTCAACATCTAGTCGCCACCCACTGGTGCCGGTTTGCCTATTGACTGCCCAACTGCACCTGGCAGCTCGAAGCAACAAGGGGAGAATTGCCAAATGTTGATAGTTTCGTGGGCTGACGCAAGACACCAGAGCTTCGTACGTTGGCTCTCGGTCGTGGAAGTTAGGAGCAAGAGGGGCGCCCCCGTCGCAGGTCGCGATGAGGAGGCACGGTAAGCATTTGTCATGGTGTTGCTCAGGCACGATTCTGCAAATCATGATATCCGTCATCCGAGTGCGAGCATGCGGCAGCCACCATGTTGTCAGACCCAGTTGGCCTCGCCAACCGAATAGGTAGCCGTTGCGCAGCAGAGGCTGCAAAGCTGAAAGCTGAGAAACGTTTGGGATATCGTTCTGTGGAGCTTGGGATTTTTATCTAATGAGCAAATTTTGAGCTCAAACTCGTGGGTTGACGTTGGCTATTTCGGGACCTCTGGAAACCATATATATATAGGGCCGGCATTTTCAGCACAACAGGGGCGGGATCTATATTTAGCATCAAATACCTTTGCAATGAACATTTGGCTACAGACTCCATCACCTTGGCTTTTCATCCTTCTTCAGATGTAGAAATAGAAATAAGTCACACAGAGCATAAATCGGCAGGGGATCTGGCCAACTTAGATTGCCTAAATTTAATTTTAAGTACATGTCACCCAACAAATTTTCCCAGTGAATACTACTAATATATACGGGTAAAAGAAAACTGGTCATTAAACGATTTCGTCAGCAACAGGAATTTGCCTGCGTTGCGTGGACTGAGCGTGAAGATTACGACGCCTAGCCTGGGCATTACTGTATACAGCAGAAAGGGTTAATTCGCAAGCAAGACCAGAACGCAGGATGAAAACTGACGGCTTGTTAATTACGCTGTCGTCCCCGGTGTACAGGAACGCATCGTAAACAAAAGCTCCGAACAACGCGCCGAGGATGGGGCCCATGACAGGACACCAAATCCAATAGTGGCTGTTGGAGAACTTGAATAAGTCCAAGAAAACCACTCATGAAGGCAACAACTGACTTTCGAAATGTAAATACTTGTTTTCCATAACCAACCATTGCAGTCAAGATCCTAGGTCCAAGATCACGAGCAGGGTTGATCGCATATCCTTCGGGCTTCCGGTAAGATCGCGCAAGGTAATCTGGAGATAGTTTCCTTACCGGTTTGCATTCCGAGAGAAGCGCCGATTCCCAAGACCAACATGAAGAGAACAAGCGGAGCAAGCCCACTGGGTGGTTGCATGTTACGCCTGTCACCCATGGCGAGCACGACAATTGTAAGGACGACAGTGCCGAGGAATTCGTCGAAGAAGGCGGATACGTTGGTCATGTACGGCAGCTAAAATAGCATATAAACGCCAGTCCCAACGTAGTAGCAGCTAAATGCACCCTACCGCGTAAGTCGAGAATAGGCCAGCAGTGCTTAGAGTGCGAACTCCAACTCCTCCCTCAACGATGTTGATCGCATGATAATAATTGCCATAGACACACGCAGCACCGACCAAACCACCGAGAACTTGGGCCAAAATATAAATCTTGCAAAAAACAATGGTTGTCAGGTCTCCGTAAGATGGCAAGAACTTGGCTCACTGGCACTTTTTTCCAGGGGAAGCCCCGGAAGGTAGCTAATGCGATGGTGATCTGTCGAAGAAGTAATGAATATCCACGACACTTCAAGAGGGTCCTGCACTTACAGCTGGGTTGATGTGGCCACCAGAGATTCCACCAGACACCCAGACGCCCATGGCGGTTCCAACTCCCCAACCAAAGTTGAGGGCAAGCCAGTCCTAAGCCGATATTAAATTCATTGACGAATGCCAGTGTCCACAAGAGAGACGCACTCCTCTCGGGGTAGCAGACACGCCCGTATTCGCGGAAAGAAAAACCTGACAAACGACGCCGGTGCCGAAGATGATGAGGATGGCGACTCCCAGGAATTCAGCGAACGGTTCACGTAAGTATTCCCTGAGAAGTACAGTGCATTAGCTCGAGCGAATTAATGGTGGGTAGGAAAAGGGGAATTACCGCCATTCGGCCCATCTGTTGGGGTAATAGACAAGGTTTTGATCTTCTTTTTCATCAGCATATTCTTCGTGCGTGACCGATATATCCTTCGTAGTGGAGTCAGGGTGTCGACTCGAAGTAGAGGCTGATCGAGCCATGATAGCGAGATGAAAGGAAGAGAGGGACTGGCGAAGGAACCAGCTATGGTCCCGAGTTCTGAGTGGGGCTTGTTAAGCAAATCGCGGGGATCCGATAGCGCAGGAAGAGAATGCCCGAAGGATCTATGGTGATAGAGAGATGTAGATTTTATGCCACATGTGGCCCAAAAGGAAGGCTAGGAGTACGTACCCTTAAGTATGGGCGTTGCCAGAAATAGTCATCTCAAATACCTCGTGAACTGCCGAGAAGGTTTGCACCAGATCGTCCTCGATGCGCGAGCCAACGCTAAACAGTTGTATGCAAGGGGCCAAGGGCCATTAAGAAGGGTATCAGCACATGACGGTGCTGCATTTTCCTGCGGGGAAAGGGCCAGAGAATTGAACCACCAACCGGCTTCATTGTTTTTCCAACGACGTATACCGTTGGGCCCAGCGCTATTCCTGTCATGCTTGGGGTGAGCTCCTACGGGCCGAATGGTACTGCTTGGGAGACTTCGACTTCGGGGCACATAGGCCTGCGTTGATGGATATGGAAGGCAATACCCAGCCGAAGTGGCGCATCGCGCGGTCAAGAATAAACTCGGTCAGGTGACGGGTATTGACGGTCTGTACGTCCGCCATGACGCTCAAAGAGAAAGGCTTAGCACGATAATTATACCCCACACGAGGGTACCTAGAGCGGGGTGTGGGGAAAGAACCCTCAAACCTTCGGAACACGCAGGCTTGGTGGTAGGAATGGGGATCTGTATTGCGGGAATATCAGCTCGTGAACAGAGGGATGCGAAGTCAACATCGGGAAATGGAAAATAAGCCTCATGATAAGGAATGTTGTGATCACAGGGCTCTAGATGTATGTAAACACGGTGAGAGTATGTGTAAAATGTCTGACAGCGGAACGAGCCGCTTACAGCGAGAAGTAACAAATGTTACCGGCTATAAGGGTCATTGAGGCTTCAAGTATCGATCTTCGATGCGCAAACGAAAGCCAGGATCGTAGGAATGAGCGCTCCTGGCTTTGATACAGCACTCGGTACGGAACGTCGAAATGAAAGAACCAAGGAACGAACATAAGCCTTACGGGATTTAGGTTCTGACCGATCCGCGACGGTAGCATACATTCAGCGGGGTCCTCGAAGTCTTTGTAATGAGAAAGGAATCAGCTCCTCGGGTAACAACCCGGCCACCTAGTGCACAACCACAACGGAGCGTCAGTTGCCGGAAGAGAAATGTGCGACGGGCCCAAACGTACCATCCGCGCAACGTCTTCGCCACCGACCTCCCAGCCGCCCTTCGCGACGGTCATAATACAATTTTCGACCAAGGTGCCAACCAACATGCCTAAGCCGAAGCGTTCTCCAGTGTATTTTCGCCATCTAAGGAGGTTCTTCAGCAGCTTCACTCGTCGGTTCACGAATCGCTTGCGGGCAGGGATGGCGTCCGGATTGAAACCGGGTACACTCTGATGCGCACTGTTGTATTTCGCTATCGAGGATTCAGTTGCTGAGATGGCATTTTGGAATACGGTCATCACGGATTTGAGGATCATCTAGAACGAAACGCATCGGCTGTCCGTTCGGAGAAAGTGATAATGGTACGTACATGAAATTTCGCGTTTCCAGACTCAACGCTTGCTTCAATTTCTTCAGACAAATCGATCATTCTCCGGATATGTTTCTGAGAGTAGACATCCAGAGAACCGCCTTCGATCGCTTTGCATATTACGGGGATGACGGCAGTCGAGATCATAGATGCCACAAGGTCGCCATCAGGACCCAAATCTCTCTCTTCAACGATTTTGCCCTCTCCTGGCCTGCAGTATTCGTATAAACCTTTGTACCACCTGAAGCTGTGCAAGTCTCTCCCATCCTGGAGAGAACATTGGTCAGCTGACGAACAGAGGAACAAAAGGGGTCTGATACCTCAATGCAGTCCCACCCTACACATTCCAAACGGACCCAAAACTCCCAGACGCTCACCACGCCCAAACCACCCCAGGCCCCGACGTAGCTGTCTGAATATTTCTCTCGCCACACATTCCAGCGACCCTTCCCCGGGTCGCGGAACTCCTCTGACTTGACATCTGACAGCACCTCCTTTCGTTTCGTCGCAAGGGACTGAAGGGCCTCCGTGTACGCGTTTGAATCAGCGGGGGCTAAAGATGAATCCGTTGAATAGCCCTCCTCTTCCTCGCCGGCAGGTCGCCGGCGTTGGAAGGTCCGTATTTGTCGGCGAGCAATTCTTGCGACGCGCCGCTCGCGCCGTTCTTGTACTGGATCGGGATTTGGGATCGTTCGGCCAAAATCGTCAACTTGGTCTGGTACAGTTGAAGGGATAGTAAGGAGAGGTCCAATGAACAATGCTAGATCATCCTCGTCATCTTCGCGTCGTCGCTTGTCGACCATATCAGCGCGTTCTTTCAGGAGCGAGACATGTTCTTCCTCCAGTTTCTCCAAAAGCGGGTACTGCAATATCATTCAGAATATTCTTTAAGATAAGTCCATCGCCACGTACCTTTTCATCGAGGAAACTTGCGACACTCTCTACCCATTCTTTGAAGCTTCCGAACCAGGCCCTCTTTGATTCAGCTTTTTCAACCATCTCTCTCATTTCTTTTTCCCGATCGTCGACTTCTGCACGTTCTTGTGCGAGAGAGTTCAAGGCAGCAGAGTTCTTCGCATGTGAGGTAGTCAAAAGGGCAAGCTGGTCTGACAGCCGCGAAATAGCAGGAGCGAGTGATGGAACGGGGGTCGCAGATGGTACTTTAAGGAAGAACGTTAGCGATCGATAATAACAGAATGAAATGAACATACTTGGGGCCGCTTTGTAGACCTGCTTCACCTTGGCGGAAGAGGAGGGTTCTGGTGTACGATGACCACCGCGTCGCAGTTGCTCTTGTTCCCATTCCGCCGTCTCTTCGTCCTCTTCTTCCCTGAGTCACGAAGTCAGCTCATGTGCAACTATTGAGAATGGCTACACACGCATCCTGAATCATCTCCTTCATTGCTTCTTTGCGGCGACTGGTTGCCAATTTTCGTGACTTTTTCCCAAGAGCTATCCGTTCTTGAGCACTGGTGTACTCCGCAAATTCTAGATAACATGCTTTTTAGCTACCGGAGAAGTGAGTGAAGGACGAACTGACCATCATCGCCCTCCCCAAGTTCGTCTTCCTCTCTCACGAGGCGACTCTCTGGGTGAGGTCCTTGAGGCATATCCTCAATTCTTGTTAAAGAAAGTGATATGTATTCCACCTCTCCTGAATCCCGCATTTTCCGTAACCTCCCTCGCTTCTCCTTGGCGACTTTGATGGATGACTCCGATGGGATGAACGACATGGTCTCCTCTGCGAATACCATTAGTATCAAGCAGGTCGACAGGACAATTACATACCGGTATCCATCTCGGCACTTTGCATCGAGACATCGACGAGGTCCACCGACATATCGGCATCGTATGGATCGACATTCATTGGGGGAGGTCGGGCGCTTGGTGTACTGGCTTTAAGTTCCTCGAGATACGCAGCATCATACTTGGGGGAGTCATTCGTGGATATCGTAGCTTGGTCAAGAGATGACGGCACTGTCCTGTTTGTTGTGATATTGGAAAACAGGAATGAGGCAACAAAGGAATACTTACGCTGGATGAATTCCCAAACTCATCTTCTTGCTCAAGCTAGATTTCTTGACCTTGAAGACTTCGCCGTCGCCTTCCTGCAAAGTAAAAAAAAATTAGATTCTGGTCTGTCCTAGCATTCAAACGCAAACCTCTTCATCTCCACCAAAGCTCAATCGCGATTTGGGTTTAGCCTTCTGGATTTTCTTCTTCAGCTTGGTCGCCAACGTGCTCGGTGAGTCTTCCAGTGTTTCTGACCCGTCATCAGCAGAGACACTGGGCACTGTTTCCTTCTCTCTGGGCTTTGGCTTGCCCTTGTTGCGTTTGAAGATGACGGGAGCGGGAGAGTTCATCGCGCTGACTGACGAAGGTGGGAGGTTGTGACTTTGAGTCCCGTGACAAACGCGTGACATGGGAATGACCTTCCCGAAATCGAAGAATTCCCACGGATAATTTCCTGCTTTAAGCCACATGGCAGACTCAACTATAGCCAGACCACGACCCCGCCCACGACCCGTCGCAAAGGCGTCTTCTAGCACAAATGTTGTACCGTCTGCAACACCGGCGACTTCAGGAGCAGGATCGAGCACCAATGCGATAACAGCACCTATGGGACGCGTGATTGTGGTTGAAGACACGGACGAGATGTTTATGCGGAATCGAAATCGTACAGCGAAGACCTGGCAAAAGCTCGAACAATTGAACAAAGGTGCACTGCTTCAATTCATACGCGCTCGTCTCGCTACTAACGCGTAGTGGGTGTTCGATTCTCACAGAAGTGATCAAGGTCAAGGATGACACGACCGACAGTGATGATGAGGAAGGTTCCCCTCGACGAAAGCACAAGAAGCAGAAGAGAGAGCCCAGCGCCGTACCTCAGTGGCAGAAGAACAAGAATATCGCTCGGTACGTCCTATCCCTCTTCAATATGCGGCCTAGCATCCTCACTTTGACCGTCCGAATACTTATCATGTATGGTCTACAGGATGCTTTCGCAAGACCTTTCCGAATCATCAGATGATGAAGTAGAAATCACTGGAGAGTCATCCACGCCGAACGGGAAACGGTTCGGGAAACGGAAACGCCGCAGCCGCTCACGTTCAATTACACCGCCACCTGCCCTCCCTCAGCACCAAATACAGTCCGCCAAGGACCTTGTCAGGTAATCAATCAACCATAACATTGGCCTCGCTCCCTCTTATGCCAATTTCTGCAGGAAAACTCTTCAAGCTGCTGCTCGCCCTTCATCTCCTACAGTAATCGACCTCGACCCGGACGAGTCGACAGACACCATCATCTTACAGCCAGAGCTAAATGCTTTGGCTCAGGAGATCGCCGAACAAGCACGTCGTGGAAGCAGTCAAGCACCTGAGGTCACTTCAGGAGATGAGGTTGTCATTACTGTCAGATGGCAACCACATCCGCTGGACACGAACGGGAAGAAGGAGGAATGGAAATACCAAATGGAAAGGGTGAGTGATTCCCTGCAAAGCCACCATCATTTGCTTATGATTTTATCTCAGACGGACAATTTTCGCGATTTGTTCGAGGCGACCGCAGAGGATTCGGGCATCCTGAGTGCTAATCTCATCATGACTTATCAAAGAAGTCGTATCTTCCCATCCGTCACTCCTCAAACACTGAGGATATGGGCTGACTCTGCTGAATTTAGTAGGCCATATTCGTCGTCTCTTCTCTGACCACACTTATGAATATTCGCATAGTGGCATATGAGAAGACGGCCTTTGATTACATACAACGGAGTAATATTCACATTCGACCGCAGAACATCGATTCAATACCGTCAACCAGCAATGACACTGTCGAGATCACGTCAGACTCCGATTCAGATGTCCAAGAACTACCCGCCCACAGCCAGCTCACCCAAGCCGTTCAATCGCAACAAGAGTCTGAATCCGAGGCAGAAGAAGCGGACCAAGGCGAGAAGTTCAAACTAATCTTGCGTTCTGGGGTTACGAGCGGTAAAGACATCACTCTCGTTGTACGCCCAACCACCAAGTGTGGTGCTATCGTCAAGGCTTTTTTGAAGAAGGCCGGGATGACAGAGCAATACCCTGAAGTCTTCACCGACGCTGTCGTGCCTGCGTCAGCTGCAACGGCGAAGGGCAAGAAAGGTGGAAAGAAGAGCAAGGCAGCTGCAGCCACCGCAATCTTGCCACCCAAAGATCCTAGATTATGCATCGATGGCGACAAGATCAACAACGATATGGAGATCGGAGATGCAGATCTGGAGGATGGAGACATGGTCGAGGTTGTTGGACTCTGAGCAGGTTTCTGGATCTGGTTTCTTTCCTCTGCATTTTGTTGGACCTAAGCTCCCTTAGCTACTTTATCTTATTGCTTGCTAGTCTCTACCGTAGCCCGTAAAAAAGAAGGTAATGATTCTGTACGAAAACCACACGCGAACCGCATAGACTGCGAATAACAAAAAAAAATGTTATAGTAACTACTACTCACCAGCTATGTATCCCAGTCCGTAAGTACACAATCTCAACATAACGAACAACAATTCTATTGCCAGCCATCTTCAGCATTTCGGACCAATATACGCGCATTGTTGACGAAGGCTCGTATTAATTCATCGAATGCACTCTGTTCATGCTCTGAGGTATTAGGGTCGCCTCTTTTCAACGCAGTTGCTAAGACAAGCTCTGGACGTGCAATCTCTACCTCAAGTTCGTGAAGTATTTGCGCCTGAAAGGTAGAGATGCAAATAAAAATCGGCACAGAAAGCTCGGAAGAGACAGCACACACCGGTGCATTGGGAGATGTTGTGGAGGTCACTTGGGTGAGATCAATCTTGAACTCTTCGTGCGAATAGCTAAGGCGGTCCTTTCTTCTGGTAAGTGTGGCCGAGCCAATAGGGTGAGGAACTTGAAGGAAGGGAAACAAGAGAGTCAAAATAGATGTTCCTGGCTCGACCGGGTTAGACGAACAAACCTGGAACTTCCAGATTTACGCTGACCCTCCAATCCGCGCTTCGCTTCGGACTGTACACGTTCAGGTCTCCCAGCCGAATTTTCTTCATCGACTCTATGACAGATCCCGTCTTCTCATCGCGCGTTACTCGTATCTTCTCATTTCCCTCAGCGGCGTAGAAGGTGTCTATCAAATAGTGGTGGCTGTAGTCGACTGGGCTGCCAATGTGCGAGGCTTGCGAAGACTGCGTCTTCAGCCTGTTGAGAAGCGTATTAAAGTGTTTATGCTGGCCCTAAAAATTATAGGCTGTGAAAAAGGGGATGCAGGAGAGGAAAGACGCGACGTACAACTGACATGTTCGATTCAAACCGCGAGTCCGTGGCATTTGGGGTAAGAACTGTCGCCAAAAACGTCCACAACCAAGAACGAGGTGAATGAGACGGAAAGGCAGGCAGTTAATATGGCATCCCATCCCAACAAGAGAAACGACGTGTACTTGTCTCCACAAGAACAGGTAGCGAGAGCCGGTGTCCCGTCGACCGGTCGCGCAGGACCCCAATCTTCGCCTCTACTTCAACCTTGCTATTGGGTATGTCTGGGCGTGTCATGACCATGTGATGGACGAAGTCTGCAATCTCTCTGATGAACTCGTCAAGCGGCTCGACCCCGAGAATAGACAGCGACAGTGGTGGGAGGAGGGAACTTTCACGATATCCAGATCCCTGGGCGTTGCCATTCGATGAGTCGGGCGGCGGGGAAGTGGTGCGTCGGACGCGCTTCATTGGAGGGGAGGATGTACGTAGTTGCATCGAGAGGGGCGTCGTGTCCAACGTGATGCAGAGCCATTATGTAAACACACCCCTGTCGTCGGGAGAGGCGGTCCGGCCACTAAGCGCTCAAATTTTTAATATACGAAGCATGGGGACTGAAAGACTGGTGTGTTAAGTATGGGCTGCTTACAAAACATAGAAAGTGACACAAGTATTTTTAACAAAGGACAAATATCACACTTCGACCACGGGCCATGCAGGTCCCCACAAGTAATTTAATCTTCTGTCTCGTCATCGGCATGTCCTTCGACACAGGCAATGGCATCACCGAAAACTTTGATAAATTCGGGATAGTCCTTCTTCGCCTCATTGACAAGATCCTTCCGTGTTCTGGGAGCTGCGCCTCTACTGATTCTTTCCGTTAAACGGAAATGGATGATCGTGAAGAGCCGTTGCAACAAATGCTGCATAATTGACTCCGTCTTGACTGCGTAGGGGTCCGCGAGGCCGAGAAGATCAGTCGGGGCGTAGTTGCTCCTCCAACTAATACGGCCTTTCTCGTTAATGATTGTCATGCTTATAGCATTTTCGTCCGAGTCTTCGATGTCATCGTTGAACTCGAGGGGAAGATGTGCATTGCCTTCAAGTGGCGTTTTGAGTAAGTCCACGAGGGCATCGTAGATCACGGTCAGATAGGGGATGTAGTCTCCTCCAGTGTGGTCACGGCTGTTGGCTGCCATGTGGAGAACATGCTCGATAAAACTTGGCCGTCCTTTTGCAGGAGTGCTGGGGAGCATTCTCCCCAAGTTTTGGAAGTTGTTGGAGGCATCAAGATACGCCCTGTAGCTTTCTACGGTAGGATTAAATAGAGCGTCAGTGCTTCAACAGACAGGGAGGATTGACGTTGCCTACCACTCGCCACTCCGTGCAGGAAATCAAGCCATGACTGGCGATCTTCAAGAGTCATGAGCTTAAGAGTCTTGGCTTCGTCCTTCCGAGCCTTGCGGGAACTTGAGATAGCGGGAGCTTTGGAGTTTAAAAAGGCAGGCATTGCGTAAAGTCAAATCCTGCGTAGCTTTCGAGGTGGGGTTGAAGGGGGTTGAGGGGGTTACCTGCGTTGGTTGATAAATGCGCCATCTCTCGACGCTTTAAATACACTGACTCGGATGGAGAAGCAAAGCGCGTATCAGTGGCCTATGTGTCCACAATTTGGCCCCAGTATAAGCGGCGCCACATTTTCGAGATAAGCGCATGTCGGACAGCAACCGTTGACCTTGTTATCCATTTCAGGCATCAGGTCCGTCCTCAGCATCTATGCTATGAGCCGGACCTCTCGCCCTTCGAGATAAATATTGCCCGCCAGGCGGCTGCGTGCCACAGAAGGAGTTCAAGGATGGCCCAAAGCCAAAGCGAAGTAAATGGTGGCGGATTCTTGGCATTCCTTGAGTCTTGGCTCCAAGTGGCGACATTTCCGTTTCAGGCTTCTCTAACCCAACCACCAGGTACGTGAATGAAACCATATTAATGGGGCGAGAGCAACAAAAATGTTACTAGATCAACAGAATATACGAAGGAATATTTTGACCATTGGGTCGTTGATATTCAGTCAAGACATGATCACAATCCAGCGAATTTATAGAGCGCACTCTTGTCGCCGCTTCCATCGACGAGCGCTCTCAAAAAACCTTTTTCGTTTCTGAGGAGAACTTTCGGGCTGTCGAATTCGACCTATGTGTCATCGTCAGAGGACCCTGGTTTCGACCCACCTGATGCACTTACGATGCGTCCGCTGTCGAGGACCATCTATAAAAAACAATGCGTCAATAGAATTCCGTGAGAGCAATGATTACGGAAAGTGAACGCACAATTTTATTCGCGTCCATGATAGTTTGAAGCCGGTGGGCGACTGTGATGACGGTAACATCATTTCTGAGTTGCTTGCGAAGAGTGCTTTGGATGATAGCGTCGGTTTTGTAGTCTGAAATGGAAGGCATGAGCTGCGACTTCAAGAAGGAGATTGGGCCGACCGATTGCAGAAGTGGCCTCGTCCAGAATGAGGAGCTTGCTTCCGCGAACCATGGCACGAGCGAGGGCGATGATTTGTCTCTGACCGACGGAGAGATTACCGCCTCCACCTGCGATCTTTGTATCCAGAGTGATCCGCGCCTCTCCTGCCTCGTCTTGAAGCGAGAAAAGACCAGCTGAGCCAAGAGCATCGTTCAAGATGGCATCGTCGTGTTGCTCAAATGGATCCAGATTTTGTCGAAGGGTCCCTAAAGTAAGCATGGGTCAAGAACTCCTGGCCTATCGAAGAGTATGTTGATTCATACCGCTCAAGAGCTCGGGCTTGGAGGCGGTAAGCATCAATACCACATCGCATACAGGCCAAGACGCACCGTTTGAGGTATGATCGTGATGTTCGACCGCAGGGCATCGAGGTTCATGTCTTTTGTGGGCAGGCCGCCATAGTACACGGTGCCCTCCGTGAGGATGCAACGCAGAAGAGCAAGTGTCAAAGAGCTCTGTGAACGAGTTGAGTTCTTGACAATGACTTGCATACCGGGGAGAAATCCGCATACCTTGCCACTTCCGGTTCGTCCGACTATCAAATCGTACGTCAGTCGACCTTGATACATTGGCTCTCATGATGCATACCGATGCCGACACGCTCGCCAGACTTGATGTGGAAAGAGACATCATGCAAAACCTTGGGACCAGACTGGAGCGAAAGAGAGTTTAAAACCTGAAGATGAGCGTTGCACTTTAGCCCATACCTGGGAATAACGAGCCGATAACTTTTCGACCTGCAGGTCTCCACTTGTCGGCCATGCTGCGGGTGGTCGTCCAGACTCAACAGGCTTCGGCTCGTGCTCGATGTCGATGTAACCTTGGACACGTTCGAGACTATGGAGGTATAAGGGTAGTCAGTTTGATCCTATGGGAAAGGAAGATCTTTGATTTACCTGTTTGAATCGACCTCGAGGTCGTTGTAGACTCTGATGAGCCAGAAGATGTACATGGTGAAAGTGACAGCCATGTTGAGAGAAAAGCCAGTATTCGAAGCACTGACCCTCTGGAAGTATACCAGATAGGTGGCGAGAGCGGACGTGAATAAGGCCCCGAGGAGGTCAATCCGGAAGCCGATCCATCGATTGATGTTCCAAGAAGTTCTTGCTGTACGTGCATAGTGGTCGATCCGTTTAAGCGATTCGACCTTGAATGTCTTCTGTGCGCCATACGCCCGAATGGAAACTATCCAGAATTAAGTAAGAAGGGGATTCAAGGGTGCAAGGAGGACTAGACAACTTACCTAACCCATGGATTGCGGCACTGAAGTGGGCCAGTAACGGAGAGCGGGCATTACTGAGAGACGTTGGTTAGATGACGGAGAAGTTGCTGATCCCAGACGCACCTCATTTCCCTCTTGACAGAGAGCTGTGCCTTCAAGTAGAGGTTGCCTAGATACAAGCCAGCCAATGCGATGAATACGCCCGGGAACAGGAAGATAGGCGTAAACAAAACGATGACGCCAAGTTTCGTCAAGACTCCCAGAATCTGATCGACGACCCACATCAGTGACTGTGGAATAGGGCCGTCAATGGTACGGATATCTTGGGTACAGCGGACAATAATGCGGGCAGTAGGAGTCTCGTCAAGCCACCTGTAGTATGGCCTTGTCAGAACACCACATTATCGATAGGCTCGGGAAATATACCGGAGTGTGCTCCCGAAAACTGAATCGATGAGTTTCGCATGTATCCTCCTTGAAGCACCGACGGAACGATAAGCGTACCACAAGTTAACCGCACCGAAGACGATTTCGTGTACGACGATAATAACGGTGAAAATTCCGATATAGCTGCAACGATCAAAAATACATTAATCATACGCCCAAACTAAGAGACCAAAACTTACTATGCCAAATTCACTTCGGATGCCGCGTGTTTCTCATACTGTGCACCCCACATACCCAAGAACCAAGTCTGGGCCGTGTAAATGATTTGGGATGTCCACAATGTCGTCGCGAAAATGAAAGCGAATGTTACGAGATGTCCTTCACTCAGACCGTCAAGAAGGAGGCCCATTGTCCTCCAGCTTACGTGGCCGACGACGACCTCCTCCGCCATGACCAGTTTACCAACACCTGATACAACGTCCTTCGGCTTGTCGATGGTCTCATTTTCCTTCGCTGCAGCTACGTCTGTCGCTTCGTTGTCCGCCACCTCCGAGGCGAGCTTTGGGTCATTTGCCAGAGCGAGGGCGACCTCATTTCCTTGAGTTCGCACATTTCCGTCGACTCCGATTGAAACAACGAAATCTGCCACAGGACCAGCAAGAGCGACATTGTGGGTCTAGCACACAGTGGTTATGAGATTTCGACAACGTAGAGCGACAACTACTTACAACCAGGAGCATAGTTCTATCTTTAACGAGATCCCCTTTGAAACATTCGGTAACAATCCAAGCTGAGGTATGGACGTCAAGAGCAGCCAAAACATCATCAAGGAGTATGATCTTAGCAGGAGAATAGATAGCTCTTGCGAGTGTGACACGAGCCTTTTGGCCACCACTAGAGGCCACTTGAGCTATATGTATCGTATGCTATGCACAGGAGAGAAACCCACCTTAACGTCAGGCCTTTCTCGCCTACCTCTGTCGCGTCTCCTGCTTCAAACAGCTCCAAATCTCTCTCCAGAGCACATTGGCTGATGACTTTCTTGTACCGCTCCTCATCATAGGGCGATCCAAAGATAATATTCTCGCGTATTGTTGCGTTTTGCACCCAAGATTCCTGAGCGGCGTACGCAACGCCCTCTCCGCGTGGTAGATTAAAGCATGAGTTAGGGTTCGAAGGGATGAAATGCATCTCCCCTGCGTATATATGAGCAAAAGTGAATTGAGCACATCTGACGGCTAAGACATACCGAGGAGAGCCATTAACATTGAAGTTTTGCCGGAACCACTGCATTGGAGCCAATAAGCATGCTATACTAAGATTCGTCGAAGAAAAGCGCGAACGTTGGCCCGATGATTAAGTTGATGCAATTTCGCTTGAAGAACAGCTCTCCGTCGACATTGAGCCTATACACCCTGCTAGAAGGCGTCAGTGCTCCGTCGTTGTCCTCTGCCGACCATGCAAAGGTGGCATTCCTAAACCCGATCTGGCTATCCTCTTCGTTGACACCCGAAGTTGGAACGGCGTCCGCAGTCGGTTCCAGAAGACCCAATGGTTCGACAGGAGGTTGGGGGCCAGTAAATGCGTCCAGCAATTCTGCAGTTTGCAAGAACTTGTTGACACGGTCGAGAGAGACCTTGCCTTCGATCATCATCATTGTCTGCCATGCGATCCTGTGCAACTGCTCGCGCAAGATAGAGAAAACGGCCATACTTGAGAAAATCTTGGAAGCTATACGATTCGCTCGTAAGACAGCAGGAAGTATCTGTGAGAGAAGCTAGACCAACCGTTCAATTCCTCTTTCATGAATACTGTGTACGTGATGTAGGTTGCCAACATCGTCAGAGTCGGTATGAACATACTGACGAAGCCCAGTCTCATCAGCTTGGTATCTTCGAGAACGAAGCACGTACAACTGACCTAATAAGCATACTGATTAATTTCAACATCTTAGACTTCCATATCCACTTCAGCTCTTCCTCTCTCTTCTGCTGAAGCCGGGCCGTCATCTCGCCTTCCCAGCCAAATAACTTGATCATACGGAGGACACCAACAGCCTCTGTAATGGACTGGACACGGGCATCGGTCATCTTCATCCTGACAACCTGTACGTCTTGAACCTTCTTCCCCAAGAGACCAGCCAGAGGACTGAGGGCCACAGTTCCAACGAGGCCGACGATTGAGCTAAAAAAAACGAAAGTTATGACACATCTAGCTTAAGGCGGAAAAGGAAACCTACCTCCAGCCTAAAATTTGGTAGAGGAAAATCGTACAAAGGATAATCTGCATGGGTACGTGGAGAACTATTCGATGCTTAGCATTCGAAGATCGTAGCAAAGATAAAGTAGAGAACGAACCAAAGTTCAGATAATCACTGGCCTCCAGAATATTTAGTAAATCCGTAGTGATGAAGTTGTTAATCTTCCCCAGGAGGTTCTCCGTGTCGCCTGCGTGTTTCTTCGGGACCTCGTCCTCACGTTCTGTCTTAGCCTTGGGTTTGCTGTCCACAGGCTGTTGGCCTTGTGCCTTAGCCTTGCCCTTGATAGTTGACGACACGCTCTCCGTCTCCTGGATCGTCGAGTCCGAGGCTGAGAGTGATGGAGAAATATCAGTCGACACAACAGTTGTTGAGGCAGTCTCGTTCTCGTCTCTTTCTACATCGCCTTTACGACGATCTCCTTCGATGGAACCGGTCTCCGGAGAGTCGCTAGCGCCTTCAGTAATTGAAGGAGCCTTCAAGCTTGCCTTACTGCCACGCTTGCTGCTGCCATCACCTGCTGCCTCCGCCTTCAATCTGATCCTGAGCGCATGTTCAAAAACCAACTGGGTGATAACTACTTCCAGGCGTACGCGTACGACGGTCGCAAAGAAAAGATACTGGTGGACAGTGAGGGATTCAAGAATGGGCCCGAAGAGAAGCCACCCTATCCAGAAGCTAGGGCGTATATCTGATGGTGGCGTCGAGGAAACGTCTCTCGTTTCGAGATAGCTACAGCGAGAAGGGTAAATAAGTGACCCTGGATAGGACAGATAATACAGACCTGAGAACCTGCTTGATCCCGATAGGGGCGACGAAGCTCATGAAGGACGTCAAGATGATGCTAATGGCCATGAGGACGTATTCCTTTCCTGAGTATTCCGCTCAGTAACTTCGCAATTGAAGAGAAGAGGTGCCACATACGAAGATGCCACATAAGGCCATAGAACAGATGTCTTCTCTTCGCCCCGTAAAATGTATCTACGTGCTATTTGCCAAAGAAATGAGGTGGATATATTTCCGGCTGTGGATCTCACTTACAGGAAATGCCCTCGTGGTCTGAACATGAGCCCAATCTTCGTCGCAGAGGGGCGGCAGTTGGCTATGCTGGATGTGCGCCACCCTCGAACCTAGAAATACAAGAGGATCCATGAACGTGAAGGTTAGCCTTGAGACCCACGATGCCGTTTGCTCGGGGTTGGGAATGGGCATCGGATTCTGAAATGGGCCATTGGCATGTGGCGGGACAAGATGTCGAAGGCTTACCTTGGGATCTACGGGCACGTAACGCCGCGGGATGAACAAGGGAATAAGGATTGCCGTCACTCCCAGAACCATTATCTTGACCCATAGAAGACGACCCTCATCAATATCGGCGGGTTTTTGGGAGTACGTCATAAGGGGCCATAAGTCTCGGTAGGCGTAAGCACCGAACGTGGCAAGAAGAGTGGTGGAGGCGTATCCGACGGCTGAAAGGGACCAGGTTTTTGAGGTCAATGAGATGAGGGTAAAGAAAAGCGCGTGAACCTGTTGGCATTGAGTAAGGGAGAGCAAGATTGTGGAAAAGAGTACTTACGTATGTCGAGCTGAGGAAATACTCAGGGCACGACTGCCGTTCTGTGTTGAAGTTGCACTGCCGGACGCTGATGCTGGACAAGTAGAGTAGGGTGACAACGCCAACTAGGCGAGCTAACATAAACGCGTAGATTGTGTACCCTCCATAGAACTGAACGTGATGGTTGATCTTTTGGAAGAGAGTACCATCAGAGGTCGTGTCATGAACGTCGCCAGGCCTCTTTTGTAGCTGTGAATGGACAACGTGGAAGGCGAGCTGAAGAACCAGACAACCAAGGGAAATCGCAGCGACGGCAAGAGGGACAGTTCGTGTGTCGAGCTCGACGTGGCTGTGGAATATCGTCAATGCACGGTGAAAAGGTGAGGCAGTGAGGGAACGCACGCGTTCTTGTCCTCCAGGAAAAAAGAATCGCCACCACCCTGATAGCGGAATCCCCTTGACCAGTTCTCCATTCGTGTAGAGACAGCGCTTCAGTGCACTGCACCACCCCGTTGCAGGAAGATATGCGAAAACTAGTGTTGGTGACGTTCTAAAAACAGAACGGTCGAGTCAGATTACGCATCCGTAAGTATGTTTCTCACCTTGATAGCACCGAGTGCGGCTTTGTTGAGATCTCATCCACACAATTCCCTGGCAGGAGGGTGACGACGATGATAACGATATCGGAGGCGCATATGGTGTTAGTTCCTGCCGACTCTTGCCGTTTTCTCGCGTGCCAAATACCAACGCTTTCGGCCACGACATCTGAAGAGACATGAAAAGATTTGCGAGAGACACGTCCTCATCGGATAACTGAAAATTCGGCAGCTACATATGTACCGTGGATGTGAAAGCGAGCGGGACATTGGAACTGGCAGTGGTTGGAAGAGAGAAAGGTCCCAATAACGTTGGCGTCTGATTGAAGTTGATAAGTGACGACATAAGGCACACCTTTGTTCAATTTCACCACCATGCATAATTTCTTCCCTTCCAACTTCGACCTTTCCTCGCTCATTCCAGGCCCGAAACTCACCGTCTACACGTTCCAGTGTGCGAAAGAGTATCTCCCCTTAGTATAGCCCAGGTAAGTCTCTGGATCCTATGCGAGTGCTGATTCGTATCGCTCAATCTCATGCAGAGAAAAATGGAGCCTTGTCTTTCTTGCGGGCGATTTACATGTGAGGAACAACGCATAACCCCGCCTTGCAACACTCAAGAGAATTCTTGCAGCGCGTGCTTGAAGCTACGCGAGCTCGAATTCAAAATCTCCAAAACGCGCCTCCTTCTCGCCCGCCTGGCGCAAGAGAGCTATTCCCTCAAATATGGCATAAATTGCGTTCATGATCCCGTCACCAGTCGTCTTCCTCCAGAAGTTATTTCCCACATCTTCGTACTCTGCGTCCCAGAGCCTATAGACATACCCATTACATTTGAGGACAAGGGCCCGTCGGCACCTCTCCTCATTGGAGCCGTTTGCAAGAGGTGGCACGAGATAGCATGGTCGACTCCTGATCTTTGGACAACACTTTACTTTTACCTGGATCTCAACACCCTTCCTCAACAACAGAAACAATTGGAACAGTGGCTTGTGCGATCCGGCGAACTCCCACTTTCCATCCATCTTGGCATAAAAAGACGAGTCGGTACCATCTCGGCATTTTACCCATTCATCGACATCGTCAATCAACAATCCTATCGATGGAAGGGCCTGTACGTCTACCTGCCTCACATATTGGTTTCGCGTCTTCAAGTACACAACATGACACGCTCAGTCCTGGAAAACCTCTGGGTATTCCCTGCAGCAGGCGGTGGTCCTGAGTTGGGAGACAGTTCCGACGGCTTACTGAAGGGAACGACGGTTCACTCGCCCAAAATCATATACATCGGCGCCATACATTTCGGATTAATAAACATAAAATGGAACAATGCGACAAGCGTGCAGCTATCCCAAATATCTCTGTCCGAATGCCTGCATCTCTTTTCATCAGCACCCTCCCTGATAGACTGCAGTCTGCACTCCCTTACAGAGGACTCGCTGCATATCGCCGTTCCTTCAACATCCACCATACTCCATCAACTTCGCCACCTGGAGATCGAGGATTCTTCCTGGAGCATCTCCGAAGCTCTTGTCGATCGGCTCTTGCTTCCAGCCTTGGACGTCCTCGAGGTCGATGCGTGTAGTGCAGAGTCCCTTCGATCCTTGTTCATCCGGTCGAACTGCCCCATTCGCACCCTGGCCATTTCGGAAACCGATGTGGGAGATGGACTGCTCGTCCAAGTGTGCCAAACCATTCCTTCCCTGGAATATCTGCATATCCTAGGCGAATGCGGATTTTTCGACAAAATTTTCCACCATCTCGGAACCCCCTCGCTCATACCTGAAGATGGTGGCCAGACATTTTTGCCAAAGCTCAGAGAGATTCAGGTTTCGGGCATTCGCGGATATAATTGGGCCTCAATCCCTAAAATTTTCGGCTTCCGGCCAGTATCTGAAGAAGGGAAGAGACATGCCCTGAATGTCTCATTCAACGTTTGTTTTCGGGGCGAAGACGAATATATTGACGAGGCTGTGATACCTGACATCCTCAAGATCGTTGCCCAGGGTGTTAATCTAACTATCACCGACGGGGACACTAGCTTCGACCTCATCACCATGTCCCAGGAGTATCATAAAGTGTTGCAGCAGAACAAGCATAAAGTATCGCAGCAGAACAAGCAAGCGACAGAAGACAGGAGCACCGACAGTCCTATGAAATCCGATATGGACGATTGAACCTGGGAATTGCGTGAGTGTTCCCTATTCAACTGTTGCACAACACTTCCTAAGTCCTGACCAGGCCAAAAATATCTACCCCCCTCGTCAAAACGTGTTGCAGCTTAACCATCCTCATTTTTATTACAGACAAATGTCCAAACCTACTTTTTCTCTAATAACAACCTCGGTCTCTTTCAATCCTCTGCGTTCACAGCTGTAGGCTCTGTGATTCGTCTGGTTTCTGGGAGTGAGCACTGGCCCTGGTCCAGTCATCGCCTGTGCCTGCTCGTTTAGATTCATTGCTTCCTGCTTGTCACGTTCTTCAAGACTCTTTTCTTCTCTAGATTCGCATTTCCCCTTTGCCTTCGATCTACCGCGTCCTCCAAAACATCTCGATGTGAGACGCCTTTTCTTCACTGCGCATTGAGCCACGCATTACTCTCCCTGCTTTGCGAATCCCGAATTGCCTTTAGGTCCAATGGACCCACTGCAATCCGTGTTTTATCATTCGCAAAGTCCACTTGCCTCGCTCAATATATTGGGCAATATCACTTAGTTCATGGACCTTTCTGCGATGGCGTAGACCCGTAATCCGAATTTCCCGATAGATGGGTGGTTGTCATCAGAGAGGTTGGGCGGACAATCCCATATGCTCGTAACGTACAAATACAGAGGAAAGAAGATATAAAACAGATAGTAGGATACGCAACCGAGTTCAGTTCTTCCTTCCTGCCTCTATCATCTCCTCACCCTTATGGATCAGCACTTCATTGTGCGTCACTCTGCCCGCGATCTTTTCTGCACGTCCGAAAATCCTGTTCGTGATCTTTCCCTTAGGATGGGCGCTAGTTGCTCCTGCTGGTGCCTTTGCGCTTGGGCTACCAGGATTGTCCATTCCAACAGCACCGGCGCCGACATCTGCGGCGACTGCGGCTCCAACTGACACGACACTCTTTCGCCTGCCGCGTAGACTCATTCCTTGGGGATGGTGGGTTTAGACTTGGGTGCAGGATGACATACACGGAACTTACTGCGAGATCCCTTCGTGTGACTGACGGTGGTTGATGGCTTACCATCCCGGTGATGCACAATTTCGACTTCTTCAGTAATCGTCTCGCCAGGACGCAAGTTGTACGTCGACTTTTCTTCGCGTGCGCCATGTTGGTCGGTTATAGTCACTTTGGTCCCACCTATCGGAACAAGCAGTTAGTAACAAAAAATAATCTGAATCCGAGAAATTAAACCCACCTGATTCGAGGCCGGTATGAACGCGAGTCTCCCTTTCAGTAAAGCTCTCGCCGGGACGTAAGTGTAAATGTGATGGACCCTCAGTTGTCCAGGTCTTTCTGCCCTGAGTAACTTTTGACTTGTCGGAGTCGAATCCTGCTTTGCCACTGTCCTGACGAGGGGCGTCGTGGTGCTCATCTACAAAGAAGAGCAATGTCAGCCGCAAAGACGAGATATCGTCGTATCTCTCTCACCTTCTGAGTGCTCAGTCCCTCTGAAAGTTTTATCTTTTCCTCTAGGCGGACGTTGCAAGAAATCTTGACTTCCTTGAGCTGGAATCTCTCGGCCAGCGACTGCGTTCTTCGTCGGTGTAGTAACTGAACTCAGCTCTTGTGTGGCAGTAGCGTCTTCAGGGCCGACGAGCCGTTGCTGACCTTGATGCCCACCGCCAGCGGAAGTCGACACAGTGCTTCGATTGGAGGCCGAAGGAGGTCCTAAAGGAGATCCGTGCGCGTCACCGTTAGTACCCTCATGTCTAGGCTGTGGCATATCCATCCCATGCCCCATAGCTAGGCCAGCTCTATCTTTATCCATAGCCGCGGCCTGTTGTGTACCATTGACATTCGTCGAGGTATCAGGGTTTGGATCGTAGGGCTCTGGGATCGGCATCGTCACCAGCTCTGGTTCTCTTGCTGTGAACGCCTGGACTTCGGGACCATGGTTAACTCCCGCGACAGCAGCTATGACACCCCCCGGGAAGTGACCCGGAGCTATTGGGATACCATATGGTTGTTCTGTCATTGGGTTGACTGCATCGTGGTGGCGATGTTGAGTTGAGCACACAAATTGGTGAGTGTGGGGTTGGGTTGTGTTCGTTGGCATATCTGACACATTGCATGTCCCGTTGAGTACATAAAACTGCCAGGAGAAGAAGTGGGTACACACCAGGACGACAAGCCTCATCCTTAAAATCTCGGGGAGTCTCCCCTAGTTTCAAATCTCCGGCTTTCTGTACAGAAGACATAACGTTGAAGATAGTTTGGGTGGGAATGAGGTCGAAGAAAGGGGTAAGACGGTTCCAGAGGATATTCCTGTCTCGGTCTCGGAAGCGCCACGAGTTCTCATGACGCATATTGAGCGACATAACAAAATAATTCGTCCATGAAGGTCAGACGTCAAGGAGTGAACAAGGTACATTGAGAGCGAGAGGAAAAATGTTGGAACATTGGTGGCCGAGCGCTAATTCAACCGAATCGGTTGCTTTAGGGAAGATAAGATAACAGAGATCAGACGCCAGCTGGAAAAATGACGAACGGAAGATGTGCTCTCGGCTTTTTCGCCTCATACTCAAGGATACTGCCAGCAGCGATGCAGGCAATGGTCAATCAATGAGAGAAACAATTGTCTGCCCGCCCCTCCTTTGTTTGTTGTTTGGCCAGGGACGCAGCCAGGTTTTCTAAGTCCAGACGCCACCAACTTAGAATTTCATGCTCAAGTACATAGCGATGCCACGGAGAAACTGTGAATGACATTATCGAGCAGTTACAAAGGATACAACTTAGTAGAATACATATATTATTATCAATGCGAGGACGCAAGCGGCGTGGCTCGCTCGTGGAGCACCCCACCGTCTCCAGCCCATGATGAGTGGTTGAGAAGCACAAGAAGGCGAGTGCAGCACGCGGGCGAGGGCGAAACGATGGGCAGGATGGCGGGACCGCAGGAACTCTCCTCGGCAATATTATGTAAGCTTCATTTAGAAAGCGGAGAACGAAGCCCGCGGAGTTCGAAAAAAGGGCCGAGGACCGGGCAAAGACCCTTCTCTCTACTACAATGGCGACCTCGCCTATCGTGACTTCGTTAGATTTGCCCCCCAAGCCTGTCGCAAATGAAACCGTCGGCCAAGTCGTTGCCGTCCATCCTTTCCTCTTCAGACCATTGCTGCGCATTCCCGTCCGCTGCTGCCCAATGTCAGACGGCAACTACAGCGACAAGCCATGCATTCCAACGACTACCGTTCTCGACGCGTGTGCCATTGTCACGGGAAATTACAACGGCAATGGCCATCTCTTTCGCGACCGAGAAGGGCAAACACCCGTTCCATCATCTTTTCTTGAGCCAGGCCAATACTTCTATGTCGTCGACCACGATCCTAGCTTGAATTACCCGCTCTTCGCCTCCTTCGACGTCTGGGTTCCACCTCCTCGCTGTGATGTACCCGACCATTGGTTTTCTCCCCAATGTCCGAAGGAGCAGAGTTTGCTGTTGCCAGACACCCGATGGACCAACGTCGATGCCTCCAGCCGAAGCGCTGTGAGTAGTGCCGCGAAGGGCCTGGACGGGCAGTGTCTACTTTCAGGGTATTTGTGGCCCATCGAAGGTGCCCACATTATCCCCATGGAGAATGCTCTTTGGGTATGTATGCTACATCAACTTGGATGTGTTTATTACTCACGCGGCCCAGTACACTGCTCGTCAAGTTTCAGACCAACTGCGTCACCCCGGTAGCTATCCGACCAGGCTGAGTGGTGACAATGTTGTACACGACATTCGCAACTTTATCACTTTAAGAGCTGATATCCACAGGAGGTGGGACAAGCACACATTTTTCTTCATTCCCTTCAATGGATCTTTCGTGTTGTATTTCATTGGGAAACTTGCCGACCTATATTCGACCCAGTATCATTTCAGAAAAGCCAGCTTTCCAGAACGTGTTGACCCTTACCTTCTCTTCATCCGATTTGCTATGGCAGTCTTTTCCACCTTACGCGAGAAGGCTGTAAATGAACTTCCTCACCCCAGGCAAACTGAGGTAACTTTGAAGGGTGTTGGCACCACCCGTCGCCGCCGTGCTGGGCCTTCAGCAGGTGGCCGGCTCCAAACCACCATGGAGGAACCTGATGATGCAACTATGGAGGAACAGGAAGATGATATGGAGGAGGTCTTGTCAGGAGAGGGGGGTCATGGGGATGATGTGTCAGAGTTAGCAGAGTTAGAGGATGGCCCAAAGCTGCTTGTCAAGATTTTCGAAGGTCAGTCCCCTGTCTCCTCTACTGAGCTAGTGTCTGATTTCTCTCAGAGGATGGCTTGGAGCTTCCCCCTGATCTCGCTGCAGCTTTTATCCCAAGGGATGAGAAAATTGAGGCTGCAAAGATTGCTTGGTTCGAAGCCAACCCGCAAATTCGTCAATGCTCAGAGGCTACTACTGGTGTCGCAAGCGGGATTCATTTCGAGTAGAGGCTGTCATGTTTGTAAGATTGTTTGGGAAAAGCTTCAATAATTTCATTTAGGCTGAATCTTCGTGAACCACGAAGGGCAGACGCTGTCCATTGAAGAACCTTATACAACAACAACAGCAATATTTTCACTGTGAAAGCTTCGACGTTCGTGTCGCCAGAGCGTCCCCGAGATGTGCTAAATTCCTTCCTAAGATACACGCTTGACCGCGTTTTCAGCAAGATATCCAACATTCGAGGAATCCTTTCAATGTACCTCTTCCAAACCTCTTCGTCTTCTTCCTCAAAGTGTCGACATTTTATCTCCACTACGCATATTACCGCGGATGTCGCTTCGTACCAAAGGGTTTATAAGTCGTCGAGCTCGAAACCATAGGGGACGGAGCGCAACTTGTACCACCCATGCCTGTGCCTAGGCTTTTCAGGTCCAAATGATAGCGAACACCGGCTTTGGGCTGACAATACAATGAATATTTGCCGTTTTTGTGGTCTTCTACGACTAGGGGCTGTTATTCTCATAGAGTAGAGTAAGTATGGCATCACCTTTTCATTCTCGCGGATCAGCTAACATGATAAACGCCTCATTTCACAGAGCAGCATTTGGTCTCGTAGCCGTCTGGAGCATCAGCGACGCGCTGCTAGGGCTGCGAACACTTTCGCTTCTCTTGGTCTTGTTTTCCGCAGAGGCCTTTTTCCTGAGCTCGGTCTGCGCGAGGGACGTGCTGACCGGCGATCACATGGTACAAAACTAGAAAGAGGTACGTTTTTACACAATTAGGCGCCCGCCTCGTGTACTGTCGAATGACTGGATAGGCATCCAAACACCCGGACACGTTTCAAGCACTCATGCTCTGGGTGGGCGTGGGTTTTCCGCTCGCTTTCGTTGCGTGGTGAGTCTTCGTTACCGTACGCTGCCTGCTAAAGCGGTGGTATTGAATCATGTCGTTCAGGTCGCTGCTTTGCTTTCTCCTCGGCCTCATGATATGGTTTGGTTTGACAGGTCTTCTGTCATGGGTGCAGTAGGTATACCCCCGTCCTGATTATCAGCATAATGCAAATAATTTTGCGCCGTGAGGTAATTTGCTACCTACTACTAGAGCATGCCCTTACAGTGCCTCACATTCTACTAAGGGCACGCTTACCCACTAATTTCGTTTCTTCTTCTGCAATACTTGTTTGGTAGCGTATGCCGATTTCCACTGTATCCAACGTCCCACAATGGACCATAGAGCATAGAGACCTAGTTATATTCAGTCCATGACGACTCGGATTCGAGTGTCAGAGATCATAATACTTTACGCAAGTAATAATAGTATTGTACAGTGAAGGATGCATCTGCGTCAAATTTCGAGCGCCTGGACCGTAAGACAAATTTAGCAGCACATCTCGCAGGGACAGCCTTATTATAGTCGAGTGGGTAAGAGTAATACCGGCATAGATGCGGCAGAAGCACTCACAGACGATGTCGGCGATGCAGTCGCAGCATCCCTAGAAAAGATGAGTAGACAATCTTCCAAATATCCGACTAAAATACCTCGCAGCACTCTGTCATGAATGAATGTCAGGTAAGGTACGAATAGAGGTGAAACATAGAGACTAACCGAAGCATAAGAAGCACCCGACGAGCCCAAGGAAACAATCCTGTTGCTCGAGTAATTAGTACTAGTTCATATTCACGGATTGGAAGTGGGGGTTGCATAACGCCTCATGTGGTACCAGGCACCCTAAGCTGACGTGCATGACACGGGAGATGGTGTGGTGTAAAGAGCAAACAACGGACGGTTACTTACCTTGCCTGCTCCTCCTCCACGGAGACGAGATGCCTTTTGTTGATGTTCGCAGTGCCCTTGTTGAGAGCCTTGACCTCCTGCTTCAGCAACATTCATAACCTCTAGAAGCAACGACAAAATTCAGCCTTCGTCGTAGTGGAAAAGGGGTTCCACACGCACTCATCTGGGTTCCAGCTTGGGGCTGGTTGGTGGTAGCCTTGTTCGAAGGAGCCGACATAGGGATGGAAGAGCCTGAGGGTACGGGAGGGGATATGGGATGTTGTGTGGAACAGACGTGGGGCGAGTAAAGGTGTGAATAAACCCCTACCAGCTTTTATACTCCTCTTCGCCGCCGAATCCCACACCAACGTCCTTGTGTCTATTCTTAGAAAATCTATTTTCGGAATTTGATTTAGACCACAACCGCTTGCTGTTGCTCTTTTTTTAGGCCTTGGGCGCTGCGAGGACGCTGCATGTTTGACAGCGTAAACGGCAAAGGAGACTCTCGCGAGAGAGGAAAAAGTGTGCAGACCACCAACGACCATGACATCGGGGATCTAATAGGGACATGTCCACTCGAGACGAGCCGGGTACTGTGGACTCAAGGATCCGCGGACGTTAGAAGACCGCATGGATGGTGGGTTCAATACAATTCGTACGACCCTTCGCAGCGTTTTGTAAGGGACACAGCGTTCTGCAGGGCCACACGGGAACTTCGACTTCTGGTACACCTAGACGAGTACCCAGGATGAGCGGAAACCACGCACTGGAAGGTTGAATGCTATCGAAACCCCAATGTCCTCGGACACCCGATGCCGCCGATGCGAATGGAAAGGTACCTCACTGCCAGTGTCATCTCAATTGCATAACGTTGGGAGCCACAGCCTTTAGGAGCGTCATCTTCGCAGGGGGGAAGTGCGGCGACATTCGATGACGTCGATTGAAAGGTAGGTACAGACAAACGTTCAACAGCAAAGTTCGCAAGGGCAACCTAAGATAAAGATGAGTTGCTGCTGTAACGGGTCTATGCATCACTCACAGACACAATCAGCGACACATTCGCACCAGCTCTGCGAGTGCGTTCCATTATTTGAATTCGATCGACATCAAGCATAAAACTGACCTCGCAGCATGCTAAAGGTGGATAAAGAATTAGCTCGTGCTCACGAATTCAAAATGGAAGGGACTTGCCACAACACATGAAACCTGCCGCACAGCAAAGAAAGCAGCTCTACGCCACCGCAAAACAGTCTCAGGATGGGTATTATTCATTATTGACAAGACTCGCCTTGCACATTCCTCCGCCGCGAAGACGGGCAGCCTTGTGTTGTTCATCTTGGTCTTCCCCGGCTCCTGGGGCCCGTTCCGAAGCATTAATATTAATGACCTCTACCATCAAGCTCATCAGTTTTGAGCTGCGATTAACGAGAGAAAAGCAAACACACTCATCTCGATCGAGGCTCGAGGTTGGTCGACGGTTGGTATCTCGTTGCTCATGGGTCGGATAATGAGGCGCGGCAATATAAGTACGGGATAATCTCTGACGATTAGAGCCCTTGTTCTGGTTGATATATGGGCGGAGGAAGAAATGGCATTGTCTGCGGCAGAGCCTGCGGATGCGCCAAGTCATATTGTAGAGCAACAGGTACATTGTAGGCGGCCTCCTTCGGGTTCATGGCCTAGTATAGATGAATCCAGCCTCCCAGGTGGGAGGACACAGCCGCATTCCGGATGACGGCCGCCGGCTGGAAAGGCAGCGACTCACTGAGTTTAGACTGTTCATAAACGCGGAGAGGCCGAGGGAATTTTTACACATCCGAATATCGAGAAGCGTCTTTCGTAGAACCCGAAGGTGTCCGCAGTATCTAAGGGAAGCGTACGCCGCCGTTCCGAACTGCCTCCAGCATGCGCAGCATACTACAAGTCCGTTCGAAGAGGAGAGCCCCTATCGGCTTTTTCGGAATAGATACCGGTCTAAATGAACTGGGTCGGCGTGTTAACACCTAAACTCTGATCAAAGAACGGGATACAGGACGCACCAATACAATAAATAAATTAAAGGCCTGCCTCTAATCATACCCACTCCTCGCCTCCAGCACCAGAGGTTCTTCAGACCTGGAAATGCCCAGTCAGCCCTGACACGATCTCCTCCCTTAGTGTCGTGATTGACTCGAGTGCCGCCAGCGTACATCCGAGACTAATGCCCTCCGAAAGCATCATCTCCCTCTTCAAAAGGATCATCATGCTCTTCAGCCTGCCGAGCACATCCGCCGGTCCGTGCCGGAGCGTTAGACCCGCGCTCGCTGCGCCAACCCAGAGCTGTTTCCAAGTCGCGAGGCACTCCTCGTGCGAGGCGCAGCCTAGGGAGAGGGGCGACTCGCACATGTCGTTTGCGTGGGGGAGGGAGAAGGTGGGTGGCCTCGTGCCGATGGACTCCCAGAGCTCGACGAGGGAGTGGTGGGCTTCCAAGAGCTGATGTCTCTTTTCCTCGTTCGCGTATCCGTTTGGCACTGTAAACCCAGTTTCCGGTGTGCTCCAGCCGGACCGGTCACCTCGTGCCATGCAGTCAAGGTCGACTAGTTCTTTGTAGTACGCAACACCTTGGAGCTTCGTCAGGCCTCTGCTCTCAGCAACTTTCAGGATCGGATTCCGGTCCATCCCGGACCAGAGCATCCGGGCAACCAGCCTTTGCGTTATGACTTCTAGTAGCTCTTGCTGGCCACACAGGAAGGAGACGTCCAGGGCATCGGCGCATGTTTCGGATGGGGCATATCGTAGGAAGCCAGCTGGGTCCTGGGCCAACGTGAAGAGCCGCTGGAGAGACCAGGCTTCATAGGATGCGATGCAATATTTGTTCGTGAGCCGAGCGATATTTAGTAGTCGCTCTATTGAAGGGCCATCCTCTTGTGTCGTAGAGCATAATTGAGTCGGTCTGATACGCGGATAGGGTGAGTTTATTTTTGGGATATATGCTGAAAAAGTAGGAGACCTACATCGCGTACAACACCCAAAGAAGATCTCGGAACTGCTCAGCAGTATCGGAGAGAGGTATCGCAGCCTCATCGGACTGCCCTTCATTGCCATTGGAGATGAAAGGCAAACCGAACATGTCGCCAAATGCTGAAGGTTCTCGTAGTAAGTAGCATTTGTGCACCTGCACAAAAAAAATCAAACCTCAGCACATCAAAAGAAATAACGGGGTAAACTCACCTTGAACAATGTATCCTCGACACGAAATACACAGAAGCCACTCTCTGAGTCATCCTTGTAGAACTCACGGTCGCGCTTTAGGACTCCCTGAGCAGCATGCCGCAAGTCGGTTTTGATGAGATCGTGGATATTGAACTTGATTGGCCTCGGTTGTTCGTCAACTGGGGTCGCAGGTTGTTGTGCTCGGATATTTCGTAGCAAACGTTTTGATCCCTTGTAAATGATCCCGGAGAGAAAACGCAGCTTCTGCGCGGGGTTGAAGACGTAAAAATTGACCATCGAGGCCGGGGCTAGGGGTGCGCTTGTCGAATTGGGTTCAGAGGCGTCGAGCCGACGTTCGACAAGGCTACGGCCCCTTGCGACGCGGAGAGAGATTCGGGGCGAGAAGTGGGTAGCCTGCTATACTTCATTAGATATTTTAGCATGTAAGTATGTGCATGAAGAAAACATGAAGCACACACGTGTATTCGGAAGTAGACGGTATGGGTGGGCGAGGCGTGCCATATCGATAGGTCTTGGAGTATATCTGGACCCATGGTGTGACGAATTGAAGTGAGAATGTGCTGTCGTAGGCCATAGATAAGCCTAAGGTGTTCTCGCTATTGACGGGTCACAGAGAGCCTGTTCTTCTTTGATAACCTGGATTTCAAGACAAGGGGTGAGTCGAAGTCGACGAAAAACAAGACAAAGTGTGCGGACCATGGAAGAAGTTCTTGTATTAAGACCTCCATCTCAAGCGTTGTTTTCCTGGATAGATGTCGGGAAAGTCGACAGATTTTGAACAGTCATCGTCATCGTCGTCAACATGAACGCCGCTGTAAGTATGGTCCTTGGCCTTCGGCTATTTCCGCACCGGAACCGCACCGAGCCTTACCGCTCTTCTCTTCGACCACACCTTGTCCTCGAGGCTGCCTCTATTTAACGAGCACGGAAGACTGTCAGTGGCGTTCATATCTTCTAGAATCATGGTTCTATGGACGTGTACAACTTTCGACTATCCGAGTTGCTTTGTGACTGCTTCGAACACTACAGGCTGACCTTTTTCGTACTTGAAGAGCTCCTCAAACTGTCCTTCCTCCAAAAACTTCTCCGCGTCTTCGAACCTGGTTCCGTCTGGAATACGGAAGAGTCGCTCTTCCCCACTATCTGTAGTGAATCCAATCACATTCGGCGACATGCATTGGGCTGCCTCTTGATTCACTGTAATCGACCGCTTGGCATTGGTGTTGGTGGTCACCCGCCAGCTGGTTGAGCGCGCCGGAACGTCCCATGCACCGAGGCCTGTAGGTCTTCTTTAGTGTGCCTCTTCTCCAGCTGAATGTCATTCCTTACAGATCTGCCCGTCTGCAGAGGCAACAGAGCCCGCCAGCAGGGTTTGGCACGTATCGCTGTACATTGAAGCCCACCAGTTGCCGTTGCTCGTCATGTTCTTCAAGTTCGACCACCCATAGTTGTCTGGGTACAAGCAACATACGTTCGCGGGAATGTTGATGCAACACCCAAAGGTTCCAACACAACCCCTGGAGGTGTAGGCGCAAATATCACCGGCCGCGGCGAGAGTGGCTAAAATAACGAGGCTGAAGGCGACTTGGGTGGCCTTGAACATTTCTGAAGCGCGTCGTGGGTGGTCGGGTGTGATTTACCTGTTTCTGGTGTGCTTATAGCTCTCTCTACACGGAAACCCGCGCAGCGACCCACCCTTCAGCCCGCTCTCTAATGCTTTTGATTCTATTTTCGTTGATTGATCTGCACGATCGTCAGAGGAGAATCCATCTTCCTTTACATACCTGACTTTCACGGGCAAGGAGTATCGGTTCTCGAGAGGTAGAATCTCTGCTCCTGTCTGGATTTTCTATGTCCCTCTTCTCATTCGTCCTTCAAGGTGTTTCTCTCCCTCACATAATGCGCGAAGGCAGGGAATAACCATTCTCAAGAGATATATTCAGACACTGAACACATGTAATCGCCAGAACTACCACGCAGAAGTCTTGTCCATCGAACATCTTCACGGAATCCCGCTTTCCAGACCGACTTGTATGCCTATAATTTCTTCACCTGCTCGCTACTCTTTAGTGAACGATTCCGAGTGTCACGTTGTTGAATTCAAGGACAGGCGAAGGTCCGGCCTGGCAGTGTCAAAAGGATCGACGGTCAATCAACACAGTATTCAAACAGGCAAGATTCTCCCTGCGAATCGCAAGAGCTGATAAAAATATCACTCACCCCGATCAAATGGAAGCGAACAACTCCCAGTTGGGCGACATTGTCAGGTAGGAAATCGGCGCTGGGGATTGTCACAGTGAAGTTCTGGTACGGCATTCCTGGTTGCTCATGAAGCTGAGGAGCGAAGTCCCCGTTGAACAGGATCGTGCCGACTCGGGCGTTAGGGGGTGGGCAAGGAAGGAATTGGCAGTCGAGCAAGCCGATGATCATACCTACTTCAATGGAACCTTGGATGCTGTTCTAAAGGGATGAATGGTGCGTAGGTGGATCATTATTTAATTGAAGCTAATGTGCAATATTGAAGGTCAAGTGGGCACTCACTGGTCTGACGACTTGGACTGTTATTTCCTGTCCGGGATGGATAGAACTGCCAGCAGGGGGGTATCCAATGAAGCTGGCTTGAGCTGCAGCGCCAACTGCGCCGAGGATAGCGACGAAAAGGGAGGTAAACTTCATTTGAAGTGCGTCAATTCCCGTAGGGTTGTGCCGGGTTTGCTCTCTGGCCAGGGGTTTATATCCAAATGACTGGCAGCCTGGAACGCCGCCCAGCACATTGAGATGGCTATCCCTCTGATAGTCATCCTATAGGATGGACAATGATCTCTTCATGCAAGCTCCGACTATACTTCGGTAGTCTTAAAATAGATTCCGAAATACGTCGCGGCGTGAGCTATTTATATAGACTCCATCCTTTCAAATTCCAGATGGATATTATGGTCAACTGCAAGCGCACAGCCTCGAAGATAGACTACACACAAGCAAGTATACGTTAAGGTAATGGAACGAGTGTCACTTAAACCATTGAGGCCCAAAGGTATGTAAAGTATCCAAAGAGGTGTCCGAAATGAATCGCTAGACACAAGTTCATGAGCATCATTGAACATGAAGGGTGACGTTCTGGATCTCAGTAAATGGAGCAGGTCCGGCCTAATGAGCATTCACTTCGTTAGCGTTTACAGACGTCCTTTAGAGGGTTGAGGCTCACCCCAATCAAGGAGACGTGGAAAACAGCCAGCTGCGCTAGGCCGGGCTGTACCTCAGGTGGAATGGTCACGGTGAAGTTTTGGTGAGGTGGCTTGAAAAATGCGGTCTGACTGTAGTTCGGGTCGTAGGGTCCATTGTAGAGAATATGGCCGAGGATGTCGCTAGCGGGTAAACAGTTTCCGTTCTGGCAGGGATTCAAACCGATGACGATGGCGACCTCCGTGGAGCCACTGAGGGAGTTCTGCATGTGGTATTATTCAATAGAGGTTCGATGGAGGGCCAGGTCGACACTCACAGGACGGTCCACTTCAACGGTGATATTTGATCCTGCAGCGACGGACGCTCCATCTGTAGGGCAGCCGATACTAATGCGCTGGGCCAACGCGGAGGAGAATAAAAGAGCGGAGAGGAGAGTCGACAGTCCAAATTTCATCTTGTGGCGAAAGTTGTCAGTTACAGAGGAAGGATCTTCACGATGAAGGCATTTATACAAGAAACTAGACGGCGACTTCTAACCTCCACGGCGGCATAAAAATAGTTGTAACATGATGAAGGAGCATGCCGACTGTAGAGAAGCGCCGCAGGTGGCCACTATGACATAGTTCAATTCCTCGGCGGTCATACCCTGTCGCAGCCTAGTTTTCATGAGTAATTGTCCTCTGATCGTCGGTTGGAAAGCCTAGGCTACGCAAAGCTGGCACGGCTTGAATTTGAACCCCTATCGCGAATAGCGGTAGCAGCTCCAGGATTGACAGCTCTGAGTAAGCTCTACATTCAGATTCCTTGCAAAGTTAGGTTACGGAGCTTTGCTGGGATCGATGGGTGAAGGTTGGGTGGAGGAACGAAGGACTAATGACTGGGCTCCTGTCTCCGGCAACACCCGGATGATCATCACTTGCAAGGCGCAGCCGAACCTAGCCGAACTTTCAAACATCGGGTAACGCTCACGTCGAAAGGAACTTCCTTCCTTGACTGCGCTGACATGGGTGATGCCCAACCCAAACGCATAACCATCGTATACGCCCAACGTGTTGATCCTGTCGGCCTAACTTCACTGGCTTTCGACGCGTATTTACCAACCGGGACATCAGCGGTCGACGTATCAACGAACGGGGAGATAGTTCTTCCTGCAGTTGTCTACTTCCATGGAGGTGGTCTTACTGTTGGAAACAGAGATAGCTGGTTCCCGACGTGGCTGCAAAGTTAGTGAGTCTCATTGGCATAGATACTCTATCTTTCTGACTCGCATGAAGAACGCGTCCTTTCTCTGGGGTTTATATTCATCTCTGCCGACTATGAGTTGATACCACCGTCTAATGGACACAATATCGCGAAGAACCTACAGGATCTCTTCTGTTTTCTCTCGCGAAACGCAATCAAGAGTGAAGGTCGAGCTTTCCACGTAGACACAGAGCGAATCACAGTTTCTGGATCCAGCGCAGGTGGACTTTGTGCATATCTGGCCGCGATCCACTGTTCGCCTAAGCCCAAAGCTATCGTGAGTATGTATGGTATGGGTGGAGACTTTCTTGTGAGTTTAGACCGTTCTTAACTTCGAACACCAAGTTCATGAGTGAAACAGACACCCCATTATCTTCGTTCAAAGACTGAAGTCTTCTTTCGTGGCCGCGAGCTCCTCAACCCAGTTGATTTTGCTGAATACATGCACCCTTTCCAGCTAGAGAAGCTACCCAGGATCGCGGACTCCCCTCTGGTTTACCACCCACCATCTTATCATATTCCCGGCTATCCTGCAAATCCGCGAATGCTACTCGCTCGACTTTACCTCCAACTTGGCATATTTCTCGACTATTACACCGCAAGGCACGAACCCAGCCTGAGCAGCACTCTCCGTTCTCTCCTCGGTGGTGATATCGACGCGTTACGACAGGCCGTTCCGGAAGAATGCCGGAGTCTCTTCCCCCAGTTTTGTGTAGATAAGGGTTGGCCTCCAACAATGCTCTTGCATGGAACCAACGATACAGCGGTATCTGTCGAGGAGTCTCGTAACCTCAGATCCATGTTGGAAAACCTCGGCGTTGCTGTGCAATTGACTGAGTTCGAGGGCAAGGAGCACTCGTTTGACTACGAACCCGGTGCTGAAGATATCTGGAAGGACCATTTTGACAATGTCAACCATTTCATCGGTAGATTTTTGAAGGCGAGTAGCTAGATATTTGTATTCTCATGGTCAATGATGCCAACAGGTCTCTTCTGTCCTCTGTTATTTGCTTCGAAGACAATTGTGCTTTCAAGTTATTTAGTTCCTCCCGCCTTCATTCCTCCCGCGTTTCGCGACGCGTTCAAGAAGGCGCAAGATAGCCTTTCATATCTGACGACCGCACCCATTGGCAACGATGGGATCTCACCTTGTTGATTTCAAGAGCACATTCCCTATCTCTGAGCCGTGAAACCCTTCTGACGGCGTCGACATTGTTCTCACTGGTCTGCGCCGTTCAATCACACAGATTCAAGCGATTTTTTTCGAGGGATACTTTCGATATGCGCTATGTCCCCTGCAGGAATCACGATAGCAAGGGCATGTTCCTGGGCGTCTCGATCTAAATTAACGCTTTAGCGCTTCTTCTGATAATGGGCGGCCATCTCACGTCTCGATCTGCGTCTTCGCACCAAACGCAACTGCATCCCCGCAGACACATTGTGATCTAATCTTTCAGAGACACCTCTGTTCTCGTAAAACCAGACGTTCAACTGCTATCAGAATTCATTTCATGATAGTTGCCCTCATACCCTTCTCCCGATCGGGGCGTTTTCAGCACGTTGGGCCTGGAACTCAACTCGAGGGCGTATAAAAGCCTCCTGTAAATGCCAGAATTTCCTCAGCGAAGCTGGTCTTTGTCTACAGACGCATACGGTCGTCTTCATCGAGCATAATCTCTTCGAATCCGCTCGACACTAAAGAAATAAGCACATTTCCCATCAATCATGCTAATTTTAGTTGTGGGTCTATTATTGCCCTCCCTTCTGTTTGAAGACCTTGGCTGACGATCCGTACGTATGCACTGCTCTACGCTTTTCTCCTCTCACTGCAGACCGTATCTGCCCTCCCGTACGACTGCAGGGCAGGAACGGACAATGGAATTGCCAAGATCGCCCACGACACTCGGGAGAATGTCTTCTAGATGCACTGCCGCGATGGCACCCTCTATGGGAAGTTTGACGAGGAGAGCTTCAAGCTAGAGATGGAGTACGACGCTATCCAGCGACGTGGCCCATCTCAGCGCACTCCGATGACCTTCGAACAAGCCCGAAAAGTGAACAAATTAGTTCTTACTCGAAGATGTATTCTAATGCTATATTTCTGCCAACTAGTTCCTGGCTGGGGCAAGGTCCAACAGTACGCCAAGGACAGTTACAGAGAAGGCGGCGTCAACATTGGCGCCAATCCATCTGAGGTGCGTTTCTTGCTCTGAAATGATTGTTAGATGCTGACGGCAGGCATACGAGTAGTAGCCCAACTACCCAGCCACCATATGCGCTGCCAACGAGGTCGTCCAAGTTAAATTGAAGGGTAAATTCGTCTGCCTGTATGTCATCCTCGCCTTTCGTTCAGGCGCACCGAGCTGTTAAGAAAGCAAACAAAGCATCGAGGGAGGGGGTGGTTAACGGCGACGGAAGCACCACACTGAAAGCTATGCAAGGTTATTCGAACCCTGGAAGTTGGACCGTCACACGTAGGTGGAACCGTGTTCAGCTAGAAGCAACTGGCTAATTCTTGGTCTGTACAGAAACCAGCTCCTTCGCCCAATCTATCGGATTCTCTCTGCGAATCGGGATTCCCACAGTTGGCGAGGCACGGTTTCGTCAACGACCACCACTGTCAACTGCAAAATCGCACAAGAATTCACGATGAACTCGCCAGACAGCCGGCAGTGCGAGGCGCCAGTATGTCGGAAGGTTTTTTTGTTTGTTTGCTGGCTCTCATGCGTCGCTCTCAATCCACAGCTGAGCGCTGAACATTGAAGGTGTTCACTTTGAGCGGCGAAGGCAAGTGCGCTTCGTTGCACAGGGTTGGATTTGTTTAAACTACGAGGATAAGGTACTATGCGAAGCCTCCGGTTAAGCCCGCACCCAAAGGGTCCTCAAAGCCTTCTCCTAAAAGGGCTGCCAAACCTGCGCCGAAAGGTCCTGTGAAGCCCCCCACCAAGGCACCTCCCAAATCACCAGCACCCAGACTCCCAGTCAAGGCTCCTGCTCCCAAGCCCAAGGTCCCCGCCCCGCCCAAAGCTCTAGCATTAATGCAACCCCCAGTTAAAAAGCCGTAGATGCCTACAGTACGCGCTTTAATTCGGGATGCATCCACGTGTAGAGAACATATTTAATTCTATTTAAATATTTGGTCTCTCTACAGGTAGTACTTTTACCTTCTGGTCGTATTGCAATTGGTATATGCTAGTCCTTCCAGTGAGCAGAACCTAAAAGGTGAAAGCCTTGGACAACTCGCTATCTTGTGCCGGGCTGCAGCTGGACTTGTGATCGCTGGACACGTGCACTACACAGCGAATACTCGCCCCAATTATGCGGCGTAGACACAGCCTCCCTAGCGAGCCGCCTTGCTCAAGGTCAGCAGACCAAGTTCATTCAAGCTTGCATAAAATTTTGCTCAACTTCCTTCAACTCGAAGCGCAACTTCTTGAAGGCAATGGCTTTTCCCATCCAACACTCACTTTTCTCTGAGCTGCGACGAAACCTGTAACTTCCTCACCCTTGCCTCCCGTGCTCCAGCTAGAGACTTGCTACAGACCATGAAGATGTTCAAGTGGGTTTTCTTCTCTTGGCGTATCCCGGCCCGGCCAGTTTATTTAGAAGGTATTTGATTGTATTTGATTGCAAGGAATGGCGTCGGAATTGCTTGTTTGGCGGTGTCCTCCTTTCTTCCTTCCCCCAGATAATCCCTAACAACTCTTAGACGTTAGGAAGCCCTCCGTGTCTGGATCGCGCTTCCTACACGGCCCAATGGATATCCAGGAGCCCTTGTTGGCGGTCCAAGGGGATAACACGACCGAAAAATCCAAGTCACTGAAGCGTCGATACCACGAACTCGAGCAGGTATTCACCTCTGCGTTTCTAATCTATACTGTTTCTTACACGAAAGACGTAGGCAGCCAGTGATGAATTTGGCGCAGGTTCGTCGACTGCCCAATTTCCCACAACCAACACGCCATCTCAGTCTCTTTCCAATGGCGACATACCAGGAGCAAATCATGCTTATCCTCGCGAGACGCAAGAGAACGGCGCGAGAGCTCTGCAACGCAGGTCGCAAGGTGGTGCTGCCATTGCCGCCGTTGCAGCAGCAGCAGCAGAGGCGGAAGCTGCCGCGGCTGCCCAGGCAGCCGGCCGAATACCTCAGACAACGGCATCATCCCTCGATCCCGCAATGGAGAGCATAGTCAAAGTCGCGGAAGCGGCAGTTGCTGCTCAGAATGCTGCCAAACTGGCGGCCTCACAACCGATTCAGGCCGACCCTACTCTTGACCCAACACTCGCGACGCCCACTGCGACGGCTCAGACCGACAGCAACACGTCGAACCCAACCCCCAGTACGTCTTCCGACACTAGTGGTTCAAGCACAGCTACTACCTCAAGCACCACTACACCTATACCTGGAAGCCTGAGCAATAACCCCTACCTCAGCCTCAGCACAAATCTTCTCGCACGTGCCGGCATTTCGCCTACAACACCGACGGCACACATGTTTATGCCCTACCCCTTCTTCTACCCAACACCAGCCACGCCGGTGGGCACACCCGTTACGCCGAACACGCCAACGTACTCCATACCGTACAACCCTTATTACTACCTCGCTACGCCAATGGCGCCCAGTCCGAACGGGATGTACCCGCCTGCGCCTGGTTTCCCGCAAGCACCACAACGCCCACCACCTTCACCTGAACCGCAGAAAATCAAACCGAAACGGCTGAAAGCTCACACCGTCGTAACGAAGAGTTTCAGCATCCCTATGGTCCCACGCGACAAGATGGGTAAACCGATGTTGCCTCTGAATGTCGGCATTATGACAGTGATCAGCCTTGGTCAAGTGTGCCTGCGCGAACATTTCCACACTGAACGGTATATCTTCCCGGTCGGATATGAAGTGACAAGGTATTTTCCCCCCGAGACCGTGTTCTACAGACCGGCTTATTTTTCGTCATAGACGATATCTATCAACAATAGACCCCTCCATTGAGGTGGTGTACCACTGCACTATTCTTGACGGTGGTGATGGTCCAAAGTTCCAGATCATCCCGGCTGATCGACCCGACAAGCCGGTTATCGCTGGCACTGCGACGGGAGCTTGGTCGAACATCGTCAAGCAGGCAAACGCCATCCGAAATCGTCAGCACTCAAACTCTGTGTCTGGCCCTGACTTCTTCGGACTTGGACAGAACACGATTAAGCACCTGATCCAGGAGCTACCTAACACCGACCGGCTTCGTGATTATGTCTGGCAGAACTTCGTGGAGGGCGGGCAAGTCTTTCCATATACCATGCCGAGAGACATCGTGACTGACAAGCTTACATTCTAGACCACTTGGCGGAAGACACGCCGCCGTGATACCTGCTTTACCGGAGGAATACGACGCGTCAATGCCCATCGGCGCCTACTATCCACGCAGAGACTCTTCAGACCCCAGTGTGCCACGAGGTCTATCACATTACCCTCAACACATCATCGCTCAGGCCCAGAAAGCAGCGCAAGCTAATAGAGAGACGGATGCACACAGTGCAGGGTCTTCTAACTCTGCCTCGTCCCCTTCCTCTTCGAGCACGCCTCAGCAGATGACACCTGGATCGTCTCAGAACGGCCAACCCCAAATCATACTTCAGAGTGCGAGCAACGGGCATGGATTGACGATTCAACAATACCAACCCCCTTTGGCCCAGCCTCAAGCTCAGGCTCAGGCTCAAACGCAAGCCCAGCCGCAAAGGCCGGAGAAACGTACCACGAGGAGCAGCGCAGCTGCGTCCGCGTCCGCGTCCGCTGGACCTGCACGAAGTACACGGTCGACGGCGCGTGGAAGCCAGCAGCAGCAAGCTCAACAAGCTTCTCAACCGCAGCCCCAACAGCCGCCACAACATCAACAACAGCCTATTTCTGCACCGGCTGGAGGTTTTGTTGTTACCAATGGTACGCCCATGTTGAACGCAGACGGGACAATGCCCACGACGTTCGTCGGGATCATGAGCGCGTATCCCATACCTGCGAATGGTGCTGTCGCGGACAGCATGGCCGCTCCTACCTGAGGAACGTCATTCCCCTCTCATCTCTCCTTATCGCATCATCTATCGATCTGCTTTGCATCGCAATGTCGTCTTTCTCAGCATATCTAATCATTTTTTCCCGCTCAGACCTTCCATTTTTTTGGACTGGAAGCTCCATTTGCGATCGTGTATTGTTGTCGTTGTGCATGGGTAACTTGTTTGTTTTGTTTCTTTATCTCTCTTTCTGGGGCAATCTCGTCCGTGTTGTGTTTCTAACATCCTTATTCTTCCTTGACCGCCTCAGACGAACAAAAAGTAGTGACGGAGTATGCTCTATAGGCGTTCAGCTTTTGGACAACTTTTTGGTCCCCGTGCATTTATAATACACCACGTCCATTTTGTGCTCGATCCCTCCAGTTTCTTCGTCAACAACTGGCGTGGCCCGTACCATCCGTCTACCCTGTGGCGCCTCTAGTAGGCACTCCAACCCAGGATAGGCCGCAATGGGGTGTCGTCCAGCAGCCGAGCGCTCTGGATAGTCCGCCATTCAGTTGGAAGGTGACGATGATTCCATTCTGCTCGTGTCGTTGGGTGGCACGCCTGCTGACTCGGCCATTTAGGTGGCTAGGTCGCAGGCAAGGGCGATAGTGACAAAACGTAGAGTGGTTATTTTTTCATACGTGCCTCTGTGGGGACTCCATCCGGTGCAAGGTTCGTGCGGGAAAACGGGGTAGTATGTGAGGCAAACATCTTTCTCCTTTTCTTATTCTTTGTTGCATGAAATACAAATCCGATCGCGTGTTGAGTGCACTTCGTTAGGTCGCTAGGTAAAGATACAAAGGCCATAACTTCAGCCATAAAGTGGTCAGTTCCAAAAGGGCCTTGTCTATAATTTCCCCTCCTTCAATGGCTCCGGTGGTGGTGGTGGTGGAATCTCGTTGTCGGCCTGATCCTTGCTCGGAGATGCTTGTTGGGAGCCCTTCTCAGTTTCAGAGCGATCGTTAGTAACGGCAGAGGGCGTTGGCGATAACTTGTCGGTTGCATTAGTAGCACTAGCCTCTTGGACTGGTTCAGCCTCACGAAGAGGTTCAACAACCTCATCCACTTTCAATCTGGCCAAGCGCGCCTCGATGGCTTCCAGGGCCGCCAAGGAGTTCCTCTTACCCTGCTCCTCAGCCTTCGCCTCAGATTCCTGCTTCTGCGATGGTGGAACCGGAATATCAGGTACAACGCTCGCTTCAGTCTCATTCCACAGTGCTAAGAGCTCCTCCTCCCATCCTAGCTCTTTGCACAGCATTCGGACGACGTCGTCGCATTTCCCGAGGAGGATGACATCATCTGTCCTTGCTCCAAAATCGCCAACGTGGTCGAGGTTGATGAGGACGCGAGGGCATGTCTTGTCGACCATTTGGGCCAGCGATGCGAAGGGATGGACGGTAAGAGAGGTGCCCATGACGATCAGTAAATCCGCCGTGCGTAGGTGTGGTACGGCGAGTTTGAAGTTCAGTGGGAGCTGGTAGGAAATAAGCGGGATTAGATCGTAAAGAGAACATGTGAGCTGCTAAGAAAAGTCACTCACATCCTCACCGAAGAAAACGATATCAGGTTTGACGTATCCACCACACTTGTTGCATTTTGCGATCTGCTTGCGAAAGATATGGTCCTTCATCTTCTCGTCATCGTACGAGGCGTTACATTCTATGCATCTCTGCGTCGCGAAACTGCCGTGTGCCTCTATGATTTTGTCTTCGGGAACCCCAGCACGTCGCTCGAGCGTGTCGATGTTCTGTGTGAAGCACGTGTGCAGCAATTCCTTCTCTGCAAGAAGACGAATGAATGAGTGGGTAATGGTAGGCCGGAACCGGCCGGGGTACAGCTCGTGCGCGAGGGTGTAGACTACAAAAGAGAGGCGGAGATTCCTGTCAACAGCGCCCTCTTTAAAGTAGAAGCAGTGTAAAGAACCTACATGGGACTGGGTTTCTTCGGAAGAAATTGATTTCGAACACTGCCTCCGGGTGAGGTAGATTCAATCTCGCAAGATTGGACTGACAGGTACGAGAGTTAGACAGCGTTCCATATGCTAGACGAGTCTATCGCTCACGTATAGGCCTGTTGGCGAAGCGATGAAAACTGATAACCGACTTCAAAAGACGGCGAAAGAAGACCCACCGGTCTCAGGTGACCTGAAGTCGGGGATCCCTGCAGAGGTGCTCACGCCTGACATGAGTTTAAGAGGTGATCAAAACTCTGGTATGTTATCCAAAGGATAACATAAAAACCTGCTCCCAGCTGGAAGATGATATTTAGTGAACCCCTCAGCCAAACGAGTAGAAGAAATTCTGCACCATCAATATAACCTTGCCACAGTCGCTCGATTTTATATATTTTGCAAGAGAAGTCAAATCCCTCCCCTCCAGGGTTTGTGGCTTTCCGGAATAGATAGATCGATGGTCATGGCCGCGGTAGGAACTCATTCCGTTGTCGTAGATAACGTGTTGTTCTGGACAGAACCCTCGGTGGTCGAAGAATCTGGATTCCAAACAGTCAGCATCGCCGCTTATATACTCAGTAGAATGATAAGGATGAAAGAGGCACCTTACAAGCGAGACTTCTCGAGGTACGTACTTGGAAGTCAAGAGGAAGGAGCATGTGCGCGGGCGCTTGCCGACGACGGGAAGGCGTGGGAACTCGTGAGTCATCACATTTGAATTCACGCCCAACTTTGACCCAACTTCTTCCTGGTCTAAGTACTATCACTCGTCAATCTCCAAACTTCAGAAAACGCTGCCGTTATATTGAATTTTTACCTGGAATTTTTACCTGGACATGGAATCTTCTCTCTTGGGCTTTGATCTATGATCTTCAGAGGAATGCATGCGGCACCGTTATAGGGTAGCATTAAATCCCATTCCAGAGTCAAGTCCTTCACATTCTGGTGACATATGTGGTCGATCATTACAGACGATATTGGCCCTCATTTACGAATCCTGGTTGATTGGTCTGTATGTCCATTTTTGGATCAATAGGTCAAATCCACTTCAAGTTCTTCTCGGACGATGTGTTATGAATCTGGATACCATAAGTTTGCCGCTTTTTGAGAGGCTAACCTCCGGTTTTAAATCCATGTTCGTTCGAGGCCACTTCTTGAAAGCAAATGATCCATTCCCTGGGCACTTGCCTTGCCCGCAATATTACCGCCCTAAGCTCCGTGTTCTCCCCCCGTTTCGAAGGTTCGGATGATTGATCCTTCTCTCGTAACAGGTGGTCAACATTTCAAGCTTTAGAAGTTTTCACGAATCGCATGCTTCGACAGGATTTGACGAATATTTCCCTCTTCTCCGAAAGGCTGCAAGCCACGAAGACAGAGTTCCTTTATACTCGAGGCCTGAAGTTCCCGCGAGCTACAGCTATTTCCATGATTGTCATTGATCAATTTCTATCTGGAGCAACCGGCCTCAGAGTTGGTACCTGCGGTATTCTCAACCTCTCCTTCGAGGAAAAAGCGCGTTATCTTCGCAGGTTCTGGTGAAGAACCATCGAGAGCTGTCTGGTGTTTTCTATAGTATCCCCCTTTGTTCACTCACTTCTCCTTGAGGTTTCTCCGCTTTTCGACTCTAGGTTTCCATTGGACTCCGTTCCACATGCAACCGTCGCTCCATCGCTTCGGAGGACCCCATTTCTGCCTTCTCTCGTTACCGAAGAATCTACAATGGTCCACTTACCCATGTCTCGAATTGTATAAAAACCATCCTCTCTAGCCACAAGTCGGTGATTCAAACGAACACCTTCGTTCAACGCAATACAGCAGTAAAATGAAGCTCATCGCCACTCTCATCGCTCTCGTATTCTCCCTCGGCGTCTCTGCTGCGCCCGTTGCTGACGGCATTGACGCCCGTCCTCCAGTTGTAACGAGGATCACCTACACCGCCCCTACTGTCACCCGCATCAATGTCCCACCCGCGGTCAGCACACGGCACCTTCCACCCGTTATTATCCATGTGCCTTAGGTACCGAACTATGAAAGGATTTCAGAGCGGTACGCAGATCGGCTCTTCCTTGTTGATGATCTTTTCACTCGCCTTTCTTCAGGGTGCTGGAGTTTTATTGGGTAATGGAGGGAGGCAGGAGATGTGGTTATTTTGGCGCAAACACAAAAACTTTCATTTACTGGATCTTTTATTTTTTACGTACCAGCGGAAGACGGGGTGTCGAGTATAATGAATTTGAAAATTTGGGAACTCCATTCAGAAAGATTATATGTCTTGTGAGCACTTCCTGAACGTTGAAACTTTGGGGGGGCAACAATGTACGGGATTACAAATTTGAACGTCACAACTCACTAGATCCCACAACCTAACAACCGACCAAGCCCTTAACATAGCTTTGTGCGCGAACTCTTGACGGTGCCGAAACGGCTTTTCGGCTTCTTGTGATGCCTTGGGAAGGCGTCTTCCTTGTAAGGCAATTTGGAAATTTCCGACATTGATGGTCAACGTTCTAATTATCAGCGCCTCAGTACCCAACGAGCACCGGTAGCACTTGGCTTATCCTGTAGGTCGTGGTAGAGTTCGCTATTGCTGTACAACAAGTAGCTCATGCATATCTCACACGCAACGCGATGTATATGGTTGGCTCGTATATTATTACTTAGCTGGCACTGCATCTCATCAGCCCATCGCTCCTGTATTCGATGACATTGAGGAAGAGGGATCTGGAAAAGAGTATCGCTTACATAAAGAGACCCGCAGACCACCTGCGGTTTTTGCGACACCTTCACCCCCTTCAGTGAAAGTCAACCGCGAGCCTAAGCACTCCCCGTTTCGCCCGACTCTCCTTCAAATATCCACGAAACATAACACGGAGATAATACACCATCTAGTTTGAGCGAGAAACTCACGAGCCATCAACGAGATCGCGTCGGGTGCGAAGGGGCGCCGAAGGAGGGAGAGGAAACATGAGACTAAGAGATGGTGTTCGGAGGAAAGATTCACTAACAGAGGCAAGGGGGCTTATATATGTTACCGAAGACCCATTTTTCTGGGGAAAGGTCACATGAGCGCTGACCTGCGACATAAATGTGGATTTTTTGGGACCACTATTTACGGTAGGCTGATTCCCAAATTAGGACAGGATGATCGATCGCCGCGCGCTGTGTCGAGTTTGAGCTGACGGTGGGCAAGCGCCTCATCAGCCTTGTAGTACCATACTTTAGTCTAGCTGATTCGTACTCCAATGGGCCCCATAGCAAAAGGAGGGATTCTGGTTAGCTCGTTCCCATTTGCTCGAGCCTAGCGCACTTAGATGTGACAAGATTCCAGAGCCCTCAGAGGGGTTCACAAATCAAATGAGGCCTTGGATAGAATTCCACTCAGAAAACGTCCTGCCTGAGATCGTTTCGCATGAACTGGAGGGTATGTCCACCAAGCAGGAGGGCTATGGATAGATGGCACCCTCACCTTTTGTCGCAGCACTCAAAAGGTTTGGTGAATAGTGGCCACGTCAACAACAGCAAACATCGAGATATCTTCATAGATATTTTACATGTATCTCAGATTCAAGGCTGAACTCCATGCAGCACCTCCCAGTCCTTCAACCAAGAAGTGACGAACGAGATCATCTCAGCATGTATCTTGCGGATCTCAGCGGGCTCGTCGAGGAGGTTGAGCCATCCATATTCGTCGTAATGATGGACGGCATCTAACAATGCAAGATCGTGATGAGCAGGGAAAAAGGAAGACCAAGACGGGGACAAACTGGGTATAAGCTTGAACGGCCGCAGGACGGTGTCTTCGCGATCTTGGGCGTCGTCGCTGTGAGGTGTCTCTGGTCTCCATGGGTCAACTAAAAAGCAATGAATATGAGGACGATATGAGGACGATAGTTCGGAAGTGAAGGGACCAACCTTCGCCATCGATGATGGCCAACCGGTCAGCTGCGATGTCGAAGTCGCCTAAAGCATTGACCGCCGTGATATTGGGCAGCGAAGGCACCTTGAAATGTACACCAGGAAGGAAGGCCTATCGACAACGTCGAAGAATAACACGTAAGTATGCTGCTTCATTTAAGGTTGGCAGATATCCAAACCTGTTTGCAGATCTTCGACTCGTAGCCGAGAGTCAAGAGGCGAGATATGATGCGAGGAAGTTTCTGGTCTGGAGGGGCAGTCTGGAGTAATTCCTTTGAGCATGGTCACAAAGCGGGGTGGTATGACGTCGACGAACGGTGAAGTAGCCCCATTGTGTACAGACTTGGAAGAGCCACAGCCGCCAGTCTTGGTCGAGTCCGGTATCTTGATACTGCTCGTCGTCGTATGTGCCGAAGCACTGCGGTGTGAGAGACTCAGTAAGATTGTACCCTGATAAATAGAAATTCCAGCTTACATCTTCGATAGTGGATTCCTTGGGGCATTTAGACACGTATTTCGCTTTGATGTACCGTCCGTAATTGATAATCGACACGTCGAAAGCATAGCCGTCTTCTGTCACAACCATTCTGTCGGGATATCCGAAGGGAAGGTCGAGAGCTGCGCTTGATATGCTGCCGAATGGGTGGGTTAAAATATCACAGAAGTCGTCGAATGCCGTGCTGCCGATTGCTGGATCCCAGCACTTCGCTTGCCATGAACCAAGTGGGCTCTGGGTGCGATAATTAAAGAACTCCTTTTATGGGAAACCGAATGACAATCATCATACCTCCAAGACCGAAACAAAGTCATCGTCATGCTCCAACTTAGCAAGTCCGAACAAATTCTTCAGAGGACGCCTGAGGAAGGCAGGCCCATTGATCAGGATGTTGTCGATGTTTTCGATGGCATTGACAAGATGGGCGGAGCACTTCGGGTCCGCCGCGTTCCGGATGATGTCCATGTACTGCCAGTTCTCGAGAGCGGCGTGGGTAACGGCTGTAGGAGGGAGAACCATGTTCGGCTCGCGTTCGGCTGGCGGGGACGAGTTCGTAGCATGTGGAACGTACCACTTGAAGCAATGGCTCCCCAGACGATGTCAGGGTATAGAATCTTCATGTGCGCTGCTCGGGCACCGGCGTAGGATCCCTGGAAGAAGGATGAGTTGGGCGGTAAGGACGATTGTTGGGCTGCTCACCCCATAGTAGATCCAAGGTGTACCAGGCGCTGTCAGATCCTCCGCAATGCCATCGAACTTAACTTTCCGCATGAAGTTGGCGCTGTCAGCAGCAGCTTGCTCGTTGTTGAGGAAACTACAGGAAGACGCGTCAGCACACCGTGTACTGCCCCACGACGGCACGGGACTACCGAAGGGCGTCGGTCGAGAAGTTGGACACGGGAATGGATTCTCCTGCGTGAATGTGAGGCCCTGCAGCACCATGTATTGAGTGAACTCACCGTAGTACCGATGCTCCAAAACCACGCCTAGTCCACCGGTCGCTCGAGCCAGGATTTCGACAATTCCCGTGTCAAGGAACGGGATGCGATCCTAAAAATCGAACCATGAGTGGGTTAACGGGGCTAAGCCCGATGACGCACCTCACCGCTGGTTTCTCCCCCATCCAGCACAATCACAGGAGCGCCCTTTCGTGGTTTGTAGTGCCGCGCATTGACCCAGTACCGCTGGTGGAAGGTATGCTCCGAATGCTTGTCGAAATGGTCGAGCGGTTGCTTGAACCATTGGGCACGAAATTCGGGCTTCTTCGACTTGCTCTTGCTATACAATGGCACCTGCTCTAAGTCTTGAAAGGTGTGTTCATGCTCTTTCCTGGATGTCGGAATTGAAGTGTTCTTGTTGAGTTTCCATAGGTTGACGCCTTGGGGTCCGAGAACACGGAGCTGATTAGGAGTAAGAGCGTCCACAAGATTCTGGAAGCATACTGCCAGAAGGAAGATAGAGCGTTTCCCTATATGCATCGTCAAGGTGTTGAACGTTGAAGCGTTGAACGCTGACGTCGAATGTTGAATCGAACGATGAGGCTGGGAACTGCCGGTAACTAACGGGCCGCCCACCCGCTGAAGCCCGTTATGACCGAAAATCAGGGGTTGCTACGGTCTTTCAACTTCAAGCTCTAGTCTTGTTGACTTACCCCTCATTGCACCTCTCGCATCCTGTAGACGGTGCAACGAGCGACAGCACTGGGCGCTGTACATACAAACTCTCAGAATTCAACTCTCCAGATCTTCTCATCTGGAAACGTCAGAATTAACGGTGGCCAATGCATCGGGCTGCCAAATTAACCTCACAGTCAATCTCACTCGTTCGCTTGACATCATCAGTACATCTCGAAATATTCCATCTCACGGAATTCTTGATAGCCTACAGAGAGCTCCCAAAGTTAGAGCAGGCACTGTCACGGATTGTCGAAGCTAAGGTCAGTACGCATCAGATCTGCTAAAACGCTCATCCTCATTATGCCAGAACCGAACAAATTTCTTCCAATCGAAATATCTGCGAGAAGGAACAATCATCGGCGAATGTAGGTATCCTCGCTCTCTTTTCAACAGTTGACGATTTCGCGATGATCAATGCTCTTTGAGGTCTTCAGAGCACTCCCATTCGAAGCACACAGGGCAGTTCTTGTTGCCCTGAGTGTTCGGAATTTCGCAACGTGCTTGCCTGGTCAAGCACTCAACTCCAAAGCCCTGGGCGTAGAGGCGTCCGATGCTGGTATCCTTGGAAATACTCCGGAATGACTGCCAAAGTACGACCTGAGGCCTGAGATACCAGCATTACGTCTGGGTGATGTTGGGGTCCTCGATAATACCTCCCAAAAGCAAGGGTTCGCATAGTACTGCTCGTTCTTCTGAACGGCACATTGATGACATGCTTAGTCAGTCGTCTTGGCAGGCGCTTAATCGAGAGCAGGGCGTCTATAGGACGCAGAACCAAGGCTTATGCCGGAAGCCACATGGTCCTAGAATCATCACCACCGTGAAGTTAAGATACGAGCTTATCTTGAGCAAGGTGCGTTGTTTACATAAAAATTTCTGAACTCTCTCAGAACGAAGACCAGAATGAAGATGGGCATCAATCATGACAGAGATTGGTGTCCAGCAACTAAAGAGATGATTTAACCTTTCCTCAGCATAACTGGTATTGATGAGTGTGCTTAGAATGACCATACGGTACCAAGCTGTAATCGCTCGTCATCATGCAGTTTTTCAAGAGGATGGTGAGAGAATTTCCCTATCAAAATTTCCTTCTCAATTTGCACCACATTCTTGACCCCTGGTATTTTCCGATAGAGAAACTTCTTATTCAAAAGCGAAAGGGGCAAAAGACTCAAGAGGCCGTCTGAATCAGAGCTTGAAGGTGCGACAGCACTTCAGGCCTGTCGAATCGTAGCAAGCCGATGTCATTCATCGTCCATCTCCTATACGCCAGCTTCTGGATCCCACAAGGGCCTATTCTTTATATCTTCCTCAAGTCATTGAAAGGTAAGGGGAGCTCTTGTCATCACTGTGATCTCTGACGTAATTGTCTCCTCACTAAACATCCCTCCGCCTTCTGCCCTTCTTGGCTGCCTTTCACTAGAGGCTGACCCATTAATTGTGTGGATCTAGGTGTTAATCGTGGGCTGGGACGGTCGTAAATGTGGAATCTCTATGGCACGTCCTCGAAGACTGATCTATCTCCCTTTCCGTCATTCTCTGCCTGATGCTCGTGCCCGCGGCGAAAGCTTAGGGAATTTTGCTCTGTTTCACACAGTCTATGCTGAGGATTAGTTCTTATTCTGTCCCTTCTTGAACCACTCTAACGGTAATTCTATCGTACAGCTACTGAGTGTTTCTATCTGTTTACTATGTCGCTCCTCAACATAATTCTAATCCGGGTAGCAGCAGTAAGTTTGATTTCTGCTCTTATTCCCGTTGGATCAACTAACAGGCCATTCCAGCTCGACGTCGCTTACCGCTTTATCCTATTCTCGTATGTCCACACCCCACATCATTATTTACTCAACCCAACACCCTCTAGAATATCACGCTGTCTCCACTCAGCCCTCACCAGTCGCGCTCTCCTTCACGTTCGCGCCGGTGTTAGATCGCGAGGCACAGCACCACATCGAGCACGTTAGTATAGATTCCTTCCCATGACGCCAGCCTCAAACACAAGCCGCAAACTTCAAGAAAGTATAAATACTGTATGCCACCCCACAATACCTAATACCTTACAGCACAGCAAGTATTTGCTTACACGTAATGTATAGAATTCAATTGCGCCCGCTGTCGTTTTTCTCGCATCTGTCAGGCCATTTTGTCTGATCTTATGCCTTCGGATTGGTGCTAAGCGAACCGAGGTCAACCACAGTCAATGCGAGCATTGAATGTGGTGACTTGTGCAGCGCCTTGGCCATGTGCGGAAATAGAAATAGCCGAGCAGGCATGTGGGAGCGGGCCGCCAGATCCGTGGCGCCCAACTTTAGGCGCCCAAAGAGGACACGCCACTTTCCTCCGTTTGTCACTTGACTCTAAGGTTTGACGTCCTCCATGGTTCCGATATGAATGCTTACTAGACGTTTGTTTTGTGCTCACCACAAGTAACCTCTGGCATAAACATGAGCAACAGACCGGCCCAATTTCATAAATTTAAAGTGCATCACTGAGCCCTCTCAGAATAGGTTCCGTTCTACTTCGACGTTCATTAATTGACGGCCACTAATTCTTCCGCCCTTCACAATGACGCGGTAAACGACCAAGCCTTCAAATGTTCATCAGTTTCATGGTTGGGCCTCGCGTCGCTATACGAACGATCACGACATCTAGCGTGCCCTACGTGACTACTTGAGGCGGATCAAGAAGAATTGTGGTCCTGGCTATAAGAAATCTTCACTAAGTACTTAAGAACTTCTTCCGTCTGCAGTTCTCCTGCCTCCCTAATGATGGAGAAATTTTCAAATGAATAACAAACATCACTCGGAAGACCCTCCCGGAATCCTCTCATGCCCTACTTGTCTTAACCCAAAAATACGACCTTCCCTTTGTCCTGTAGCATTCAAGTTTCTGATATCATTCAAATCCATGCATCCAGACTCCTAATGTCAATAGCGGCGGACAACGCGGATCGTTCTCCTCGACAGGGGCGATTTTATCACCGGATCACTCTTCAGGGCAAAAAGAGAAGATCTTTTTTCATGCCCTGTACCGTAATCCTGACGGAAGCCCAACTCCAGGCTTTCATCAACGCTCACTGGCATCATCTTCCAGCATCACCAATACCTTATTTGCCTTCCTTCCAAAGTTCCACCCAATGAAGTGTGCTTGAAAATAGCGCAGCGCAGCGCGTTGTGGGGTGTGGTATAAGGCCTGGACCGCGCTTGCACTTCATAGACCCTTAGGGTTCCGACGATTGCACGATGGAACGGGAAGGTAAGTTAGTGGACGTGCATCCCTATTCGACGCTAAGATATCGACGAACGGGTGTCCTGTTCCATGTGCCTCATGCGGCTATTACTGGGGCCACCCAAGGGATCAGATTGGATGCTATCCTTGGAATGCAAGAGTATGGATGGGCGTGTCGAGGCCATGCGCCTCCTCACCCGACCTCGCCCTTTTAGTGTCGGAGAATATATAAGAACAAGGACACTACGTCGTGTATGGCACCTACATTCCCTCCGTGTCTTCTCATAGACGTAGTTCTTCAATAATTTGAGTCCCTTCGGCCAATTGCACGGTGTCATGAGCCCCCCTCGGCCTCCCGCCTGTCATGATAGTCATCTTGTCAGTGGCGAAAGGGGTACGTACTATTCTAAGAGTACATATAATAGGAACGCTTCTCATATCCTGATGTCACTGTTTGCCTTTACCTCACCACAACTCGTTACTTATCAGTGCCATCTCCGGGGGACGCGCTATCCAATCGGAGTTCCATGATATATCAACTTTCAAGTCGAATGTCAGAAAGCCTGAGAAGGCAGGGCAGAACAGCATTGGCTTCTTGCACCCAAAAGACCCCTTCTCGTGCTACAACGGCCTCTGCTCGTCATCAAAGTGAATTCAGTCACCTCGCCACATGCCGGGCGCATAATCAATGATCCCAGCTCTATACGAGAAATATGTACCCTATCATGCCTCGAGATTCCTCCTTGTTCTTATTCTGGAACGTCCTGAGAGGGTGCAGCCTGCCTCACCTACTCACCGTGGCTGCCCGGGGCCGAAGCTAACTTGACACGGCCCTAGCTGGATCCTGTTCGTCCTCTTCCATATCAGATATTCACCTCCAGACTTCGGGCCGGACAATCTTTGGCATGGATAACGAGAGAATCGAATCCGAGTGGGGTCAATCAGGCAAGTACGGACGAAGTCTACCCACGGTGCGTGCTATGCCCTTTTCACAGACACATGACTGATAAGTACTAAGTACCAAGTCGTCATTCAATTGTTGACAACAACCGGCACCGGCAAATAACCTTCACGCACCCAGAGGCAGGTCCAGACCTTACAGCAGGCGCCCATCGCGCCTCCCGCGAAGGCCACTTGTCGTGCTAGAAGCACGAAATCCCCTCTAAATGCTAATTGACCAATCAACTTCTCCCCATCCAGTCTTCCGTGCATAGGCCCCATCTAAAACACCTGAAGTACCTGACTCAAGGATTATAAACGCAGCTCTATGTCAGTTCCTTCATATAAATGAACGCCGGTGCATATTCGCGGCGCCCGAAACTCGCCCCTTGGCAGCCTCGTTCGACGCAGAGGCATTCGCACGTGGTTCCTTCCCGGTATGCCACTAGCCAGTCAGTTTTGAAGAATCTTGACCAATCCCCTGGACCCCGCGCTCCCGCCGCCCAGTGACCGGTCCTCGGCTTGTCTTAACAGTCCTATTCCGGAGAGCGCAGCGCAAGCAGTTATAGATGAATTTGAAAACCCGCGCTATTGCGTCCGTGCGGCGTATGTCGGATTTATTTCCGTTTTTGAACGCGAGGCCAGTGGAGCGTCCCGAAGGAGGAAGTGACCTTGCCTCGGAAATGGAGTGGGATTGTTTACTCGTATGTAGGCGGTTAAGTCTCGGGCGCCGGGGGTAATGGCGATGGGTGTAAGTACACTAACGTGCGGCGTGAACATAACCATACAGAACAAACCAGATGTAAGGGTCTTTTTCAAAACTACAAACACAAGTATTATATTTATAATAGACAAGTAGAGACGATTCAAGGATGATGGTGCTGAATTAAAGTGTGCACGCTCAAACGTTCATATACATAGCGCCGACAACCATTGGTTCCCCCGCATCGGGACCATCTAGTCTCAAGTTATTCCATATTGCGGTGCCAGTGAACCCGATTACGGCGAGGAAACCAGGTCCTTCACCTTCACGCGTTGAAAACCTCTTCCCATATGGATTGCATGACGAGATTTCGACCCTGTATTGTATTTGGGATAGTCAGGAACACGTTCCAGAAGGACATCTACGCGTACTTAGATTCCGATGCGGAGGTCAGCAAATGGGGCTCGTTCGCGGTGACCTAGGTGTCTTTCGAAATTCCGACTCTCTAGCTTAGACGATCGAGCCATGTCTCCGCCATATCATTTAAACAATGTTGGTTAGCACTCCAAGACTGTAGCCTAGCCTACGGGACTACACCTTGCACATAATTACCACGGTTTTAAGCTCTCATCCGCTGTGTCGGGCATTCATCGCCTTTCTTGCGTGCAATTTCTATCGCGTCGGTGACGCTCAGCCGGCAACGACAACACTGCCGCCCACTCAAGAACCGGTTGAATAGAATGAAGAGATTGTACTAGATGCGTACATGGTATCAAGATTACAGTTGACTCTAGGACTTGTTAGTGTCCCAGAATCTTTTCTTTTCCTCCGAAGTGTTGAAAGACGAGGTCATTCTGTACCTAACGTCACGGTCGTGGCTGCAATTTGCGCCGTTGTCTTCGTCGAGGCAGCAGTGTCTACAGGTAAAGCAGACACCACTGGAGGCTGGGGTTGTGCATGCGCAGGTACGGGGACAAGACACGCGAACGTCAGGTAGGATGTGTGTCCGCGAACCTCAGGGAGAGCTTTCGCAAAGTTGAATTTCGCTGGTGGTAAGGCCTGGCTCGACGGCGATGTCAAAGGCGCAGGTGGTAGCGAGGAGGTCGAAGGGACGGGTTCTGACTCGTCACCCGTAACAGCAGCAACGAACACCTCAGAAAGGAGGACATCTTCCTCCATCGGCTCTCCCTCTCCCTCTCCCTCTCCGGCTTCCTCTCCTGCTCCTTCCACCTCACCCCCTGTCTCATCTTCCTTCCTCGGGCGCTTACTCACCGCATCCACATCCTCCACCTCTGCACCTTCCTCTTCACCCCGCTTCCTCTTGCCCTCCCTAACCGCCTTCTCCTTATTCGCCCTGATCTGCCGCTGGCGCTTCTCCTCGCGCTTCCTCTCGGACCCCTTGAGCTTCTCCGAAAGCGCCGATACAGGCACCGCTTGCGGAATCTGGAAGACTTCGATCGGGCGCAGGAGGGTTTCGTACATCGTTATTTCTGGAAGCCAGGAAGGTGTTGGTTAGACGCCTGAATTGGTTTTCCGGGATTAGAAAGATATTAAAAAAACGGCAGCGGGTTGATCATATGAGAAAGAAAAAACGAAGAAATAGGCGCCCTTGCGCCAAGTCGAAGCCCAAGTTCATTCCTTTCGGACAAAAACCACAAACCATGACGCTGACCCCAAAACCAAAAAAAAAACCGGAATGAAATTATTGAAGAGATAAATTCGGATCGGCGAACAAACAAGAAGGCGTAAACCTTCTAACATCTCTCCCTCGTCCTTCCGAACACTTCAAATACACACCAATCCCCAAAAGCCAACTCGCGACCCAAAGAACAGGAGGTTAAAAACCAGGGCTCAAGTCAAGAAGAGAAAAGAAGAGATCAAGTTGAGTTTTGAGTTTTGACTTCCCGCCACCGCCTTTCGATTAGCCCAATGTTAACCCTATCCCCAGTCTCGGTTTTGGTCACGTATGGTGTCAGTGGCTTTTGAGTTTAGCCTCGCATGCTCGGTGACTCAAAGTGACTTTGGCCAATGGCAACGGCAAGTTTGAGAAGGGCGCTCGATTCGGGTTTACGAGAGGGCGAAGAGCCGGAGTGACGAGAGCGAGGAAAACGGGGTTACGAGAAAAAAGACAGGCGAGAACTCTCAATACCAAACCCGAATATCAAAATAAACGAAAAGAGAAGACGACATCGGAAACGCGAATTGACACGCAGAAAGCTGAGACCGACACCCAAAAGCGAAAGCGAAAGCGAAAAGGACACAACACCGAAAATGACACGAAAAGAAATTTGTCCAAAAAACCTCCACTCACCAGTAAACCCCGCCTCGTTCAACGCGCTCACAGTCCTCAGCACCTGCTCCATACACGGGCTGAAGCAGCATATCCGCGTCGGGCGGCCTTTCTGTTATCGTCATCGTAATCGTCAGTTACAGCAGCGAAGATGGCGGCGGCAGCAGCAAAGAAGGTTGAGAGGAAGGTTGAGAGGAAGGGAAGGACGGGACGTACCCTTAACGCCTTCCTGGCGTGCTCGACGGCGTCCCAAGGCGCGGGCAGGTCAAGGAAGACTGTACGAAAGAAGGTTGGTGAGTATATGCGTCGAGCAAAGTAAGCAAGGCGAAGAATGAAAGAAAAGAAGTGAGTAAGTGAAGTAAGGATGGGTAAGCAGTAAGCAACAGCACTGAGTCATCTGCGCGTGCGTAGAACGAGCAAATCGGCCAAGCGAGAGACATAAGCAAGTAAAGAAGACGCAGCGGCAACGGCAAAAGCAAACGCGAAGGTTGTACGTATGTGGACGGAGAAAACGGTATTCTCTTGTGAGATGGAAGGAAGAACCCAAACGGCATGGAACACGTAGCACAGGGCAGAAAGGAACGGGCTAACGGCAAGTAAAAGCATATAGCGCATAAAGAAGCATAACGGTAAACGAGCGGCGTTCAAAGCAAATAGCGGTGCGTAAGTAAGCGTAAGCTTCAGCGTTCGTGGAAGCGCAAGTGGAAAGAGAAGTGGTAACCGTAAGTAAGCGAACCCGGAGAACGGACGAACGGCGAACAGGAAATTTAAACAAGGAACAGGTGAGCGATGAATAGGGAACAAGGTACAGGGGACAGGGAACCATGAATCATGACCTAACGCTAGCATCCACACCCAGGCTCTTACAGGAAGGATGCACAAAAGGAGAATGGAAAGCGGCGGCGGCAAGGAAGGGATGAGAGATTCGGCCGTCGGTATCAAAAGTAAACCCAAAACCAAAACCAAAGCACGAAGCGAAGGCGAAGGCGAAGGCGAAGGTAACCGGACATGCCGAGAAACTCGGGCGGCGATGCGGTAACTGAAGGAAATTAAAGAAAGCTTGGGCGGGGGGCGCCAAGATGGACGGATGGATGGATGGATGGATGGCCAGATGGGTGGGGAAGGGAAACGCGAATGGAACAGAAGGGAAGGGAGAGGTGAATGGAGAGGCAGCAGAAGAGAGAGAATGGGAGAATGAGGATAGGGATGAGGACGAGAGGACGCACCAGCATCGACCTCATCAACGACCGTAAACCCGTCCTTGCACACGTTCCGGTGTGTGAGCGTCACCACGTCGTCCATGCCGTGGCGCGTGAACTCTTCTCTGTTCCAATTGGTTGGCAATGTATTGAGAGGCAACGTCAGAATCGCGGAATCATAGTCAGCCAGTCGGTCAGTCAGTCAGAAGTGGTAAGTAGAAAGTCGCGATCAGGATCGCACTCGGACTCGGAACCACGGAATCGGAACCACGGAAGAGTGAGAGGTGGTGGGAATTTGGAAAGGCAGGAATAGGGAGGTGGTGGGAAAGGTTGGTTGTGTTGGGAAGGGGCACGAAAGGAAATGTGAAGGAACACAGAGTGAGAGAAGGAAAGAAGGTCTCTGTTAGACACGAAAGTGAATGTGATTCTTCGAAAAAAAAGTATGAAATGCGTTGGGCCGACGCCGAGGGCGGCCAAACTCACAAACGAGTCGGCCAAAACGACCACTCCAAAACCCCAAACCGCCAACACGAAAAGAAAACGCAACACCAGCGACTGAGGAAAGAAAAAACGCGCTCCGTACTCACTTTGCCTTCTTGAACCTCGCTTCATGGAACTCGTACGACCACAGACGCCCGCTCGCGCCGACGGTCCTGGCGACGGAGTGCGAGAACGATGCGGACCCGGTGCCTGTGAAGATGTGGTGAAGTAGTCAGTAAGTCGTCAGGTAGTCAGTCATAACCATTTAGCCGTTGGTCACCCTAGATCCCAGAGGATGACAAAAACGGAAGAGGTGTGAAGAGATTGAATGAATGGGGAACGGGGAACGAAGGAGAAGTGGATACAATGAGAAATGGATGGATGGGGAAGAAAGGCACACCGACGGAGCGTCGAGAGAGGAAGGTAGTGCAGTGGGAAGAAAAAGAGAAAAAGAGAAAAAGAGAGTTGGGATTAGGATTGAAATTCCCTCCAAGTGGATCGCGTGTCAAAAGACATAGCGTAACGCGTGCATATACAGACCTGTGAAATGAAGGTATGCAGAGGCGACGTCAGTTCAGTGTCATTGACATCCAGTCAAAATCAACGATCCAGGGCGGGCTGGGCTGATCATGATCACGATACTGGCGCTGGGAGGATCGAGGGCGTACGTCGGCGGAACGAGGAGATACATGCGAGTACGCGAGATTGAGAGAAATGGGGATGAAAGTCCGCAATGGGGTACGCCGCGCGGCCTCGATGCGATGCGCAATGCCACAAAACAGAATAGAACAGAATAGAATTGTGGCAAGATTGAAGATCGCAAGGCGGCCTGACGCAATCTCCCTGCGTCACCGGTTCAGTTCAGCTGTACGGCATCCCCAAGGCACGCTGCGACGGTGGGATTGGGACGATGCTAATAAACAATGGGAATGGGGATGTTTTGGTACTTGGGAGGAGCGCGGAAGACAGGAAGCATGGAGGCCGAAGCTCGACCCAAGTCCCAAGGCTGGAAAGAGAAGAAGGGACAAGACGAAGATGCGAACTATGGAGAATGAAAGACAGAAGATGGGAGAGATGGCCATGGGAGAGATCTTGGAGGCTGGAGCGGCCTGACGTCGCCTCACTGGGCAAGTTGCCAGGAAGGCCGTAAGGAGAAGAAGGTTGCTCCTTGGGAGCGAGGACAAGCCAGGGCAAGAAGGGAATAATTGAAGGAAGAAAACAAACACAAGCAGGGGGCGATTCGGGGTGAATCTAAACATGCCCAAAGGTAAAGTGCCGCAGCGTGGGTACGACATTCGGTGTGAACGCGAAATGGATGCGAACCAGCTAGATCATGGGACCCACCTGCTTCGATGACCTTGGAGCCTCTGCGCAGGCCGAGTGCGGCGGTGATGAACGCGATATCGGCGAGGTACAGGATCTGCGTGCGGTGCGGCAGCGCTATCGTCCATAGCTCGGGAGTGGGGCGGAGGATGTGGATGAAGCCGCGGCCTGTGCGGGAGGCGACCTTGGACCCGTACGGCACGCCCACGAAATCAGCCTGCCTGAAGTTGCCGAACTTGGTGTTGAAGTCCTTGCCGGGTGTCACGACGAGCGGCTGGACCTGGTCTCGGGTCTACGGGGTAGTGAGTCATCGAATGCAGGAGGAGGAGAGGGGGACGGACGAGCCAGATGATGACGGTGTCGCCGGCGGCTACCTCTCTCGCTGTCGACCACATCGTCGTCGTCGATGGAGAATCAGGAAAAGAGCAAAATTGAATTGACCCGAGATTTCGCCAAGCCTGGATCTCCGGGTTTGGTTGCCGCACTTTGTGTACTTACACACGGGGACGCCAATCTTGCGTTTCTGGATTTAAGGTGCGGGCATGGGTGGTCGGTGGGAGGGAAGGGTTGGATTCTTTTGGACTGGTAAGATTTGGGGGCGAATCTGCGCTAATTAGCAGTGCCGTCAGCTAAAGTTCAAATAAAGTACTCGCCCATCATCCAACACTCTTCTCGCCGCTCCCCCATCTTTTCACCCAACCCAACCATGAACCACTCCCCGCCTGCCATATCCTTCAGTCAGTTCCCCGTTCCCTTCCCCTTCCCCGTCGTCGCTGCTAACGAGCACATTACAGTCGGGATCGTTGATTTTTCGCAGGATGTAAGTAGCGTGTCATCTACCGAGTCCACACCCGGGCCCACACTTACGCTCCTTCCCTGCAGGCAAAATGGCTCTATATGACTGACTCGGTCACCGAACTCCTCGGTGCGCCCATCGATCATGTCTCCTTGCAGCCCCCGCTCACAGTGATGGCAGGTTACGAGCCGAGCGACCTCATCGGGCAACCCTCGCTCGACCTCGTGCACCCTGACGAGTTCCCGAGCATCCGCCAGCTCCATTAGTGCGTCCACACCCCTCCCTGCCAAGCCCCGTGCGCCACTCACCGCCTGCTCCGCCCTTTACAGCGACACCATCCTGCAGGACAAGGCAGCCTGCCTCGTCTACCTGCGCATGAAGCACAAGGATCCCTTTCGCGGCTACATACTATGTGGTGTCGTAAGTCCCTCCCATTTACCCCCTCCGTGGCCCCACACCCGCTGATCATCCTTATCCCTTCCGTCTCTCCCTGCAGTCTCGGTGGGTCCTCCCACCCAAAAACCGCCCACAATCACCCATCTCATAATTAATCGCGGATTTTTTTTGTGATTATAGGACTGTGGTGCACAACGTGCTCGTGGGCAGCGTCTCTTTTGCGAGTCCGGGCGCCAAGGCACTGCACAACGCCTCCACTGCGCAGGAGATCACCGTCATCACGCCCTCTGCGGCAAACTTCCAGTTCCGGGTAAGCCAGTCAACAACTTGCTACTTTGTCACCCCGCCTTCTTTCCTTCCTTCCCTGCCCTCTGCCTTTCCTTCTCCTCCTCGGCCTTCGCGAGCGTTGTCGGACAACCCGCTGACACTTGCCTTCCCACCGGCCTTCGTCCGCACGGTTCCTCTCTTCGACGTTTCTCCCACATTTGCCGTCTCCGCCCCTTTCCTCTTCCTCTTCGTTCTTCTTCCGTTATTTTTTTCTTCCTCAAAAAACATATCACTCACTAACACACTCTTATTTTATTTTTCTTCTCCCCTCCCCTCCCCTACCTCACAGAGATGGCACGACCCCTCACCAATGCCACCCAGCCCCATCCCACAAGAAATGGCCAACGTCAACCTCGCAGAGATGCTCCAGCGCACCTCGCCTGCGCCTTCTTCCTCCTCGTGGGGGTCCAAGAGCCCGCGCACCCCACGGCAGTCGCAGAGCCCCCCTGGAAGGGAAGAAAGAAGGAGAAGCGTCGAAGCGGGGTCGCCCCCTGGCAGGTCGCCCACGTTGTCGACGCTTTCTGGGGCAGAGGAAAGGGACAGGGACAGGGACAGGGATGGGGGAAGGGATAGGAATGGAGGAAGGGATAATGGGAGGCAGAGGGATGGTGAGAGGAACGGAAGACGAGAGGAGAGGGACGCGGAAGGCAGGCGGAGGCGTGGACACTGGGACGGGCGAAGCAGGAGCGGCTCGCGAAGCCGGAGTCGCAGCCTCAGCGTCTCGCCCGAGCGGTCGGGTGGCGCGCTCGGTCGGTCGCAGAGCCATCGCGCGCGCAACGGCAGCGGTTCAAGTACGCATGCGCACGTGCACGCGCACGCGTACGACCCGCGGCGGAACGGTCACTCTCACCCCTCCTCCCACCCGCACCCGTACCCCCCAAGCATCGCCAACATCCCCATCATCTCCTTCGAGCCCCCCGCCAACAAATCCTTCCGCACCGCCTTCATCCTCGACCGCTTCACCATGAACTGTACCATCATGTACTGCTCCAACGACTTATTGGTGTCGACGACGGAAGCGATAGGAAGGAGCTTCTATGATTTCGTGAGTAGGAGAGACGAGGAGATCGTGCAGAGCTGGATCTCGTGCGTTAAAGGATGGGGGGTGAACGAGAAGGGCCAGCCGAGCGATGGTGGGTTTGGGTTTGGGAAGTTCATGTTGTTGCCTGAGGGGAGGGATTCGGGAGCTAGGTGGGTTTTTTTTTCTTTTCGTTCTTGATTCTTGTGTCTACAATTTCTTGGTTCGTTTTATGTTTTTGGACACCGCTAACACGCCTCTTGCTAGCCGCCGCATCCCCGAACCGCCTACACCGTCGAGGCACCGCGACCGGCACGGCACGCATTCGCACGGACAAGCGCACCACCCGCACCAGCGCCGACCTTCAAATAATCCGCACGGGCACAGTCGGCCCACCCCACGCGCGCGTGCACAAACACACACCTCCTCTTCCTCATCTTACGCCTCTTCCTCATCCTCCTCATACAACCCCTCGCGCTCTCCAACCTCTCCATACTCTCCCACCTCTCCCTACGCCTCCACATCCGGCGCCTACTCCTCAGGCGCCTACTCCAGTTCCACAAGCCACTCGCACGCTCACTCGCCTACGTCAACACGCTCCCCGTACGCCCACCCGCCCGCGTACAGCACCTCCCAGATCACACAGGGCATGCACACTATGAACGTGCACGGGCTCGAAGAGGCGAACGCGGAGAAGTTCGAGGTCGACGCGATCTTCTCGGCGCACTCGGATGGGCTGATGGTCATTCTTCGGCGGGCGTCGTAGGCGGGAGGGTGGTGCCTCGTCCTTAAGCCTCGTCCTCAGGCCTCAGGGCCCGAGGCAGGCGTTGGTTTGTCTTTTATTTTCTGTGTTTGTCTAGCAGCCCCTCTGTTTTTTTACTCTCCTCGATCTCGATTGGCGTCTCTATGTTGTTAAAATATGTACGAAGTTGTACACTATGTATCCCTTGTTCTGCTCTGCTCTACTTTTTCCTGCTATTACTTTGTCGTGCCTCCTCCATCGCCTTTCTTGCCCGCCCCGTCCTCTCTCTCTCTCCCGATCGTCGATATGCTTGTGTTTACTCTAGACATCTCGCTGCTTCATCTACTCTCCATCCTCTCCCTCCACCCTCTCTCCGTCGTGTCGTCCCGTTCCATCTTCGTTGGCTACGTACATACATACATGTACATCCCGAATATTCTGAACCCCTCCTTACAGCGAGTCACTGCTCGCTTCAAGTTACCCTACAGTTCTGTCCTGTTCTGTCCTGAAATCAATTTCCTGCTCCTCATTGATTATGACTTGTGAAATTTGAGCAAACGAAAAAGAAGTCCTTTCGTTGTCCGGGGCTCTCCGAAAGCCGAAAGTGGTGTCGGGTCTGGACCTTCGAGAGAGGTGAGGAGGCAAAGGCGACTGGGTCCGTCCTCATCAAACGTCTCGTCGATCTCTGTCAACGTCCAGCGTCCGCCTTCGAACGCTCTTCTTTACAGCTGGAAGTAAACTCTATTAACTCTGCACAACCATCAACGTAACCACCTCAACAGCTTGGAAAGCGTTCACGTTTCAAATCCAAACCCGAATCCTGTCCCACAATAGATGGCGTTTAGTTACATTCACATTCCTGTGACGGTAACGTTGATAAGTCCCAGAGCACCCAGCTGGAAGGTCGATTCAGGAGGAGATACTAGCGAACCACTCGCAGCCTGGGCTCCTCTTTGTACACTGCGTATCTAATTGGGTGGGGGATGGTGGAAGGGCTCAATAGCATAGAAGGTGCACGTGTCTAGAGGACGATACCTCCTTGCTCCTTATTTAATCAGTCGAGGCATCCCGTTCGGCTCAGCTGCAGTAAATTTGGAGGACAAAAGTTCATTGACCTTTTGAATTTGTCCTCCAGGAAACAGTTTCTGGTTTAGTAGGCAGAGAAAAGATATTAGCAGCGTCCAGGACCACCACTCCCGAATCAAGCAGTTGCTCTAAGGATATATCACCCATCTGGATCTGAACTGTACTGTATATGTACGGTGGTATGTAGCTACATATTTACCCCCCGCGCAGGGATACGACCCCAACTGGCTACATATATTACGAGTACACAATCGACACAATTCCACTTCATTTCCGAGGTGCACTCCACCTCAGGCCCCAGGGTCCCGTCTACCCTTTTGGGTGACCTTCGGACTCCGTGTTCAAAAACGGAAATAAACTCCACATACGCCGCACGGACTCTAAATCGCGGATTTAAAATTCGTTCCCTAATCTATTTAGTGCGGCGGTGGCGCTCCCCAGAATAGGATTGGATTGGATCATGCAACGAGCCGAGGGCTGGGCGACGGCGGGAGTGCGGGCTGGTGAGGGCGGAGCACGTGTGTGGTGGACTGGGCGTCGAGCCTGATAGGGTATGACTAAACTCGGCCGCCAAGAGGCGAGTTTCGAGCACCGCGAATATGCACCGGTACTTCAATCCGTAGTACTTAAAGATAAAGAGATAGACTAAGACTCTTACTAGCAAGACGTATGTTGGTCTTGGGCTCGTTTGGTACCCTCTCTCGGACTTAAGGTGTTTTGGGTGGAGCCTGTGGAAGGAAGGCCGAATGGCGGGTAGTTGACTCGTTCACGAGTGATTAGAGGGGATTTCGTGCTTCTGGTACGACGGCTTCACGTACAGAGGCCTTCGCGGGAGGCGCGATGGGCGCCTCGCGTAGGGTCTGGACTAGGTGCCGGTCGCTAACCGTGTCTATCTGTCATTCAATGTCAACAATTGGGCTATCAGTAAGCATGTAAGTACTGTAGTTGTGAAATAGAAAGGGCATAGCGCACCCTACATATTCGTGTTACTTGCTTGATGGACCTCTCCTATGACCTAGACTGACTCGGACATCCCATTATCCATGCCGAAGATTGTCCGGGCCGAAACCTGAGGCCTGAGGTCTGAATTCAAGCTCACGGTGGGCTCGAACTGTTATGGGAATCGACGCTAGCTGGATCCTGTTCGTCGATTCCTGCCGTGTCAAGTTGGCTTCGGCCCCGGGCAAGCACGGTGACCGCGTGGGGCTCGCTGCACCTTTTCAGGGCGTCCCAGAATAACCGCCTGAGAGACCCTGAAGAACTTTGAGGAATCTCGAGGTATATCAGGTACTTTCTTCTGAGAGCAGTGGGATCATTGATTATGCGTACGGCAACTGGCGAGGTGGCTGAATGGACTTTGATCACAAGCAGACGCCGTTGTGGCACGAGAAGGGGTCTTTTGGATGCAAGAAGCCAATGCTGTCCTGCCTTCTCAGGCTCGGTGTCATTCAGCTTGATATCATTGATATCATGGGACTCCGATTGCATAGCGCGTCTCTCGGACATGGCATTGATAATGGGTTTTAGTGAGGTGAGGGCAAACAGTGACATAACGGCATGAGAAGCCCTTCCTGTTATGTATACTACATAGAATAGTACGCACCGCATTCGCCATTGACAAGATGACTGTCATGACAGACGGGGGGCCGAGGGACGCTTATGACGCTATTGGATTGGCTGAGAGAACTCAAAGTACTGAACGACGTCTATGAGAAGACGCGGTCCGGAGGGAGTGTAGGTGCCGTACACAACATAACATCTTCTTCTCAATGTATTCTACAACACGAAAAGGGAAAGGACGGGTCAGGAGGCGCACGGTCTCGACCCGCCCATTCACACTCTTGCGTTCCAAGGATAGTGTCCAATATGGCCCCCTCGGTGACGCCAGGAATAGCCGCACGATGCATGTGGAACAGGACACTCGTTCATGGATATTTTAGTATCGAATAGGGACATGCGTCCATGAACCTTCCCTCCCGTCGTCCCATCGTCGGACCCTAAGGGTCTATGAAGTGCAAGCACGGTCCAGGCTTTATCGTTGTGCACAACGCGCTGTGCTATTTTTAAGCGCGCTTCGCTGGTGGAAGGAAAGCAGATAAGGTGTTGTTGATGTTGGAAGTTGAAGCAGTGAGCGTTGATGAAAGCCTGGAGTTGGGCTTCCGTCAGGATTACGGTACAGGGTATGAAAAGAGACCTTCTCTTTCTCTCCCTAGGAGTGATCCGGTGATAAAAATCGCCCCTATTGAGGAGAACGATCCGCGTTGTCCGCCGCTATTTACAGTAGTGGTCTGGATGGGTGGATGGGGACTCCATCAGAGAATTTTATGGTATATAGGGGTTAAAGGTAGGACGTATTTTTGGCTTAGGACAAGAACAGGAATGAGGATTCCGGGAGGGCCCTCCGAGTTATGTTTGTTGTTCATTTGAAAATTTCTTCATTGTGGCATCAGGGAGGAAGGAGGGCTAGGGCAGAAGAAGTTCTCAAGGACTTTGTGCAAATTGCTTGTGAACAAGACCACAATTCTTCTTGATCCGCCTCTAGTAGTAGCGTAGGCCACGATGGACGACGTGATCGTGAGTATAGCGACGCGACGCCCGACCATTGAACTGATAAACATTTGAAGGCTTGGACCTTGACTGCGTCACTGTGAAGGGCGGAAGAACCAGCAGTCGTCAGTTAATTAACGTCGAAGTCGAACGGAACCTATTCTGAGAAGGTTCCGTGGTACACTTCAACTAAATTTATGAATTCGGACCGGTTTGCTGCTTGTATTTATGCCAGAGGTTATTTTTGATAACCACAAAGCAATTTTATGGTAACCACCCCTATTGGAACCATGGAGTATGTCAAACCTTAGGGTCAAGTGATACACGGAGGAAAGTGGCGTGTCGTCTTTGGGCGCCTAAAGCGGGCCGGCACATCCGACATGCCGCTCTGCATGACCAGAGGCTGCACAACTCGCCACATTCGACGTTCTCGTTGACTGTGGTCGACCTCCGTGAGCTTATGACAAATCCGAAGCATGAGAAAAAATAAGGTGCGGCGTATTGCTCAACGGGATTCGAGCATCGACAGCGGGTGCGATTACGTAGAGTAAATTGTACACATTATGCGTATGCAAGTACTTGCTGTACGGTATAACAGCGTGGCGTGAGTGTCTAGACCTTTACAGCTGGTATTTGAGGCTGGTGCGTCGTGAGTGGAATCTACACTGAAGTGTTCGGCCCACGGCGAGAAAGCAGTTTCAGACGAACAAGTCTGAGCGGCGACTGTGAACACTCAGACTCCCGTTTACATGATGAAAGCATTTGGTAACACATACCCATAAAATTCGAACCCCCATTATTTGAAGACGCGACGATTTTCGCGACGGACAAGCTTCGAAAGCGAAGAGCCGCATACCCTCACGTGGCCTGAAATCCGTATCCTGTTGATGATCGCTGCAAGCGGGTCGGGGTTGTGGCCAGGTGTAGCCTTGTTTGCTGGTCGTGGCGCGAACGAGGGAGGTGTAATGAACGAGATATTGTGCATATATTTCATTGCTGGCCATGATTTGCTGTGAGGTTGTGGTTTCGAAACCCTGGTTCCAGACAAAAACAACACCTACCCACCCGCCTTACACTTACCCACATCCCCCCATCCCCCCACCCATCTACACCTACGACGCCCGCCGCAATATGACCATCAGCCCATCCGAGTGCGCCGAGAAGATCGCGTCGACCTCGAACTTCTCCGCGTTCGCCTCTTCGAGCCCGTGCACGTTCATAGTGTGCATGCCCTGTGTGATCTGCGAGGTGCTGTACGCGGGCGGGTGGGCGTAGGGCGAGCGTGTTGACGTAGGCGAGTGAGCGTGCGAGTGAGAGGAGTGCGAATGGCTTGTGGAACTGGAGTAGGCGCCTGAGGAGTAGGCGCCGGATGTGGAGGCGTAGGGAGAGGTGGGAGAGTGTGGAGAGGTGGGAGAACGCGAAGGGTTGTAAGAGGAGGGTGAGGAAGAGGCGTAGGAAGAGGGGGTAGAGGTATGTGTTTGTGCACGCGCGCGTGGGGTGGGCCGACTGTGCCCGTGCGGGTTATTTGAAGGTCGGCGCTGGTGCGGGTGGTGCGCTTGTCCGTGCGAGTGCGTGCCGTGTCGGTCGCGGTGCCTCGACGGTGTAGGCGGTTCGGGGATGCGGCGGCTAGTGAGAGGAGTGTTAGCATTATCCAAAAACCCAAAAAATCCTTTTTAAAAGCCGACAAAGAAACCCACCTAGCACCCGAATCCCGCCCCTCAGGCAACAACATAAACCTCCCAAACCCAAACCCACCATCGCTCGGCTGGCCCTTCTCGTTCACCCCCCATCCCTTCACACACCCAATCCAGCTCTGCACGATCTCTTCGTCTCTCCTACTCACAAAGTCGTAAAAGCTCCTTCCGATGGCCTCGGTGGTGGACACCAACAAGTCGTTGGAGCAGTACATGATGGTGCAGTTCATGGTGAAGCGGTCGAGGATGAAGGCGGTGCGAAAGGACTTGTTGGCGGGGGGCTCGAAGGAGATGATGGGGATGTTGGCGATGCTTGGGGGGTACGGGTGCGGGTGGGAGGAGGGGTGAGAGTGACCGTTCCGCCGCGGGTCGTACGCGTGCGCGTGCACGTGCGCATGCGTACTTGAACCGCTGCCGTTGCGCGCGCGATGGGCAAGCTTGCTTGAGCGCTCGCGCGAGATGCTGAGGCTGCGGCTTGGACTTGGGCTTCGCGAGCGGCTCCTGCTGCTTCGCCCACCCCGGTCTCCACGCCTCCGCCTGCCTTCCGCGTCCCTCTCCTCTCTTCCTCCGTTCCTCTCACCATCCCTCTGTCTCCCATTATCCCTCCCCTCCCCCTCCCTCTCCTTGTCCCTTTCTTCTGCCCCAGAAAGCGTTGGCGACCTCTCAGGGTGCGGCGAGCCGGCGCGGGCGCTTCTTCCGGGTGGGCTCTGCGAGTTCCTCGGACTACGCGGGCTCTTGGACCCCCACGAGGACGAGGAGGACGGCGCGGGCGAGGTGCGCTGGAGCATCTCTGCGAGGTTGACGTTGGCCATCTCTTGTGGGATGGGGCTGGGCGGCATTGGCGAGGGGTCATGCCATCTCTGCGAGGTAGGGTAGGGTAGGGGAGAATAAAAATAAAATAACAGTGTGTGTGTTAGTGAGTGATATGTTTTTCGAGGAAGAAAAAAATAACGGAAGAAGGAAAGGAAAGAGAAGAGGAAGGGAAAGGGGCGGAGACGGCAAATGTGGGAGAAACGTCGAAGAGAGGAACCGCGCGGACGAAGGCGGGTGGGAAGGCAGGTGTCAGCGGGCTGATGCTGGTCAGTCTGTCCGACAACACTTGCGAAGGCCGAGGAGGAGAAGGAAGGAAGGGCAGAGGGCAGGGAAAGAAGGAAGGAAGGCGGGGTGACAAAGTAGTTGACTGGCTTACCCGGAACTGGAAGTTTGCCGCAGAGGGAGTGATGACGGTGATCTCCTGCGCCGTGGAGGCGTTGTGCAGTGCCTTGGCGCCCGGCTCGCAAAAGAGACGCTGCCCACGAGCACGTTGTGCACCACAGTCCTATAATCACAAAAAAATCCGCGATTAGTTATGAGATCGGTGATTGTGGGCGGTTTTGGGTGGGAGGACCCACCGAGACTGCAGGGAGAGACGGAAGGAGAAGGATGATCAGCGGGTGTGGGGGACGGAGGGGGTAAATGGGAGGGACTTACGACACCGCATAGTATGTAGCCGCGAAAGGGATCCTTGTGCTTCATGCGCAGGTAGACGAGGCAGGCGGCCTTGTCCTGCAGGATGGTGTCGCTGTTGGGTGCCAGGGTGAGTACAGAGTGGCGCACGGGGCTTGCACTTGGCAGGGAGGGATTGGGGACGCACTAATGGAGCTGGCGGATACTCGGGAACTCGTCAGGGTGCACGAGGTCGAGCGAGGGCTGCCCGATGAGGTCGCTTGGCTCGTAACCTGCCATCACTGTGAGCGGGGGCTGCAAGGAGACATGATCGATGGGCGCACCGAGGAGTTCGGTGACCGAGTCGGTCATATACAGCCATTTTGCCTGTAGGGAGGGAAGCTAGTGTGGGCCCGGGTGTGGACTCGGTAGATGACACGCTACTTACATCCTGCGAAAAATCGACGATCCCGACTGTAATGTGCTCGTTAGCAGCGACGACGGGGAAGGGAAAGGGACGGGGATTGACTGAAGGATATGGCTGGCGGGGAGTGGTTCATGGCTGGGTTGGGTGAAAAGATGGGGGAGCGGCGAGAAGAGTGTTGGATGATGGGGCGAGTACTTTATTTGAACTTTGCTTGACGGCACTGCTAATTATTAGCGCAGATTCGCCCCAAAATCTTACGAGTCCAAAAGAATCCAGCCATCCCTCCCACTGACCACCCATGCCCGCACCTTAATTCCAGAAACGCATGATTGGCGTCCCCGTGTGTACACAAAGTGCGGCAACCAAACCCGGAGATCCAGGCTTGGCGAAATCTCGGGTCAATTCAATTTTGCTCTTTTCCACCGACGACGATGTGGTCAACAGCGAGAGAGGTAGCCGCCGGCGACACCGTCATCATCTGGCTCGTCCGTCCCCCTCTCCTCCTCCTGCATTCGATGACTCACTACCCCGTAGACCCGAGACCAGGTCCAGCCGCTCGTCGTGACACCCGGCAAGGACTTCAACACCAAGTTCGGCAACTTCAGGCAGGCAGACTTTGTGGGCGTGCCGTACGGGTCCAAGGTCGCCTCCCGCACAGGCCGCGGCTTCATCCACATCCTCCGCCCCACACCCGAACTATGGACCATCGCGCTGCCGCACCGCACGCAGATCTTGTACCTGGCCGACATCGCGTTCATCACCGCCGCACTCGGCCTGCGCAGAGGCTCCAAGGTCATCGAAGCAGGTGGGTCCCATGATCTAGCTGGTTCGCATCCATTTCGCGTTCACACCGAATGTCGTACCCACGCTGCGGCACTTTACCTTTGGGCATGTTTAGATTCACCCCGAATCGCCCCCTGCTTGTGTTTGTTTTCTTCCTTCAATTATTCCCTTCTTGCCCTGGCTTGTCCTCGCTCCCAAGGAGCAATCTTCTTCTCCTTACGGCTTACCTGGCAACTTGCCCAGTGAGGCGACGTCAGGCTCCAACCTCCAAGATCTCTCCCCATCTCTCCCATCTTCTGTCTTTCATTCTCCATCGTTCGCGTCTTCAACTTGTCCCTTCTTCTCTTTCTATCCTTGCCTCTTGGGTCGAGCTTCGGCCTCCATTCTTCCTGTCTTCCGCTCCTCCCAAGTACCAAAGCCTTCCCCTTCCCACCCTTCGCCCTTCCAGTCCCACTGCCCCAGTGTGCATTGAGGATGCCGTACAGTTGCCCGCATAGAGATTTCGTCAGGCCTTAGCAATCCGCCTTGCCAATCCGCCTTGCAATCTTTCCACTGTGCCACCATCTCACCCCACCATCTTACCCCACTGTCTTGTTTCTATTTTCTATTTTGTGTATTCTATTCTGTGGCATGACATGGGCAGCGCATCGCATCGAGGCCGCACGTCGCCCCATCGACGTCCTTCATCCCCCTTTCTCCCAATCTCGCACATACGTTCCGCCCTCGATCCTCCCAGCGCCAGTTTCGTGATCATAGCCCAGCCCGCCCTGGACCGTTTGATTTTGACTGAATGTCGTTGCCAATAATCATGGCAATGACATCGAATTGACGTCAGCGTACCTTTCGTTTCGTTTCGTTCACCTCTACTTCACATTTGCTTCACGCTTCACTTCAAAGATCCCTTATTCATTCATACGTGACGCTATGTCGTTGTTTGACACGCGAACCACCTGGAGGGAATCTCACTCCTATTCCTATTCCTAACTCCTCTTTCTCTTCTCCGTCGACGTGGTATGCCTTTCTTCCTAATCCGTCCATTTCCATTTCCCGTTCTATCTATTTCCGTTGGACTATCCACTTCTCCTTCGTTCCCCATTCTCCATCCATTCATCCTTCCCCTTGCTCCGATTCCCTTCTCCACCTCTTCCACTTTTGTGCAGTGTTTGGGATCTGGGGTATCCTACGGCTAAATGCTTACGCTTCCTTCCTCTTTCCTCCTTCCTTTCCGACTGCCTGACGCCCTGGCTGCAGCTGTATGACTGACCCTCGTCTACTTCACTACATCTTCACAGGCACCGGGTCTGCATCGTTCTCGCACTCCGTAGCGCGGACCGTCGGCGCGAGCGGGCGTCTGTGGTCGTACGAGTTCCATGAGGCGCGGTATCGGAAAGCAAAGTGAGTCAGTTTTTCTCGTATTTCTTTGTTTTTCTTCTTCTTCGCTGTTTGGTTGCCGATCTCCCTTTCGTGTCTTGGTTTTGGACTTTTGGAGTGGTCGGATTTTGACGTTAGAGGCGTTGTTTTTGAGTTTGGCCACCCTCGGGGTTAGTCAACTCACGTCGCTTTTTTTAAAGAATCACAT